CGCACATTTGCAAGGGGAGTGCTGCGGCAATCTGGAAAGTGCGTCTGCGTTCGCATGGCACACCCCTTTGCGATGGTGAATTTGAAATGAAAATTCCTGTAGCGTGTCCAACCAACGCGCCAACTGGCCGGAAGGTTGATCCATTTTAAGGGCATATTGCAAGGCCGCATGATCCGTACGCACGATAAAGGAACGGCCGTACAGGTACGGTCGAAACTGACGTAGGAAAAAAACAACGGCTAGGAGTTCCCTGCGAGTGACACAGTAGCGGGTTTCCGCGGGAGACAAGACCCGGCTACCATACGCCACGACGCGCTCCACGCCCCCTCTAGACTGGGACAATACCGCGCCAATACCTGTGTCACTCGCGTCCGTGTCAAGAATGAATGGGCGATCGAAATCGGGATAATCCAATGTTGGGGCCGTAGCCAACAGATCGCGCAGACTTTGAAAGGCCGCCTCCTCCGGCGGTCCCCACGCAAACTTACGTCCCTTACCCGTAAGGAGATGCAAAGGCCTCGCGATCGTCGCAAAATTCGGCACAAACCTTCGTTAATATGAGGCAAATCCCAAAAATCGACGTACATCTCCCACGGTGGCCGGAGTAGGCCAATCCCGGACGCACGCCGTTTTTTCCGGGTCCGTGGACACCCCCTCAGCACTCACGATGTGCCCCAAATAACGGACGGACCGTTGCAGTAGGTGACATTTCTTTGGTTTGAATTTCAGATTCGCGGAGCGCATCCTCGTGAACACCGTCTCCAGCCGCCTTAAATGTTCGTCAAATGTGCGGCTGAAGACAATAATATCGTCCAAATATATGAGACATGTCTCCCACTGCAACCCCGTCAACACGAGCTCCATCAGCCTTTGAAATGTGGCAGGGGCCGCATTCAGCCCCATCGGAAGGCAGTTGAATTGAAACAACCCCTGTGGCGTACGGAATGCGGTTTTCTCCCGCGAGGGCTCGTCAAGGGGAAGCTGCCAAAATCCCGAAGAGAGGTCCAGTGTGGAAAAGAACTTCGCCCCCGACAATGCATCGAGGGAGTCGTCCATACGCGGCAGGGGATACGCATCTGCCACTGATATCTTATTCAATTTGCGAAAATCAACACAAAATCGCAATGTGCCATCCTTTTTCTTGACCAAAACCACAGGTGCGCCCCAAGGGCTGTTAGATGGCGATATAATGTCCGCAGCCAACATGTCCTCCACCGCTCCCCGAACGTGGTCTCGCTCGGCGGGACTCATTCGGTGCGAATTCAACCGAATAGGGGCAGCGTCGCCTGTATCAATATGATGGTGAAGCAACGAGGTGCGCCCCAGATCCAAATCATCGGAGCTAAATACATCCGAAAACGTCAATAACAATTTGTGAAGCGCACCACGTTGATCCACGGACAGGGAAGAGTTCTCGTCACACAATTTAGCAATCTAGCGATCATCTGAAGGCACCGGCTCAGAAACCCCAGCAACCACCCCCTGGCTATACGAACAATCCTGAGCCGTAAATGCCGTCGTGGCATGTGCCACGACCGTACCAGCCGGGACGCGGACGGTTTCCGCACTCGCATTGAGCACCTGTAAGAAAGGTAATTGATCCGGCCGGACGATGGTCTGTGCCCCAACCAGCGCCAATCCGATCGTTATCGAGGCTGACGGAGACAACAAAACCCCAATCGCCCCCAGCCGTTCCGATACCGCAAGGGAATAAGCATCTGTGAGCCAGGTGGGATGTCAACAGATGCCACGGACAGCGCCTGCACTTGTACGGCTGAAGCAGGTCGCCCCCAGGGCGAGGGCAGAAAGGAGATTTTACGGGCACCTGGCAGTTCAATACAATTCTCATTAATTTTGATCAAAATAGGCATTTTAGCCAGGAAATCAGTGCCCAATAAACATGGAACTGCCAAGGACCTTGAAATCAACACCATGCCCGAAGCCGACACCTCCCCAATAGTTATTTTAATGTCCACCTGGCCCACGATGCCCATGCTACCCCCGTTCGCAGCGACGCATGACCCGTAAACCGGACGCACGGCCCCGGGTGGGATGCCCAACAGATGGAAAATGACATTCGAAATGATAGTGGCGGACGCGCCGGAATCGACTAGAATGCGTACGTCCACCCCTTGTATAGACCCCGGTACGGTGGACGAACCCGTAGCGGCCGCGACAACCCTCCGTGCCAACTTGCGCCACTGCGTCACCGAGCGACAAGGCCCCGTCGCTGGCCTCTCATCGACAACAACATTCGGATCGCACAACGAAGGTGATGGGTGAGGTGCAAAGCCTTGCCGGGTGTCTGGTGCGTGCCGACTTGCCTGGTTCGGTGGTTCCTTAGTCGGCTTGGCCGGTGATGAGGCCTCCTGTTGCGGCGGACCCGGGATGCGGGCCCAGCAGTCCTTCGCGTAGTGGCCCCTCCGTCCGCAGCGGAAACAATCGGCGTCGTTGCGCCGAAGTGCAGGCCTTGTATCCCGCCGGCCCCGTACCGGTGGTGCAGCGCGAGAGGCCGGCCCACCGCGGCCTGACCATGGCCCAGAGGCGGCCGTCAGCTCCTGAGGGCCCCCCGCCGTCCGGCACGTATACCGACTTCGTAGGGTCCCAACCCAGAGCGCCATCCTCTGCGACGGCCCCCCCCGTCCACGCCGCGACTTGTTTCCACCGTCGGAGGTTGAATTGTGCATCCAGACATTTTGCCGCCGCCCGGGAAGTGAGCTTCTCATGCCCACACACCGGCATGGGAATCCCAAGATCCCGCGACAGCTCGAGCATCTTGCCCAAGATGAGAGCCTCGAGCAGGTCAGGTGTTGTTTCTGGATACGCGGCCATAGCCAAATCAAGCACCGCACCCCTGTATGCCACGGGCGATTCCTCGGGCGCTCGTTGTCGTTGAGCAAATCGCCGATGCGCGTCGTCAGGTGGCTCGTAGGCGTCGGCCATTTATTGAAAAACTCCATACAATGTTTTCTTCTTTTCGGCCTTAATGGAACGAAAAAATCGAACAGATTCGTCATCCAGAAGAGTCGGCAACACTTCTAAGGCCTCAGCATCGGTCCATCTCGCAGAACGGACCGCCGCCAAGAATCTGCAGGCGAAAGCGCTCCAATCGCCCCCAATGGCGAATTCTTTGACCGTGGTGAGATGGCGACTCCGACTTCTCTTTACTCCGCCCTCCGCCGATGGCTCCTCCGGTGGCAAATTCAAAATGGCGTCGAACCGCGGCGTGGTCAAGATGGCGGTTTCCCGCCGCGGAACGCGCAAGATGGCGGCCTCCTGCCGCGTGGCCGATGGCGCCGGGAGCGAAGATACTGTGGCGGCCTGTGGAGCACTCTCCGCTCTCACCGCCGCCGTCCTTGGGGTGACGAGATGACACAATTGGCCCAGGACGTCCTTGAGAGTCTCCAGTTGCTCCGCCATCTGCAGCCATCGCGGATCAGCGTCTGATGTTGTTGGCGGCCCCGACACTGCGGCTACATCTTCAACTCCAGTCCCCGCGCTCATTTCAGCAGGGCTCTCCTCCACCATCCCAGCAGGATCCATGGTAGGAGGGAAGTCGTCGTCGTCTTCGGACGAAGAAGCCGATGCTGGCGCCGGAACATTTTTCCTTCTCCCGCAGCTCCGCTGGCTGCTCCCTTAGCTGGTCACCGCTGGCCGACGGTGCCACTCTTCCTGGCTTCGCCCAACGTGGCCTTACTCTCGTCCAGTCTCTCACTCTCTCCCTTCTCCTTCCGGTTTCATCCCTTAAGAACCCTAACCTTGCTCCCACGTCACCTAACTCCACCTCTCCGTGACGTCACATCCGGGAGGTCGCCCGCGCCCGCATTACAGAAGTGATGCATTGATTAGTGCACTGCGCTATTAACCCCTTCCACTCAAGTTTGATTCTTGGCCACTACTAACATCAGTGGCAAGTGATAAATGAACCAGGCCTGCTCACCACTAAACCAACTCGCCCAGACTAACCTGGAGAAGTATGGTCAAACAACTCCCACAGTATGCGGAGGCCTTCATCCAGCAGTGGAATGACAAAGGAGTATACATTATTACATACGGGAACTTATTTTAGGTTATTATATTGGGAGATATGGATTAACCCTGCCTGACATTAAACCATTCCCACCTCGAGCCGGAAAAGAAACAAAAATAAAATTTAAAATAACTTTATCGATACCGAGGCTCCCACAAGGCTATGCGGGAGGGCGAGGCACAGTTTGGCGCCAGCTATCGGAGAGTGTGGTCATGTCGCTGTGGTTCTCTGCGGTGAGTACGCGATGCCTTTAAAAACAACGGCGCTATACCTGTCGAAATAAAATTAACGTTGAACCGCGAGCGCGTTCCGAGATTCAGCGGTGAACGGTACCCACCCTGAAATTTTAAGTCGTCTCGGAACGGGAAAGGGCAAAGGATAATTGGTATTTTACCCTTTTATCTGGCAACAAAACTGACATCTTTTTTACAAGGAGTCATGTTTGCATAGACCACAATACCTGCAGTCATAATGCAAACAAAAAACATAACTCTGATAATGTATGCACTTATACTCCCCCACCCAGCAGTATAACAAAAGCAGTAATTGACCACTTCACAACTCCTCCTCCCCCGCTGCCCTTCCTGGCTCCTCCCCCCTCAACCACTATATAAGGTACAGATATTTTGCTGTGACGGTTTCACCTGAAGACGGAAGCTTGTGTTGCCTCCGAAACGTCATGATTTTTATTGTTTTATTTTTATTAATTTTTATTTCATTTTTTACCTACGTGACTTTACCAAAAGAACTAAGAGAATGAATCCTTGCAGTCACGAAAACTTCAAATCTAGAATGTATGCACTGTCCTTGAAGTTGATTGGTCCACACCCGAGACAGCTTTCCTTAGAGCCTAGTCTCACATGGTGTTGGACCAGATGATGCCAAAAAGCGCACAACTTTGCACAACTTTGCACAACTTTGGGCAAATGAGGTTCCAATGAGGGCAAAGGATGTTTGCCCCATGTTGTACCTGGGTCACAGGCTGCTGGTGTGTAGTGGCATTTACGCCACTATGGGCCAGGAGTGGATCTTCCTCCTGCGATGTGTCCCACACAAACACCTCTCCGCTGCTTGCACCACCTGCATTCACGTATCAAGGGACAACATGCATACAGCACATGCATGAACCATACATATGACGATGTGAGAGCCCATGTAAAACAAGTCTCTTCTGCGAGATAGGACTAAGGTTCCAACAAAGAATGCGTCGTACAAATACGTGTCCACGTAGAAACGTATACGTGATCGAGACAAATGTAATCGTGAAAATGTTTCTTGTTATCATAGCAATACGTGTACATGCAAGACAAACACTAATAAAACCGAACACCTCCGATTAGCACGGTTGGCTAAGCACAGTGCGACAGCTTCATTTAATTTTTTTTTCATTTCATTTATTTGGTATAGCCCTGTGAGCCATTCGGCTCTTGAATTGGGTGCAACCGCAACAAACAAAAAACTAAAACATGAACAGGAAAACATCTTAAAGTGACTATGTTCAAACAGAAAAATCCAGGAAAAAACAGCTAAATCTTCCAGAAAAAGGGCTGTACACCAATGCTGTGTGCAAAAAACCCAGTGGGATGCAAGTCAAACAACAACAACCACAAGACAACTTAGATTAAAGCCATCAGTCTAACTCCATACTACAACAAACAAACATGGCCAAACCAAAAAACTTTTCGAAATCACCAAAATAAATCCATAAAAGCAATGTAACAGTGATCATAGGAACTGTGACCGAAATTTCACAATAAACGACATAAACAACATGTACCACCAAACCCTGTAGCCATAGCTGGTTGCATGAGTCACTTCCACAACAGCAGGAGCATCAGTAGGAGTACCAAAACATGTCAATGCACCTTTAAAGATGAGCACACTAAATCAAAACACAAGATCATAAGAAGTTCAACATGCGTACATACAGCATTCTGTTAACCGTAATCAGCTATACCTCCATCCGGGAGTTGCTATTCACTTATCAAAAACATTTACCATGGAAAAATATGGCAAAAATTATTGATATTGACGAGGTGGCTCGGCAGATCAGAGGTCAAAGCAATTAGCTGGATTTCAGCCACCCAGAGGATTAAACACCAAAGTTGTCAAGTGAAGCATGTTATTGGTCTCAGGCCAGTCACCGAGGAATGCCAAAAAAATTAAATTTTATGTTTCACATCATTTCGATAATTTCCAAAAATACTGTTTCACCTCCATGCAACGAACAGCAATTTTACAGAAAAGTGGGAATTTTGCGCCCCCTATTGTGTAAAGATAAATAGGCCACGGCAAGGGATTTTGAGAAGAATCTCTGTGAAGAATCTCTCGAGCAGCTTGTTCTTAGACACATAGGGCTGCACTTCTCTGTGAGATTTCTTAATGGATTCTTTTTCTCATGACGTGATGCCGATATTCCACCAGGAAGAACATTTGGTGAAAGAACAAACAATATAAAAACAGGTTCACAAAAAGAAAATATGATCCAGTAATGGAATGAAAAACTACAAAGTTTTTCATTGATTGTTTCAATGTCACCAGTTTGTGACAAATAAAAATCGCACCTCCGATGAGCACGGTTAGTTACGTACGGTGCAAAAGAAGATCAACATACATAAATACATACAAATGAATCTACATGAAACAATCGTCCCATTCGGAAGGCTTGCATTCAGTCATACCGAGAGCACTATTGAGCAAATATTGATCCTAAACATTATCATTCCCAAGGTCTCATCATATCCCTTAAGGTAAAGGTGCAGTCTTGCAATAGCTTGCTCGTGACATTGCTGGTGGAAGGGCCTCCACTAGTGGGAGATCTGGAGAGTCCCTCCAGATGCTATTTGCCCTACTCTTCCACACTGGTAAGGTGTATGTTGAACTTTTTTCGCACCGTACGTAGACAAACGTGCCAATCTTGGAAGAGGTGAGAGTTCCCACACTTTACACCACTCCGTGCAACTTACTGTTCCACTGTGGCCTACCCATTTTTACTGCTGGGTGGACAGAGGCGGTGGTCATCATAAACGTACCCAATGTTTCAATTTCCACGCAATGAGATTGGCGACCTGTTGGTTGCAAGTCTTTTGAAATGCGTGGTCAACCAGGTTAGTGTCTGACTGTGTTGTTGGCCGACTGGTGTTGCATCACATTATGTTTCTAAGCTTTGTTGAGTTCTCGTCTCCCATCTTCTTGTTGTTGTTTGCCTCCGTGTAGTTTACCGTTCTCTGTGTGCTGTGTGCTTGGTATCCCCCTGTGTGTTTCCTTGCTGTGTGTTTTGCCACATTTTCACCTGATGATGATCGCTTGTGTTGCATTCGAAACGTCGGGATTTATTTTAATTTAATTTAGTTAAATTTGATTTTATTTCTACATACGTGACTTTACCGAAAAAACCAATGAGTGCAAGCCACTTGTGCCAACCATTCTACCGCGGCAGCATCTCTCACGTTCCAAATAATAAGGGAGAATTAACAACAGCGTTAGTTTTACCCGCAATGACCGCTGGCCATGTGGGGTGGAAGGTGAGGCACAGCAGGCAGCCTGGAACATCCAATGTGCGATCAGGCACGTCTGGGATCAGCCCTCTCCGGCACACATTCCACAAGCAGATCATCGAGTTCTCCACAGTCCAATCTCCGTCATTCAGTCTGCAATGGAAGAGTTGTTGGGGACAAATTTAGTAAATTACTCTCCTGTCGAATGGTACAGTATTCCTTCGTTATTTGCAAGGGATACGTTCCAGAGATGCCAATGAATAGCAAAAATTGTGGATAACGATATTGGCTCTACGAATGTCGTACGAGTAATGTCTGCAGATGCTTCTAAAGTTTCTAGAAGTTATCCCTCTCTATTTCTCTCGTCACTTAATCTCATCTCTTTATCTCGTCACATTCTTTCTCATCCCTTTATCCCACCACTTTCTCTTTCGATCCAGTCGTGCAGAGTTCCAGATGCGATTCGCGGATAGGCAAAATCGCGGATAGCAAGTGCTTGAATAACGTGGGAATACTCTACTCTTCTATGTTCAAGTTCAAGATGTTTTTGTTTAACCAGGTGATCATTCAAAGAGACCAGGATAGTTTAATTTGCAAGAGCGACTTAACAGGGTCACCAAAATGACAAAGGCAAAAACTAAATAAAAGTACAACGATGCAAATAAAAATTATCGTAAAAAACTGCGTCACGTGAAAATCTAATTATTGCTCAAACATAAATCAATGTTAAATAATAAGTCGGCTTGGACACATTATTTTTAGTACGATTGCAATTACTGGTAAGTTTCAGAAACATTAAACAGATATATGGTGACTCTTGTACTATTTGTTTCTATATTAACTCAGCCACTTCTTACCTAACCCCACCCCCCACCATTGTCATATCATAATTTAATTTCATGTACGTATAAAAAAAGTTTGGTTAGGACCGTCCTACCCACTCCCCACTAAAAAAATCTATACTGCTCATTGACGTCTCTGGACACAGAACTAAACTCAGGTGATGAAATGTGCTCATCAATTAAACGGCACACACCCTGTTATTGATACATCGTAGCTGAATAAATACGTGGAAATGTTAAGAGATTGGCGCATCCGTACCGTCCAAAGGCCACACCAATCATGGCTCCTGTGCAGCTCCAACTGACGGCAGTCGCAGCCAGCCCTCGGGTCTTTGCCTCTCCGTAGCTCAGCTCATGCAAGCAGGACATCTGGGAAGAGTACAACATCAGGAACATCGAAAGCAGTGGTTTTTCCCTTTGCGGTATGTACGTATGTTATATGTTGAACTTCTTTCGCACCGTACGTAGCCAACCACGCTAATCGGAGGTGTGGGGGGGGAAGTAAAACAAAGTAAACACAAAAAGCACTTTAAAAACAATGAGTTTTCAATCGAGATGACTTAAAAGTGCATAGCTCCAGTGGCTTCCTAAAGTCGGAAGGAAGAGCGTTGCAGACTGGCCGCAGAAGTGCATCTGAGCGCGCCGCGATGCCGTCTATAGCGGCCCAACAATCACGACCCCTGGTGTCCGACCCCTCCAAGGTTACCAAGGCCACAATATTAACCTGCTAGGTCACGAATGCCACAACACACAGCTAGAGAAGCAGATGTCCACGCCTCTAGTCAATGTGGTGTAAGGCATTTGTATCATAAAGTGGCTTTTTTAATTGTTAAATATTTGTATTATTTTATTATTTCCCTTCTACGTGACTTTACCGAAAGAACCAAGAATATGAATCCCTGCAGTTACGAAAGCTTTAAATAACATTTTCATTTGTATCATGTTGTGTAGTAGTAGTGCAATGTAGTGTATTTTGTGTTCGTAAGCATTTGCTTCATCTTGTGTATGAGTGTGTTTTATGTTACAGGCATTTATTTCGTGTTGTGTACTCCCGTAGTGTTGTGTCTCCACCCACCACCTTCTCCTGCCCAAAGCAACTAAACTCCAGTTTCCTTTGCAGTCTCATCATCATCATCATCACCACCTCGTCACCAGCACGAGCCTCATCATCTCCTCACCGCTAACCTCCGGGTGCCACTCCAAAGCATGTCTCCAGAACCTCTCTCCATGATCTAATCTGTCGCCAGTCCCGCATGTGCCCCACCCGTCACAACCTCCTCTTTCTGATTACATCCACGAGTCTAATACCCATCACGTCTTATTTATTTTAAGCTTCCGATTTGCCTAATCCCATACTGCTCGCCTTGGTGTATGAGACGTGACAGGTTGATCCATTTCTAGGTACCGCACGGATTTGTGACCCTATTTCTCAACAGGTTTGAGCTCGAGTTTATTTGATTTGTTACGCGGATGATCCCATTTATCCAGCTGCGTGGCTATTTTACAAGCAAAGATTCCGTGGCACGTGAGAAAGGCAACTATGAACAAAAAACATCAATATTGCCGAGAACGATTACGGGCTCCGAAGGATATATTGCCCAACAAACGAGGTGTTTTAACAGTCGCAAACAAGACGGGAGGCGAATCTAAAAATAGTGCAAACGTAGCGTGAGAGCAAAGAGTCGCAAGAATAAAGGTAGGCACAGGCGCTGTTTTGTCGGATTGTGCCATGAGGGGTTTAGTGACGGGAGTGGAACAGGGGTGTACAGGTAGGCGGTAGGGGTGTTCCATAAACGTGGGGCAGGCAGCAACGTGGAAAGAGTTTGGGGCTGTCCATAAATGACGTCACGCGATTTTGGACGATTTTTGACCCCCCCCCCTCCCTTCGTCACACGGCGTCACAAAAAGTCAGCCCCCCCCTCAAATATGACGTCACAAAGCTCTGCCCCCCCCCCCCCCCCCCCAAAATATATAAAACATGCTTCACATCGCTTTAAACTATTGTCATGGTAGTGCGTATTTAATTTGGCGCTGCACTCTGATGTTGTAGGAGAAAACATTTATTAAAACGTCAATTTAATTAAGTAGAACGTGTTGTCTATATTTACTTAAAGTTGCGCATTTTGATGTGACGTCACATTTCTCAAACCCCGCCCCTCGTCACACATCGTCACAAATGTCTGACCCCCCCCCCCTAGGTGCGTGACGTCATTTATGGACGGCCCCTTTACCAAAGCCAGTTTAAGTGGAATTTTAGTCGAAAATAAAAAGGCACTTCTGAGGCGACGGGGAAGGGAGTTAGAGCAACTTCAGTGGCCCTTTAGGTAATTAGCGGATTTCTTTAAGAGGACCTTCAGGATGGGGACGGCCAAGTGATGGTCTCTCCGGATATCCAGGGGAGGACATGTCTGAGATTAGTGGTGAAAGTGGTGGATCAATACCTTACAGATGGTGGTTGGGGATTGTTAAAATATCGAATACAGTACAGTACACATAATAAGATACAATTTCGATTTAAAGCTTTCGTGACTGCAGGGATTCATCTTCTTCGTTATTTCGGTAAAGTCACGAAGAAGAGAAATAATAAAATAATAAAACATACTTAAATAAAAAATAAAATATCATACAAATAAAATACTTTTTAATAAACTTTAGGGAAATAATAAAAAATAATAAAACAATAAAATCTATATATATAAAATCGTGAATCTGTCTGTCTGTGTGTCTGTGTGTCTCCGGACCATACGCACTTTCATTGGACGCCGGTTGCCCCTGCCAACGGCTAGCGACACCTTCGCCGCTTTCATTGGACCTGGCAACGGCTAGCGACGCCTTCGCCAAGGGCTGCACTTTCATTGGACGGCGGTTGCCCCTGCCAACGGCTAGCCACGCCTTCGCCACTTTCATAGGCTCCGTAAATAATTAAATAATAGCCATTACACAGTATTGTTGGAGCGCTGAGGGGGGGGGGGAAGGCACGCCACCCGTACCCTGCCTCTGCCGGGTGCCCAATTTTGGCGAGGCCGCAGGCTCTGCACGCTACTAGGCCTCGACACCCACCACGCCACTTTGAGGTAAATTCATCAAAGTTTTTCGTACTCTTCACTCCACCCCCACCACAATGTGTCCAATTAATATTACTTTTAAACCCAACGCGCCAACAATCGATTACTTAAATGTTCACTGTACAAATAGTCACTAAGCTGGGTCAGCGTACTGCCAGTCTATCATGTACACTCTAGCCTGCTTATGAAGCTGAGTGCGTGTGTAGGGGTTATTACGGGAGAAACGGCGGACAACAAACACAGGGCTGTCGGCACTCACATACACGGGGGGTCACACCGACGTCCGCATCAGTTATTGCCCACGCCCCCAGCCCTCGGAGGCGATCCCTATAAAAGGTGGAACCCAAAGAGCTCGAGGCAGTTCGACACGAAGCTGACCAGTGAAGATCCAAGACTCGGAGATTAGGCCCTGGGACTCCCCGGTCTCGCCGTCCTTATAAGGGCCGAGCCGGGTAAGCCAGTGGCGCGGCCCAAGAGCTTCCAGACCGCTGCCCTTATCAGGGCAAGGCTGGTTAGCTGGTGCCGAGATCTGTGCTTGCCAGGGCCAGATCAGTCAGCCTCCCGTAGCCCAGTAGAGGAGGACTGGGGGACAGGACAGAGGGCTTAGTACTAGGGTGGGTTTCCCATAGTACGGGTGAAGGGGCCGATACCCCTTCAACTATTGTATCTGTCCCGGAGTTAATAAACAGTGTGTCTCAACTTCCTCATCGTCTCCTCATCAACTTACTACATCTGGTGTTGGAAGTGGGCCAAGCATGGATACGAGACGGAAGACTCGTGCCCAAGACCCAGGAGAGGATGACGACGAGGGAGGGGCAGTGCAAGACATCGCCGCCGACGTACCTGCACAACTGCTGCCGGCTCCGACATCGGCGGGGCCGTCGGAGAGGGCCGGGACGTCGACTGACGAGTTGGCGTTGGCTCACTCGCGGCTGGCGGAGCTCTTGTATGCAGCGGCCGCTATGCTGGAACAAATAACTCGCCTGGGGCCGGGAGGAGCGACGCGGCGGGAAGATGGACAACGCCCGCCAGAAACTCCCGCCTTTACAACAGCGGGGCGACTCGAAAATCCCACCACGAAGACAGTAGGGGCGGAGGGAGGAGTCCCAGCTCGTCACGCGGGAGACGGTGCCCAGCCAGCAGCCGCCACGTCATCGGCGGAGGCGGGTCGCGGTGGCAGCCTATCAGGGGTTGAAACGTCACCACCAGCTGACGCCAGCACCGACCATACAGTACGGGGACGCGCTACGGATGCTGCAAGAGACGCTCCAAGAGGATCGGAGACGGAGCCGACATTCCAGCAACGCCTGCCGGCCCTGCAGGTATTTGTTGCAAGCGACGGCGATTGGGGGGGGTTCCAGCGCCGGTTCTTGGCCCACCAAGAGATGGCAGGCTGGTCGGACAACGAGGCGCTGTGTGCTCTCCCGGCGTTATTGGACGGCGACGCCCTGGGCACCCTCACTGCTGCACCCAAGTCGGCACGCTCCACCATTCAGTCGGCGCTGCAGCTGCTGGCCACCGTTTATGGGCCGCCCTCCGATTGTCGCCAGCTCTTCTATGAACGGCAGAAGGGTGATAAGGAATCGCCACTCGCTTATCGCACGGCCCTGCTGTCATTGGCGAAAGACGCTTTCCCGCGTATGGATGAAGAGGGGATCGATGCGATGGTGGCCGAGAAAATTTTGCTGCTGGCTGACGATCTGGACTTCACCATCTTAGCGCAGGACGATGCGGATATGTCATCACTGCGGGCTGCAAGGCACATTCACGCCAATCTCATCTCCCAGCGGAGGAAGGCGAACAAAGCTGCTGCACGACACACCGTGGCGGCAACCTCTTCTGGAATGGAGGGAGCCTTCGCTGCGGATCGTTCTGCAGGATGGCGATCTGCCGAGCGACCGGCTCGGGACGTTCCAAGCCACCGAGACCAGCCCAAGTCCTCTGGAACGCTCGTCGTCTGCTATAATTGTGGCCTCCGGGGCCACGTGGCGTCCGGATGCCGGGCTCCTCGACAGCGCGGTGCGAGACCTGGAGCTGCGGACGGCCCTCCTCACAAGCCTTCGCAACATCCTCGGGCAAGTCATGGCACCCCACATGTTCGGCCTGCACACACACCCACTTTCCTATCACATGGTCCGATACACAATTCTCGGGGGTTGGGTGCTGGTGCGTCGGGTCGCGGCATGTCGGGGAGGGCGCTCCAACCGGGCCAATGGTCCGAGTTGGCTCACCGAGTTGTGGCTGCATCAGCGGGGTCGTCCGTTGTCGCGGGGCATATTGACGGGGTGGAGGTACGGCTATTGGTCGATACGGGAGCTTCGGCAACTATCATTTCAGATTTGATTTATAATATCCTGCCCGTTCAGAGTCGCCCGTTGCTCCCTGTCGATATACCGTTTTACGCTGCGAATGGGGGCTCGTTGGGTATTATCGGTCAAATTCGAGCGCAAATTTCGATAGGGGACATTAAACTATCTGGCCCGGTGTTCGTCTCCTCCTCGCTGGCTATTCCGTGCCTGTTGGGGACAGACTTTTTGGCCAAATTGCCCATCAAAATTCTGATTGACCAGCAATGCATCGAGCTTCCATCGGGCCGACGTATGACGTTCCTACCTGCCACCCCTGCCGTGCGTGTTGCCTGTGCTACGGTACAGGCGCTTGTTGCTCGGACGGTGCGTGTACCCCCGGGGGCACAGATGTTGGTACCCCTGCGCTTGCGTCGACCGTTCGATAAAGGAGTCTCTGACCGGGGCGTTATTTTGGGACCATCTAGAGCCGGGGTGAGTGGGCCAGATCTGGTGACGGCCCAGACTATTGTTAAAGGGGATGGGGACCCGTTTATCGCGGTCCTCAATGTCGGGACACGGACGGCAGTGGTTTCGCAAGGTACCGTGTTCGCACATGCGGTTCCGGTACCTGCGGAAACGCCGATCATTGGCCAGGTGGCCACCGATTCTCAAACGCGATTAGCCTCAGACGCTGACGAGGTTTGGCTGGATGCGTTGTGTGCTGAGTCACCTGACCTGTCTGACGCACAACGTGCTAGATTACGCGCCTTATTGCGAGAATTTTCCGACGTCTTCAGTAAACACAAATACGATATCGGATGTACCAAATTGCTACGCCACCATATTGACACCGGTGACAACGCTCCTATCCGCCAAAATCCTTTTCGGTTAAGTCCCGCCGAAAAGGATCATGTCAAATCGGCTGTAGATGACATGTTGAAATCGGACATCATTTCTCCCTCGACCAGCCCTTGGGGTGCACCCATAGTGTTGGTCAAAAAGCACGACGGGTCCCTAAGGTTCTGCGTTGATTTCCGGCGATTAAATAAGATCTCGGTGGCCGATGCTTATCCGCTTCCTCGAATGGACGAATCGCTGGATGCCCTCGCGGGATCGCGATTCTTTTCCACTTTGGATTTGCTCTCAGGATTTTGGCAACTTCCCTTGGACGACGAATCCAGGCCCAAAACAGCTTTCCGAACGCCGCACGGCCTCTTCCAATTCAATCGCTTACCCATGGGATTACACTCTGCTCCCGCGACGTTCCAGCGCCTGATGGAATTGGTCCTCGCTGGCTTGCAATGGGAGGTGTGTTTGATTTACCTGGATGACGTTATCGTATTCAGTAAGACGTTCGAGGAACACCTTGATAGGCTTCGGGCCGTCTTTCTCAAAATGCGCGCTGCTAATTTGAAATTCAAGCCACAAAAGTGCCATTTGCTGCGCGAATCTGTTAAATATTTGGGTCACATCGTCGGCCGGTCAGGTATCTCAACCGATCCCGCCAAAACGCGTTGTGTCAGCTCCTGGCCTATTCCCACCTCGGTGGGGGAGGTTAGAAGCTTCATCGGCTTTGCTTCATATTACCGCCGGTTTGTTGCGGACTTTGCTTCCATCGCTAAGCCACTACATGCCTTGACGTCAAAAGGGGTCAAATTTCATTGGGGGCCGGTGGAGAACGCCGCTTTTGTCTCTCTTCGGGATGCCCTGGTGGGGGCCCCGCCGTTAAGCTACCCCGATTTTTCCATGCCGTTCGTGCTCGACACGGACGCAAGCAATACCGGGATTGGAGGCGTGCTGTCACAAATTGTGGGTGGCGTGGAGCGCGTTGTGGCTTATGGTAGTAGAGTACTGTCCCCGGCCGAGCAGCGGTACTGCGTCACCCGCCGCGAACTGTTGGCTATCGTGTTCTTTATCCAACAGTACCGGCCATATCTGTACGGCCGGCATTTCACCGTCCGTACAGATCATGCAGCGTTGCAGTATGCCCTACGAATTAACCAGCCATCGGGGCAGTTGTCCCGATGGCTCGAGATCATGCAGGATTTCGATTTTGAGACAACTTACCGGAAGGGGATTCGCCACACCAACGCCGATGCCCTATCACGCCTGCCGATCGCCCCGGATTGCACTTGTTTCTTGGGTTCGGGCCGTTGCAAATCGGCAAGTGACGGCCGGGATCGGGTTCTTGCGGCCGCAGTTGATACTCCTTCGGACGCTGGTCCTATTTCGGAGGGTGGGAGTGATTCCCTACTTGGCTTGTCAAGTACTGAGTGGGGTCGCCTCCAAATGGAGGATGCGACCCTCCTGGCGCTACGACGTCGCGCGGAAGGATCAGGTCAAGGGAAGTCGGGCGTTGACTCATGGGGGTGGTGCCAGGGCTTACTCATGCATTGGGACGGGACGATCCGCCGTCACAGGCTGGTGGTGCCTTCCACGTTGAGGGGTAGGGCTGTATGGGCTGCTCATGAACGGCTCCTGCACCTGGGTACCCTCAAAACACTTGCCATGCTCCAGCTTAATTACTTTTGGCCGGGCATGGCAAGAGACGTGGACGATCTGCTGCGGTCCTGTACCCAGTGTGCACAACGGAAGCCGCCGGCGAAGGGAGCCAGTCCACCGCTCCAGTCCATTTCGGTCACCCGGGTTAACGAGCTGGTCGCCCTTGATATTTTGGGACCGTTTCCTTCCACGCCGAGGGGTAATAAGTACCTGCTGGTTGGCGTGGAATATTTCACGCGATGGCCTATGGCTTGGCCCCTCGCCAACCAGTCCGCAGCGGCCGTTGCGGAGGCTTTTGTTCAGGGCTACGTCCTCGACAAAGGCGCTCCGGAACGGTTGTTGACCGATCAGGGAAAGAATTTCACTAGTACCCTTTTACACGAGGTATGTGGCCTTCTGGGTACAAAGAAAGTTCGTACCTCGCCTTACCATCCACAAACGGATGGGATGGTGGAACGCTTGCATAGGACTCTTACGTCCATGCTATCCCACCAGGTATCTGAGTCCCAAAACGATTGGGATCTACGGATCGGGGGAGTCCTGGCGGCATACAGGATGGCTCCTCACGCGGCGACCGGGTTCTCGCCATTTTTTTTGATGTATGGTCGCGAGGTTGACCCGCCTGTCGCGACTCAGCTGACGATTGCCGCGCCTCATGCTAAGTCGAAAATCGCCGACCATGTTAAATTTAACATCCTTCGCTTGGCGGAGGCACGGCAGGCGGCCATGCAAAACTCTGACTCTCGCCAGAAACAAAACGAGAGATTGCGGTCGCGCCGGACTCACACGCACGAATGGCACCCGGGCGACCGAGCATGGTTGCACTGCCCTCAGGTGCCATTGGCCACCTCGGCTAAGTTGTTGCGACCATGGAGGGGCCCCGTTGAAATTGTGCAGGTTGTGCGGCCTCAATGTGTGCGCATTAAGTGGGGGAAGCGTCGGTGGTTTGTGCACCCTTCACGGTTAAAGCCATTTTTTGCTCCGCACGCTTCCTCCCACGTAAATGGCCGAATATGTGGGGAGTCCTCTGACTCCGGGGGGGTGGGATCGATGCCAGCCTCTGATCCACTAATGACTGTCCCGTCTTCAGGAGCCCCAGGACTGAAGCCCTCTGGGCTGCCAGCCTCCCCCGTGGGGGGCGGCGCTGGCACGTCCGGGAAACCGGACGACCAGGCACCTGCTGATGCGACACCTGCCACTGACTCTACCAAGCCGGCCCCTTGTGACGGGCCCGCTGCACGGACTCGCGCCAAAACGCGCCGGTTGTTATGATTAGCTTTCCGCGCGTGTTCCGTTGCTGCGGAACCCGCTCATTGTATATATGTTTTTTTAATGGTTGTATGTGTGTGTAATAACGATGACCACGCTATCTGCTTGTTGCTTGCTGTCCATGTAAGTGTGTGCGTGTGTTGGGAATGGACGGAGAGTCTGCTGTGGTTGCTGAGTTTCAAAGGGAGTGTGTGCGCTGCTGCGTGGAGTTGTTATCTTGATGGTAAAGTTAATTATTAACGTGGGAGCGTCGGGTATCCTGTGCTGTACCATCTCGTGGGTCACCGTGCGCGATGGGCTTAATTGAAAAAAAAAATGTTTTTTTTGGGCTGTATTATGCTGCGAGGTGCTGTGTGCGATGCGGTCGTTGCATGAGAGGGAATAACTGTGTTGTGGTTGAAAAGTTACGACGGGATTGATGGTGTGTTGGTCGCCTGCAGATTTGCTTGCTATTGTGCTTCAATGTACGCGTGTGATCGCGATATGCTGATTGCATGTGCTGTTATACCGTTCTGTATATGTGTTGCGGTTCCGGGTGGGGGGTTTTTTTTTTTTTTAGGGAACCATCGGTTGATGTTACGCTTGTTCTTGTTATTGTTACTGTTACGAGGCACACGTGTATTGACGGTGTTAATCTTTATTCTTGGGGGTTGAGGGATTGTTGCAGCCGGGACGGCTGCGAGCTGTACAGGGGGGGGTGATGTAGGGGTTATTACGGGAGAAACGGCGGACAACAAACACAGGGCTGTCGGCACTCACATACACGGGGGGTCACACCGACGTCCGCATCAGTTATTGCCCACGCCCCCAGCCCTCGGAGGCGATCCCTATAAAAGGTGGAACCCAAAGAGCTCGAGGCAGTTCGACACGAAGCTGACCAGTGAAGATCCAAGACTCGGAGATTAGGCCCTGGGACTCCCCGGTCTCGCCGTCCTTATAAGGGCCGAGCCGGGTAAGCCAGTGGCGCGGCCCAAGAGCTTCCAGACCGCTGCCCTTATCAGGGCAAGGCTGGTTAGCTGGTGCCGAGATCTGTGCTTGCCAGGGCCAGATCAGTCAGCCTCCCGTAGCCCAGTAGAGGAGGACTGGGGGACAGGACAGAGGGCTTAGTACTAGGGTGGGTTTCCCATAGTACGGGTGAAGGGGCCGATACCCCTTCAACTATTGTATCTGTCCCGGAGTTAATAAACAGTGTGTCTCAACTTCCTCATCGTCTCCTCATCAACTTACTACACGTGTACTGGCAGTCTATAATGTGGACTGTTGCCTGCTTATTATAATCGATTCTTTATATGTTCTTTGTACAAATAGTCATTAAGCTGGTTGAGCGCTCCCAGTTCGATTCCAACTCACGCCCACCACCGCTGACGATTATTTGAAACGGACCTGGGCCTCCCCTAGGTCGACTCAGCCTCAAACGCGTAACTGCTGTCGTGTGTGAACATCGTCACTGGGGAGACAAAGGCGGCCGGGCATCGTCGATCCAAGTCCCGGGCGAAGCCGGGTCATGTCTATGTGTGTATGTGTTTATGTGTATGTCTGTGTGTCTGTATGTATGTGTGTATGTATGCGTGTGCATGTGTTTGTGTGTATGTATGTGTGTGTCTATGTATGTGTGTATGTGTTTCTGTGTATGTATGTGTGTGTATGTATGTGTGTTATGTGTCTGTCTGTGTGTCTGCATGTATGTGTGTGTGTATTGTGTATGTGTTTGTATGTGTTTGTGTGTTTACGCTCGCATTACACAAATGTGTTGCAGGTCTAAGGCGTTCCTTGCGCAGCATTGCCGCTTTATTATTTCAGTCGTTTACTGCCGTACGCACCCTGAAAGTCGTGTGTGTCTGCAGCAAGCGCGTGTATGTGTACCTATGGACGCGCGCGCGTGTGTTGTGTAGGGGGAACGGTAGTGTAGTGCTTAGCGTGCTGCCTGTGTCTGTGTGTGTGTGTCTGTGTGTGTGTGTCTGTGTGTGTGTGTCTGTGTGTGTGTGTCTGTCTGCGTGTGTCTGCGTGTGTGTCTGTGTGTGTGTCTGTGTGTGTGTCTGTGCGTGTGTGGTGTGTGAGGATCGGTGGGTGTAGTGCTTAACGCTACGCTGCGCTACCAACCCGGCGAACCCAGTTCGATTCCCGCTCACGGCCACCACCGGTGACCATTATTTGAACCTCCCCTAGGTCGACTCTGCCTCAAACGAGTAACTGCTGTGGCGTATTAACATCGCCACTGGGGAGACAAAGGCGGCCGGCCGTGGTGGATACAAGTCCCGGGCGAAGCCGGGTAGTACAGCTAGTAAAAAATATAATAAAAATACTTTTTTTATAAACTTCTTTTATTATTTCCCTTCTACGTGACTTTACCGAAAGAACCAAGAAGGTGTACTGAGATTAGTGGATGATGCATACCTGTCAACCCCTTATCAGTGCCCCCTACCTTATTACAGACAAATTCAGGCCTTATTGGTCACCCCGTGCCCTTATAAATCTCAACGTTCATCCTACAAAGTCCCATCACAAGGGAGAAACACAAACAAATAGACAACAAAACATGTTTTTTTGCCCGTAAACCCAATTCCCCTGCACAAGAACACGGAGGAAACCGTGTGGGTTGACAGATATGGTGATGTCATCACCATCATGGGCCATGGTCAATCCACTGCTGGATAAGGGCCTGTGAATGGCACTCCATTGGAGGAGTACGACACTTTGCAATGTGTATTGAGATTGTTAAGGGGACATGCGCTACATGTTGTTTTTTAATGCAGTTTTCTGTACAATGTATCTATATTAGCGGAGTGTCTATACAGTGGCCCCTGGTACGGACACATGTCGTTGTTTTTTGCAAGAGTCGCGAGATGATCGCGTCAGAATACTGGAGGAATCCGACAAGCTACAAAGCTCTTTGTGTTCACAGTCACCCAGCATATTCTTGGTTCATACTCTTAGGTTTTTTCGGTAAAGTCACGTAGGTAAAAAATAAATAATAAAAATGATAGAAATAACAATAGAAATAAAATAATAAATCACGACGTTTCGGAGGCAACACAAGTCTCCGTCAATCAGGTGAGACCATCACAGCTAAATTTACTGTATTACTTGATACAGTAAATCTAGCCTCCGAAACGTCGTGATTTATTATTTAATTTCTATTATTATTTATATTATTTTATTATAATTTTTACCTACGTACCGAAAAAAACCTAAGAGTATGAATCCTTGCAGTCACGAAAGCTTCAAATCTAGAATATCCTTGGTTCTTTCGGTAAAGTCACGTAGAAGGGAAATAATAAAATAATAAAAACATAAAACAATAAAAAAAATCCTCACGACGTTTCGACTGCAACACAAGCAATCATCATCAGCTGTGAACTCCACGGAAATAATAAAAACATTAAACAATAAAAAAAATCCTCCCGACGTTTCGACTGCAACACAAGCAATCACCATCAGCTGTGAACTCCACAGCAAGAACATTTTTTAAAAAGTCACACAACAGTTTCACAGACTTCCCAGCGTCGCGATCACGCAAAGCCACGATGCCCCCCCCCCCACATCCAACATCTCTCCACCCCCCCAAACCAACACAACCACCCCCCCAAACCAACACAACCAACCCCCCAAACACAACACAACCAACCCCCCAAACACAACACAACCAACCCCCCAAACCAACACAACCAACCCCCCAAACCCAACACAACCAACCCCCCAAACACAACACAACCAACCCCCCAAACCCAACACAACCACCCCCAAACACAACACAACCAACCCCCAAACACAACACAACCAACCCCCCAAACACAACACAACCAACCCCCCAAACACAACACAACCAACCCCCCAAACACAACACAACCAACCCCCCAAACACAACACAACCAACCCCCCAAACACAACACAACCAACCCCCCAAACACAACACAACCAACCCCCCAAACACAACACAACCAACCCCCCAAACACAACACAACCAACCCCCCAAACACAACACAACCAACCCCCCAAACACAACACAACCAACCCCCCAAACACAACACAACCAACCCCCCAAACACAACACAACCAACCCCCCAAACACAACACAACCAACCCCCCCAAACACAACACAACCAACCCCCCAAACACAACACAACCAACCCCCAAACACAACACAACCAACCCCCCAAACACAACACAACCAACCCCCCAAACACAACACAACCAACCCCCCAAACACAACACAACCAACCCCCCAAACCCAACACAACCAACCCCCCAAACCCAACACAACCAACCCCCCAAACACAACACAACCAACCCCCCAAACACAACACAACCAACCCCCCAAACACAACACAACCAACCCCCAAACACAACACAACCAACCCCCAAACCCAACACAACCAACACCCCCCAAACACAACACAACCAACCCCACAAACCCAACACAACCAACCCCACAAACACAACACAACCAACCCCACAAACCCAACACAACCAACCCCCCAAACCCAACACAACCAACCCCCCAAACACAACACAACCAACCCCCCAAACCCAACACAACCAACCCCCCAAACCCAACACAACCAACCCCACAAACCCAACACAACCAACCCCCCAAACCCAACACAACCAACCCCCCAAACCCAACACAACCAACCCCCCAAACCCAACACAACCAACCCCCCAAACACAACACAACCAACCCCCCAAACCCAACACAACCAACCCCCCAAACCCAACACAACCAACCCCCCAAACCAACACAACCAACCCCACAAACCCAACACAACCAACCCCCAAACCCAACACAACCAACCCCACAAACCAACACAACCAACCCCCCAAACCCAACACAACCAACCCCCCAAACCCAACACAACCAACCCCACAAACCCAACACAACCAACCCCCCAAACCCAACACAACCAACCCCACAAACCCAACACAACCAACCGCACCAAGCCTCACCTCCACTCCGCGCTCCGTCCAGTCCACGTCGTGGCCGTCAAACGCTTGGCTCGCGGCGTTCATGCGGAGCAGGCCGCTCAGGAGGGGTTCGACTGCGAGCAGGAACGCCAGGAGGCCCTCCTCCTCGTCCTCGTCGCCGCGCCCGGGACCCCGCGAGGCCGCCTCGGGGGGGCTCGCGTCCGTCTGCGAGCCGCGAGTAACGCAGCGCCTCGCCCGGCTCGCGGCGTCGCGCCTCTGCGGCGGCTCGCTCTGGACGGCCGCGTCGGCCCGGGCCTGAGGGCCCTGCCCCTGCCGCTGCTGCTGCCAGGACGAGGAGGTGCAGCTAGCGGCAGCCTCGTTCGACGCGTCCGAGAACATCTTCTTCTTCTACTTCTTCTGCCGCTGTCGTGCGGCCGCTGTGGATGCGGAGCAAGCGGCTGCAGGTTCACATTCTAGACGAGGTCGAGCCGAGAAACTGCACCGCGGTTACCGTGGAGACCGCGTGCTGGCTGCGAGTGACGTCACGCGTATGTAAATGAGCTGCTGAGGCGGTAACATGACGTTGTCGCGCTCTTAAATGGCAATGCGAGTGACGTCATGCATATGTAAATGCAATGCTGTGGCGGTAACGTGAGGTTCCCGCACCTCTCAAGGGCAATGCGAGTGACGTCAAGCGCATTTAAATGAGCTGCTGTGACGGTACCATGACGTTGCCGCACCTCTCAGTGGCAATGCGAGTGACGTCAGGCGCATTTAAATGAGCTGCTGTGGCGGTAACGTGACGTTCCCGCGCTCTTAAGGAGCAATGCGAGTGACGTCACGTGCATGGAAATGAGCAAACGGTGGCGATGACGTCACTAGAATTATCACTTCTAGTACGCGGTGACGTCACGTTACATTGCCAAGACGTGCCCGTGACGAAAGTCGATTGCCTAAAACGTTGCCTATATTAATTTTAATGATTTGTTTACCATTCTTATACTTTGCACTCCTATCGTGTTTTGTATTGTTTGTTGTTGTAAAAAAAGAGCTTTATAGCTCATCGGATTCCTCCAGCATTCCACATTCCCATGACTGGCACCAGACTTTTCATATCAAAACCACTGGTTGACTTGGCGCAAAGCAGAACTCGATTTATCGACCTCCATTAGATGATTGGCTGCATCAGCGCCAGGATTTGAGAGTGAATCGTGCTGGTCTGCGCCTCACATTCTAATTGAGGTGGAATGTTCAAGTAGCCTCACACTGCTCCAAATACATTACAGGGCAGTATCTCAGATTCAACAACTCTCTCAAGGCAATTGAATCACCAAATCACAACTTCATATCTCAAATCTTTAAACCGTTGTCTTTCATTAGCCCATACGAAAGCGGTGGCGCATTCACATTGAAAAAAATATCTATTTGGATGAGGTTAGATATATAGAAAACCCTATTATTACATGTTAGAAGTTAATTGTCAAAATGCATACTGCATAAAAAAATCTAACATGTAATAATAGGGTTTTTTTATCTAACATGTAATAATAGGGTTTTCTATATATCTAACAAAAAATATCTATTTGGATGAGGTTCATTGTCAAAATGCATACTGCATAAAAAAATCTAACATGTAATAATAGGGTTTAAAAAAAATCTAACATGTAATAATAGGGTTTTCTATATATCTAACATGTAATAATAGGGTTTAAAACATCTAACATGTAATAATAGGGTTTAAAAAAATCTAACATGTAATAATAAGGTTTAAAAAAAATCTAACATATAATAATAGGGTTTTCTATATATCTAACATGTAATAATAGGGTTTAAAACATGTAACATGTAATAATAGGGTTTAAAAAAATCTAACATGTAATAATAGGGTTAAAAAAAATCTAACATGTAATAATAGGGATTTTTTTTTATCTACCATGTAATAGGGGTTTTCCCCTTTTTTGTGTTGTTTTTTGTTTGCATTCTGACTGCAAGTATTGTGGTTAATGTAAACATGATTCCTTGCAAAAGGTTTCAGTTTTGTCGCGAGAAAAATAAAAAAGGGGTAAAACCCCTATTATTATATTTTGGTATTGGCAAATGAGGCTTCATGATAAAAATCTAACATGTGTCGGTGTACACGTGTCATTACGAGGGATCTCACACTTATTCAAATAAAACTGAGCTCTTCCACCGCTAATTGGCGCCTTAAGTCTACCACCAAATATTCGAGTTACACACACACAAAGGACCCCCGTGTAGCCTTGACAGACTTGGGACAAGTGCTGATAGCGAGTAGCACCCATGAAGGCCGGCACGGCACACGAGCGGGTGGGTGGCCAGCACCACGCCCGGCCGCCTTTTTGTCTCCCCAGTGGCGATGTTTACTACACACCGCTACACCAGGTACTCATTTGAGGCTGGGTCGACCTAGGGGAGGCCCAGTACCGGTTCAGATAATCGTCACCGGTGTTGGAAACCGTGAGCGGGAATCGAACTCGGGTCCCCTGGGGTTCGAAGCCAATGCCAACACAACCGCGATTCGCCACTAAGTGACTGTGACGTCACCACGGCGCCTGTGCCAGGCTAGGTGCACTCTGTGGCTGCCACGTGAAGTGTCGAATGCTCGCTGCTGACAGGAGGTCTCGGGACAGACCCAGCAGGTGTCATGGCTGACTGAGATGACCGGTAGATGCACCACCAGCTGTACCCCTACTGTGCCAGGCTAGGTGCAGGATGTCTCGGGACAGACCCAGCAGGTGCCATGGCTGACTGAGATGACCGGTAGATGCACCACCAGCTGTACCCCCCCTATTGTGCCAGGCTAGGTGCAGGTCTCGGGACAGACCTAGCAGGTGCTATGGCTGACTGAGATGACCGGTAGATGCACCACCAGCTGTACCCCCCTATTGTGCCAGGCTAGGTGCAGGTCTCGGGACAGACCTAGCAGGTGCTATGGCTGACTGAGATGACCGGTAGATGCACCACCAGCTGTAACCCCTACTGTGCCAGGCTAGGTGCAGGAGGTCTCGGGACAGACCCAGCAGGTGCCATGGCTGACTGAGATGACCGGTAGATGCACCACCAGCTGTACCCCCTACTGTGCCAGGCTAGGTGCAGGTCTCGGGACAGACCTAGCAGGAGCTATGGCTGAGATGACCGGTAGATGCACTACCAGCAGCTGTACCCCCCTACTGTGCCAGGCTAGGTGCAGGAGGTCTCGGGACAGACCCAGCAGGTGCCATGGCTGACTGAGATGACCGGTAGATGCACCACCAGCTGTACCCCTACTGTGCCAGGCTAGGTGCAGGAGGTCTCGAGACAGACCCAGCAGGTGCCATGGATGACCGGTAGATGCACCACCAGCTGTTACCCCTACTGTGCCAGGCTAGGTGCAGGATGTCTCGGGACAGACCCAGCAGGTGCCATGGCTGACTGAGATGACCGGTAGATGCACCACCACCAGCTGTACCCCCCTATTGTGCCAACACACACACGCGCACGTGTTCTGACTTTCGCTCCTCCCAGTGAGAACGAAGCGACAAGATGCAGCGGAAGATGAAGCAACGCAATTGCAGGACGAGCCCCCGTCCCGGCGTGTGAAGTACACGTCCAGGTTGAAGACTGAGGGCCACGGTGATGATTGCCTTGCGAAGAACGCGACTCAACACTGTTCAATCAATCTGATGCGGTCCACTGTGTGGTTCGCGTGGCCGCACTCAATGCACTACGTACGGTGCGAAACAAGTCCAATGTCCTGTGCATACAATTAAACTCACTCCCGTTGCTCAGAGCGCACAGTTCGGATGCTGCACCCAAATCATTTGCGGTTTTCGCTTTTCCGTGATGGGTTGCGTTTCTATTCGCTCGATTCTGTTCACTTCACATTGCGATCACCGTTCCCCATTCATCGCCACGTCCTTGTTTTTAGTGCAATGTGTCCGTTTTATTGTTAACACAACACAAAACGTAGGATTTCGCGACCAATACTATCCATGCGGTGTTTGTGTTAGATCGCCGTGTCGGGTGGTGGCGGGTTTAACGACACATTTATTCTTTACGCGATATAACCTCTTATACACCGCACACGATTGTTATTTGTTCTTTAGGCATATTTTTTTCTTATACCTAATGGTGCCTCCGTACGGATCACTTTGATCTTATTCTGTTGCACAACAAATCTCCCTGGCTAAATATAACTTTCTGTACAACAAACATTGAAATCAGAAATTTCACCGAATGAATGACAATCTTGAGTTGAAGCTTTCGTTACTGCAGGAATCCATACTCTTTGCTTCGTTCGGTAAAGTCACGTAGGTAGAAATAAAATCAAACAAATCACGATGTTTCGATCGCAACACAAGCGTTCGTCGTCAGGCAAAAAAAAATCACTAAGTGACTTTACCGAAAGAACCAAAGAGTATGAATGACACTTCAGCATCAGGTTCAAAACCGGCTAAATCGGTGAAAGGGTTGCCCCCACGCCTTTTCCTGGCCAGCTGCGCTGTCTCATCGCGGACTAGAGACTTACTTTTTAAAGTCGCTTGGCACAGATTCGCTACATCTTTGTAATCACAATTACATTCTTCTGAGGACAAACGTGTGTAGGAAAGCGTCACAGAATCCATGCGTATGCACACAAAGCAACAGAAATGCATCGTATGGTTTCCCTGTTACACAACTGCTTTCCTAACAAATGTACAATAGAGCGATTTAGCTTTTAGAACTTACGTCCTTTCAAGTACGTGCTCAAGAATACAATTTTCAACTGGATTGTTGTCCGATACCCTTCTCGTACTCATTCCATATGCGCAGATCATCAGCGGTGTGCATTACCGAATGCCTCTTTAAAGATGAACTTTGTGAAAACCCCTTCCCGCAGTCCTTACAAACGTGTGGCTTCTCGCCTGTGTGCGTTCTATAATGCCTCTTTAGTGAGAACTGCTGTGAAAACCTCCTTTCACAAACCTTGCACACGTGCGGCTTTTCGCCAGTGTGCGTTCTCAAATGCGACTTCAAATAGACACGGTGTGTGAACACCCTCCCGCACACTCGACACTCGTGGGGATTCCCGCCGGTGTGTATTACCGAGTGGATTTTCAAATTGTACAATTCTCTGAACTCCTTTCCGCAGTCCTTACACTTGTACGGCTTCTCGCCAGTGTGTATTCTCGAGTGTCTCCTTAATGAACAATGCTGGGAAAATCCCTTCCCACATACCTTGCAAATCAGTGGCTTTTCACCAGTGTGCGTTCTGTAATGCACCTTTAAATAGGAAAGGTGTGAAAAGCCTTTTCCACAAATGTTACACAAATGTGGGTAGCCTCCAGCATCCCATCTCTCCTGCTTGGCATTGAAACACGATGTGGTGTCTTCGAGATTCTTGCCGCAGCGTGTGCAGGCTTGTAAGATGTGGCTGGAGAAGGTTGCCTTATCGTCCGCCGTTATGCCGAAATCTCTCCCGCAATCCTTCTCGCACTCCTCACACATGAGTCCCACTGCTTTCGCGTCATCTGCCACACATTTTCAAAACACAGCGTCAGTTGAAGGCACAATAAAACAATGAGTTGTCATTATTATTTTTTTTTCAGAAGTGACCTGACCACAAATTATATCTCAACGAAGTGGCTTGTCACGTGGAAATTTATAGCAGCCAAATACTCGAAACTGCATGTTTCTAAATGTGGAGAGGAAAACCAGAGGACCCGGAGAAAATTCCATGTTACCACAGACAGAGAGAGACATACAAACTACGAATATACAGGCGTCAGGGTCGGGATAAAACCCACCAGGCGAGGCAGTAAACATCTCGCCACGGTGGCGATGCAGTTCATTGCCTTTGCAAGAGAACATGAGGAACCCGTGAATAAGAAGATATGCAGATTCGATGCATAATTTAAATTTGTCCGGAACTACACAGGGAATTGATGAAAGTACAACACGTTGTAAACACAAGTCGTAGGATTTCTAACATCCGGAGAAAAAGGCACTAGGGGCAGGGAGAGAGAGATAAATATGGAGCGTCACCGACGGTCGGGGCGCTTTGGCGGGGACTCATCGACGACGAGAGGTGGAAGACATCGGGGCCCACTGTTCCAGATCAACTAAATGGAAACCTATATTCTTGGTTCTTTCGGTAAAGTCACGTAGAAGGGAAATAATACAATGATGAAATAATAAAAAATAAAAACATAAAAAAATAAACAAAATTTTGTTTTATTATTTTTCTTTTCCATTATTTCCCTTCTACGTGACTTTACCGAAATAAGCAAGAATATGAATCCCTGCAGTCACGTAAGCTTTAAATCAAAATTTAAGTGGAAACCATTGGGGCTGACTGTCTGAGATCAACTAAGTGGAAACAATCGGGGCTAAAGATAGCCGTAGTAATCACGAGTGTGGCAGTTGTTACACTCGGAACTGTAAATACGTTCAGTTATAAAGCTTTACTTCTACAAAAATGGATGTCTCCAAAGAGCTTCTTTACAAATTGCTAAAACAAGTCAACTTGGGCAGAACACATTTCTAGAAGGGGCGATAGCTGATGGTCAAGAGTAATGATGGAGTGGCAGCCAAACGATTTAATAAATCCACTCAGGAGATGGAGCGATGACATCGGCTCATATACAGGTACTCGGTGGATTATCCCAGCGCAGGATCGTGAGAGATAGTCTCGGTTCAGGGATTTACTGTGACTGATGATGATTAATGCGTTTCACGACTCCCACACATTGCTGCAGTTAATTTAGTCATTAACTGCAGCAATGTACAAATGCCCTGATAGTGCATTGTCTTTGTGCTGTTCCCCTTATGGCGTTCTCTGGTCTGACAATGGTGAGATTAGACCATAAAGAAGGCTGTCTCTGGTGTAGACCAATCAGTTTCAAAGACGATGCCTTTATTATCAGAGCATGCAGACAGGACACCTTGAAAAAGGTTTGTTTGGTGTTTTAACATCTTAACACCTGTTGTATTCATAATAAACGTTTTTTGGGTTAGATCGCGTTATTTATAAATGTGTCGTAACCCTCCACCACCCGACACGGCCAATCAGCAAAAAAGTGTCACGTTGACAAAAGACAAATAGTTCACTACTTTAGCCCACCGGTGTGTTGAAGCATGAAACCACAACATTTCAAATTTTTGAGTACGACGTTTCGCTGGTAATTGCATCCAGCATCATCGGGCAATTGCCAGAAAGGGTAAAACGTATTGTTATATTTTGATCCTGGCAAGAAAGGTCCCATATTGTAACAACGTAGACTGAGCCAATGACCTGCCATCGGACTAAAACATTAACCAATGATGCCTGAGGGATTTTAGGGAAGTGATATTGTTGAGCTTAAGTCAGGAGGGAGAGAACCATTACTTCTTCAAGATCAAGATGTCATCATGGGTGCATGTTGAGCTTCTTTCGCACCCAATACGTAGCCGACCTTGCTAATCGGAGGTGCGGGGGAAGGACAACAAACTAAACACAAAAAGCAGTGAATGGCAAAGTTGTTGATGCTACGACAGATCGCCAAAGCTTTCTACACTCTGCCAGATCCCACGGCTTCTGCAGTCAACACGCAACCTCTAATATCTTCTCTGACACTATCCCACCATCTGAGCATAGGTCCTTCCCCTTGGTCGCCAGTCTCGTGGAGACCACTCCAATGCCTGTCTCTGCAATCAGCCCTCACCCATCCTGCACACACGTGTCCCACTTGGCACAGCTGTTCTTGCCGGATGTTATCCACAAGTAGGCCTCGGCAAGGTAAGGTAATTTACCTCTTTTTACCGGGTAAAAGGGTAAAGGTGTCGACATGCCAAGGGGTAAGGTAAAGGGTACAGGGTAAAGGTAGCTCGGAAGAATTACCCGGTAGGGTAAAGGATAGCGCGAAGTATTACCCGGTAAATACGGTGCCTTGTTTACCGCTAAAAGCTCCGTGGTGCAGTCCGTGGCCTCCATTTAATAAGTCATATTTAAAAAAACTTTTAAAAACACGCTTTTATTAAATGTACTAGTAATGGCAGAACTCCACGAATCCAGGTAGTGGCCCCCGAAGCTTGCCACAACGTAAGGGGCCGTGGTCAATTACAGCCAACGTAAGTTGAGCGTGGACAATTAGACCCAAGCCGAAACATAACATATAAAAAAGATGGTTTAAATTTTTTAATGATAGAATATAGTATTGTCATCAGTATGACATAAGTATACAAAGTTTGCAGTCGATACCACATTGGGAAGTGGATTAAAATTGAGTTACAAGATTTGAGGATACAACAACGAAGACGACAACAACAATGACAACAACGACAACAATGACAACGACAAACGTGTAAAATTGGAATCATCGAGAGTATTCTATATGAATGAAGCGCTCTACCTCGCATTTACCGTTATAAACCTTGTTCATGTGTAGTAGTTCCCTAGTAATTACCCTGTAATCGGGTAATTTGTATTGGGTAAGGGTACAAGGTAGGGTAAGAGGTAGGCTCATTGCTTTTTACCTTTTACCTTACCTGCTAAAGGGTAAAAGGGGTAGAGTGATTGTATGTGGTAAGGTAAAAGGTAGGTAAAAATAGGCTTGTTGTTTACCTTACCTTGCTGAGGCCTAGTTACTCCTTCAATTTCGTTTCGATATAACTGTACCGCTAGTCTCAACACAGCCGTCAGGGACTCAGAACATCATTCCACCTCTTCAAACATCCTTACTATACGTTGTACCGCATTTGAGTTATTATTGGTGACGAAACCAAAACTTAATTTTTCTGTCAAGATAAAAGGACTCACCGTGACCAATGTCATCCTCCGACAACTCCACCTCAATGAAGTTCTGGTCTGTCGTGGCCAATGCATCATGGGAATCCCTCGTTCCCTCTGGTCTCCGTTTGGATCCTTCAAATAAAAAATATATTCAGATTTGGAGTTAAAAGTACTCTTTGATGTGATGTCAAATGCTGAGACAAATACATGACATGGCGAGTCACACAGGCCAGACAGATATTACTGGTAGGAACCACCTGGTTCCACCAGCCCACAGGAGATTTTTGTGTCCGTCTGTCGTGCATCCAAAAATGGGAGGGGTGGGGCTGGGTGGAGAGGGGCTGGGTGAGGAGGGGAGGGTGGGGAAGGGCTGGGTGGGGAGGGTGGGGAGGGGCTGGTCACCCCGTGGTGCCCTTATAAAACTCAACGTTTAACCTACTCACACCGGATTGTGCCCGCCCTCACAGTCGGGCATATTTGCGGAATACACCACCCTGCCATTGACCCTGGCCATTCCCCGAACAACCCAACGTTCCTACCAGCTCCCTCCGCAGGAATGTGTTGTGCCAACAATGTTTAAATTCCCCAACATGTTTCCTCGGTTTGGTTCATTTAGTCTTCTGCTTCAAATTCCAAGTATCGGCCGAAATTGATTTACAGCAGTAAAATTTTAACTGATGTGCTGCTTTTTATCGATGGGTTTTTTTCGTCATGAAAATTATCGAGAGGCTATTCGATTATTTACTCCGCCACTTAACGGTTTACTTGACTCATGGGGTAACACAAAAATTAGTTGAAAACAAAAATGTTTGACTTTCTCATCCCCATCCATGCGTGCCACTGGATAGGGCTTGGTGATGCCATCTGTATCATCACGCTGGGCCTGGCTTCTCGGTGGGGCTTCCCGCCAACATTTCGCCGGTAATTACAACCAGCGTCATCAGGCGACAGCCAGAGTTGTGGATTGTGTGTGTTGTGGCTTTACTCTCCCAACACACCAGAGTGCTGAACAAGTAACTTATCGGCATGTTTTATGTGATAAACCTTACTAATTGGCTGTGCCGTGTGGGTTTAATGACACGTTTCTATTTACGTGATCCCACCAAAAAAAAACCTCTAGTATGGATAATATTGGTCGTGAAAGAAACGTGTTCAACTGACTCACCTCCACGAAATATTACCTATCCTGTACTGGTTTGATCTCATTTTAAATGCCAGTCTGTTGCTCGCTTTCATCTCCATATATATAAAAAAGGCAAAATTGTGAACATGTGTGTCTGTTCAAAATGTTTACTGACATGCAACAAACTGTAAATTTGCCATGTGGGTACTTTCCAGACTGTACACCATGCAAAAATTATAAAAATACACTTTATTTGGGGGGGGGAGCTCAATAATGCATTGATTTTTTGCACGGCAAATGAGCTGTGACGTCAAATCTGTCACGTGACCCGCGCGTGTGGAAGCGTAACGCGTTGTAGTGTAGTGGTTAGCGCGCTTCGCTACGAACCCGGCGACCCGAGTTTGATTCCCGCTCACGGCCACCACCGGTGACGATTACTTAAACCGCTCTTGGACCTCCCCTAGGTCGACTCAGCCTCAAACGAGTAACTGCTGTGGTGTGTGAACATCGCCACTGGGGAGACGAAGGCGGCCGGGCGTGCTGCTGTCGCCCACCCCCTCGTTAATCACACTGGTCAACACACTTTTTCTGGCATAAGGTATTCCAACGGTGTTAAGGTGATTTTGGGGTGCTGATTCCAAATCCGGCATCAGTTTTTATCTATCACATCAGGTTTTTGAGATATCAAATATTGCATTTTCAATAAAAACTGCAGAAGAAAAATATTAAATAAATGTGGACATCTACATAAAATTATATTATAAACACATTATCCTAAAAATACAGCACCATATTTTAACACTAAAGCAGTCACTGACTCGCAACAACTTGCAATCATAAGTGACAGAGTTAATTTCGGGTAAAATCAATGAAAACGGGGTATGCCGATAGCATAGAAATGAGATGTGATAGAGCAAATCTGAGATCAGATTTGGAATCAGCACCCTGAAATTAGTCTAAAACAGCTGCAAAAGTCCAGGCCAGAATTTGTTTTTATTGTTGTTGACCGGTGTAATAGAAGACTCACCTTGACCAATGTCCTGCGTTGCCAACTTCACCTTGAATAGGTTCCCGTCTGCAGTGGCCTTGCATCCTTGGAACTCCCCCGGCTCTTCTGGCCTCTCAGTGCCTTCTTCAACTTTGACAATAATCAAACCTGAAATTTAGAAAACATACCACGTGTGTTTTTTCTTTTCCGATGGAGGTTAAAAATTCCATAAGATAATAAGGCACCTTTGAAGCTTGGTCTTTTGATTCCAATGGTTGGAAGCTATACGTTTACAGCAGCAGATGTAAACCGCTGAGCTACTTTGGATCAATGTTGTGTTGGTAACCAAACAAAAATAGCACCAATTTGCTTTGGGATTTCAGGTTGTTTCATTCTTTTTTGTCAAGTGCTTATAGGTATGGATGTATAAATGCCCTTTTCCTAAAGTTAAAAGCGCAATTAGATATTCTGGGAAGCACAATTTGACGTTATTAGCAATGTATGTACATTGAACTTATTTCGCACCGTACGTAGGCCAACCGTGATAATCGGCTGTTGTATTTACAGAGCCCCGAATGAGGTAATGCTATTGGCAAAACTCCATCGAGGGAAAAAAAAAACAGTGGTGGCATCTTGTTTTGCCATTCGACTAAGAAAACATCATTTTTGGAGCTCTTTCTCAGCTGAGCCTCACTCACGGTCGCTCACACAAATGTTTTGGAACTCCCTTTCCCATAAGTGTCGAGGTACTACACCCTTGGCTTGCCAGAAAGTAGGTAACAGCAAAGTGCAAACTAATATCAATCTGTCCCTTCTGTACCCCTGGCACGCACAGGTTTTGTTTTGGGTGCTGCAGTTTTCCTCCCACATGTATACACGCTCATTAAGTGGCTGAAACATCTTAACATGCTGTTGTCCCTTTGTTAACAGTGACATTGGTCAACAGTTTTTCATATTTTTGGTTCTTTCGGTAAAGTCACGTAGAAGGGAAATAATAAAATAATAATAAAACATTTTATAAAATTCTCACGACGTTTCGGCCACAACGCAAGCAGCCGTCCTCAGGTGAAGAAACAAGGCTGTCGGAAAGACAGCGTCCTAATGAACACTGCTAAGCTTGGCAGCGTATTTTAACGTTTCGCCTCCCATAGGACCTCATGGTTTCGACTAACGTTCACATTTCTACAAGCGGTATGTTTACGTAATGCACGCGGGGTGCCAATTTCGGCCAATCCCAGCGCTTGTTAGTGGGGCTGAGCCATGCCCTCAGCAAATCAGCGACGCCCATTTGAGCGTTGAGACCTCGACTGGCTTTGTTAACGTAATGTTTTTTTCCAACAAAAAATGTTTCTCCTACCTCAACTTCTTCATCAACCCCATCAAGCCGGCCATCTTCTCAGGTTTCATTTTAATATTGAGTGTTTAAATGTTATACACTTTTTTTTAAGTCAAAAAGGTCAAATTAAGATCGTCTTGGAATTGATTCCTATATTCGATTAACTGTTATTTCGGTTCACAGTAGTTTTCTTGGAATGGATTCAAAAGTGTTAACCGAGGGACTCCTAGTAGTAATAGGTTTTTACCCTTTTACCTGCCAACCAAACTGACACCTTTATACAAGGGATCATGTTTGCATTAACCACAACACTTGCGGTCAAAATGCAAACAAAAAGACAACTCTGATAATGTATACACTGTCCTTGAAATTGATTGGTCCACACCCGAGACAGCTTTTCTTAGAGCCTCGTCTCATGATGTTGGACCAGATGACGCCAAAAGGCGCATATATAGAGGACTGCAGAGCTTGGGCAATTGCTAGTAGCGCAAGTTCACCGCCTGGCTGCCTAACACAGCTTTGTCTGTGGTTTCCTCGGCGATTGTGAGATGCAATTTGCGCTATTTAAAACTAAACACGAGTTGTGTGTCAGGTGCACAACTCTACGGAACTATTTCAACTGGAGTCTGCTTCGCTCGCTCTCTTAACCGACACAAGGCACCACTCCTTTGCACTGCATTCATTCAGTGTGCCAATTTACGCTGCAGCAGTGATTCGGACTTGATGATTGGCGATGCTTAGAGTGATCTCACCAGCATCAACTCAAAATAACCATGAGCATCCTGGAGCATCATACGTTCTATCATTTTCTCACGTACGCAATACACGCTCAGGAGCGAAATGCCAACGTCGAGGGGTTCGGGAGAGATTTCGTGAGAGATTTCAAGCTTGGTGATGTTCATTCGGACGCTGTCTTTCCGACAGACCTGTTCTTCACCTGAGTTGTGGCCGAAACGTCGTGAGAATTGTATTTTATTATGTTTTATTCTTATTATTTATTATTTCCCTTCTACGTGACTTTACCGAAAGAACCAAGAAGATTTCGTGTAGTTTTGCTATCCCTCCTCCGTTGTTTGGTTTGCATGGCCACCGGCGCAATACTCGTGGCCCGTGTCTTTAATTTTTTATTTCTGAAGGAGCTGTGCACGTCGGCCTGTCGATGTTGTGATGCGGCTGATGGTTAGCCCCCATGTCTTCAAGGAGGTGGGAATGTCGTAGCCTCGAGGCTCGATGTGTGGGTCTCGAATGAGGTGCCCATACTTAACGTCCACGTTGTTCCACTGCTTGCCAGCGTCCTTCTGCATCTGGGTGAGATTCGAGGATGGTGGCAGCGCGCTCCCAGAAGGGGGATCGTAAACGTAAGTAACTTCATAGATGAGCGGACAATATGCCTCGATCACATCTGTCCCCGCATGTAAAAACATTTCTTAAAATTATGTTTTCTTTATTACAAATCCATACCTGCAGTAGCATCTTCAAACTTTGCCACATCGCGAGGCATTCCAGGGCTTGAATATTCTTCAATTTCTTGTTTGATGAACGGCAACTTAATGTGTGAAGCCATCTGAGCAACAAACACACAGATGTTTATTCAGACACGGTCGAGAGATGAAGAAAACTCAACTATAAACGAAACTATTGTTTTTCTTGTACCAGCTAAGGCCCACTGAACTATATAGATATTTTTCAGAAGCGGCCCGGCCACAAATGATAGCCCAACGAAGTAGCTTATCGTGTGGAAATGCAAGCAGCCAAATATTTACTACTGGACTCTAATTCATGTTGCGGGGAATCACCCAGAGTCACCGGGTCAAACAAATCCACGCGACCACCACAGGGAGAGACACGCAAACTCCAAATACACAGCAGGCGTCAGGATGGGGATCGATACCCACGATATCCTGTAGACCAGGCGAGGTAGTTAACATCTCATAGCCACCGTGATGATGATGAGACACGCAAACTCCAAATACACAGCAGGCGTCAGAAGGGGATCAATATCCACGACCACCTGTAGACCAGGCGAGGTAGTTAACATCTCCTGGCCACCGTGATGATGATGAGGGACACGCAAACATCAAATACACAGCAGGCGTCAGGATGGGGATCAATACCCACGACCTCCTGTAGACCAGGCGAGGTAGTTAACATCTCCTGGCCACCGTGATGATGATGAGAGACACGCAAACTCCAAATACATAGCAGGCGTCAGGGTCGGGATCGAACCCACGACCTCCTATACACCAGGCGAGGTAGTCAACATCTCCTGGCCACCGTGATGATGATGAGAGACACGCAAACTCCAAATACACAGCAGGCGTCAGAAGGGGATCAATATCCACGACCACCTGTAGACCAGGCGAGGTAGTTAACATCTCCTGGCCACCATGATGATGAGAGACACGCAAACTCCAAATACACAGCAGGCGTCAGGGTCGGGATCGAACCCACGACCTCCTATACACCAGGCGAGGTAGTTAACATCTCAGAGCCACTACACAGCCTTGAATCGCAGAGGCCCTCGGCAAAAGGGCCCGGTTCGTGCTGTTTGTGTCACCAGAGAAGAGGCAATGAAAGACGCCTCGATTAGAGACCCTAAAACCTTGGCGTTGACGTTCCTCCAAGCACACAAGCACACACATCGGTGACTGTCACGGGTTCGTGAGAGAACAGGGGAGTGGACTCGTCATCCAGCAGTGGCTGACCATGGCTGATGATGATGATGAAACACAACACACACAGGCAGAGAGAGAACACCGTCTCCGAACAAGAATACCGGGGTCAAGGTGCTGTTGGCGAGCACCTACTACTAATGCTATTACTAATAGTACTAATACTACTAATACTATTACTACTACTATTACTAATACTAGTACTACTACTATTACTAATACTAGTACTACTACTAATACTAGTACTACTACTATTACTAATACTATTACTAATACTATTACTACCACTATTACTACTACTATTGCTAATACTATTACTACTATTATTACTACTAATACTATTACTAATACTATTACTACTACTATTACTACTAATACTATTACTAATACTATTACTACTACTATTACTAATACTATTACTACTATTACTACCAATATTACTACTACTATTGCTAATACTATTACTAATACTATTACTAATACCATTACTATTACTAATACTATTACTAATAGTACTAATACTATTACTAATACTACTACTACTAATACTACTATTACTAATACTTTTACTACTATTACTACCACTATTACTACTACTAATACTATTACTAATAGTACTAACACAATTACTAATACTATTACTAATACTATTACTACTACTAATACTATTACTAATACTATTACTACTATTACTACCACTATTACTACTACTATTGATAATACTATTACTAATATTACTAATACTACTACTAATACTATTACTAATAGTACTAATAGTACTAATACTATTACTAATACTATTACTCACTCAGACGGCAGCATGGAGGGGGGTGGCAGCCGCTGTGTGAGCAATGACAGCGCCGCCTCTCACACGCCAGCCTACACTTGTCCCCGTGTCTCCCTCCCCACGTGTCTCCTCACGTGTCTCCACTTGTCCCCGTGTCTCCCTCCCTCCCCAAGTGTCTCCCTGTGTCCCCGTGTCTCCCTCCCCAAGTGTCTCCTCACGTGTCTCCACTTGTCCCCGTGTCTCCCTCCCCAAGTGTCTCCTCACGTGTCTCCACTTGTCCCGTGTCTCCCTCCCCAAGTGGTTCCTCACGTGTCTCCACTTGTCCCCGTGTCTACCTCCCCAAGTGTCTCCTCACGTGTCTCCACTTGTCCCCGTGTCTACCTCCCCAAGTGTCTCCTCACGTGTCTCCACTTGTCCCCGTGTCTACCTCCCCAAGTGTCTCCTCACGTGTCTCCACTTGTCCCCGTGTCTACCTCCCCAAGTGTCTCCTCACGTGTCTCCCAGTCTCCCTCCCTCCCCGTGTCTCACTGTGTCCCTCTCGAACCTCCCCGTGTCTCCCCGCTTGTGTCTCCCTGCTTGTGTCTCCCCGTGTCTCACCCCCCCCCCCCGTGTCTCCTCCCGTGTCTCCCCCCACCGTGTCTCTCAGTGCCCAAGTCCCCGTGTCTCTCCCCGTGTCTCCCTGTGTCCGAGTCCAGTGTTTATCACCGTGTCTCTCAGTGTCCGACTACTTGTCCCCCCCCCCCGTGTCTCTCCCCGTGTCTCCCCGTGTGTGTCTCCCCCCGTGTCTCTCCCCGTGTCTCTCCCCGTGTCTCTCCCTGTGTGTCTCTCCCCGTGTCTCTCTCCGCGTGTCTCCCCCTGTGTGTCTCCCCCCGTGTCTCTTTGTCCCTCTCCGCTCCCTGTCCCAGTCCCCTCTTTCCCCCTCGTCCGTGCCCGCCGAGCGACAAGATGAGACACAAGACGAAGCGACAAGATGAAACACAAGATGAAGCGACAAGATGAGACACAAGACAAAGCGACAAAATGAGACACAAGATGAAGCGACAAGATGAGACACAAGACAAAGCGACAAAATGAGACACAAGATGAAGCGACAAGATGAGACACAAGATGAAGCGACAAGATGAGACACAAGACGAAGCGACAAGATGAGACACAAAATGAGACACAAGACGAAGCGACAAGATGAGACACAAGACGAAGCGACAAGATGAGACACAAGACAAAGCGACAAAATGAGACACAAGATGAAGCGACAAGATGAGACACAAGACGAAGCGACAAGATGAGACACAAAATGAGACACAAGACGAAGCGACAAGATGAGACACAAGACGAAGCGACAAGATGAGACACAAGACGAAGCGACAAGATGAGACACAAGACGAAGCGACAAGATGAGACACAAGACAAAGCGACAAAATGAGACACAAGACGAAGCGACAAGATGAGACACAAGATGAAGCGACAAGATGAGACACAAGACGAAGCGACAAGATGAGACACAAGACGAAGCGACAAGATGAGACACAAGACAAAGCGACAAAATGAGACACAAGATGAAGCGACAAGATGAGACACAAGATGAAGCGACAAGATGAGACACAAGACGAAGCGACAAGATGAGACACAAGACGAAGCGACAAGATGAGACACAAAATGAGACACAAGACGAAGCGACAAGATGAGACACAAGACGAAGCGACAAGATGAGACACAAGATGAAGCGACAAGATGAGACACAAGATGAAGCGACAAGATGAGACACAAGATGAAGCGACAAGATGAGACACAAGACAAAGCGACAAGATGAGACACAAGACGAAGCGACAAGATGAGACACAAGACAAAGCGACAAGATGAGACACAAGACGAAGCGACAAGATGAGACACAAGATGAAGCGACAAGATGAGACACAAGACGAAGCGACAAGATGAGACACAAGACGAAGCGACAAGATGAGACACAAGACAAAGCGACAAGATGAGACACAAGACAAAGCGACAAGATGAGACACAAGACGAAGCGACAAGATGAGACACAAGACGAAGCGACACGATGAGACACAAGATGAAGCGACAAGATGAGACACAAGATGAGACACAAGACGAAGCGACACGATGAGACACAAGACAAAGCGACAAGATGAGACACAAGACGAAGCGACAAAATGAGACACAAGACGAAGCGACAAGATGAGACACAAGACGAAGCGACAAGATGAGACACAAGACGAAGCGACAAAATGAGACACAAGACGAAGCGACAAGATGAGACACAAGACGAAGCGACAAGATGAGACACAAGACAAAGCGACAAGATGAGACACAAGACAGCAGCGGTCGGGGAAGCTACGAATACGATTCGATGTGTGAACGCTGCACTTTCAAACAAAGATACACAAGCGAACCTGTCAACCCCTTATCAGCGCCCTACCTTATTACAGACAGATTCAGACCTTATTGGTCACCCCGTGCCCTTTATAAATCTCAACGTTCATCCTAAAAAGTCCCATCACAAGGGAAACACACAAACACAAAACAATTCCCTATTAAAACGGCTGTACGCCCGCATGGACCTGAAAACTCAATTTCCCTGTACGAGAATACGGGGTAAACCGGTAAACAATAGCGGTCAACCGGGGGGTCAACACTGCCCTGGCCGGGCCCCCGCCGACCGGGTGATCACAGCCCCTCCGCGTTCAAGTTCAAGTTCATTTATTAGGTGTAGCCCTGTGAGCCATTCGGCTCTTGAATCGGGTGCAACCGCAACAAACAAAAAACAAAAACATGAACAAAAACATCTTAACGTGAATATGTGACTATGTGCAAACAAAAAATCCAAGAAAAGACAGCAAAATATAGCGCCCCCTCTGAAGGACATCGCTCAAGCGCTGGCTCACCGCCGCACGGGGTTCCTCCCAGCACCCCCACGGACACCACCACCACCACTCGTGCGAAGGCGGCTGCGCGAATGCGCTCGCCCCCTTGCTGGCGCTTCTATTTTAACACGCCCCACAGTTAACGAGCCCTCCTACAGCAGCGGCACAAACTGTCCACCTACACACACAAATCACACTGCACCGATACTCTGTGATAACGTTTATTCGCGGCGCGAAACCTTGCACTGCCCGGAGGAAATATTCTGCGAGCAGAGCCTATCCTATCACTACCCAATTCCCCCAAACACTTACGCGCCTTGTCACGTACCTCGCAGCCGTTCTCACGGCGTCGCACGGACGCGGGGAGAGGCGGAGGGACGGAGATGGGAGAGAACTTTGCCTAACGCTTGTATCGTGGCGGAACTCGCTGGCGTCTCACGGACGCTGCAAGCGGCACGAAGAGGCAGGGAGTCGGTCTGGGTCACCGAGCGGCCGGAGATCAGAGGACCCTTAAACCGTTTGGGGTTCCCCTTTTTATGCCCTGGGATTTCGAAAACCCAGGGTTACATTACGTCATCCTGTGTAGCTAATCGTGCACCTGCCTTTTTATTTTCAAACGTTTCGCTGCTGTTACCTAGGGCATTGTGTTAACCAGTTTAATCGGGGAGACCGCTGGCTGCCGAATACAAACCCGCGGTGTGCACAGGAATTTCCCTCCCACCTCCTCGTCTGCGCTGCTCGTGTAATATTTCACCCTGGCCCCTCCCCGGTGCTGTGAGCATCTCATTGCGGTTAGCCCAGTGAGCTTCTGTCCGCCCATACAATGTTAAGCCAATTTATGGGGGCCGCTATGTAATTTGTCCTGGGGGGGTCGGCCAATCTCCTGGAACCGGGAAACCGTGGGACTTCTCCTCTAGAGGTCCTTCGGATGAAAACCCGTGGTGCCAGGCGATCCCCCGCCGGGACACTGCATGTGTGTGTGCGCAGCGTGTGTGCGTTCAGGGCGGGGGTAGGGGGGGAGTCGCGGCACTTGCGGAGTGGCTCCGCGGTCGTGGCACCACACTATGCTACTGCAGTGACCGAATAATTACCCCACAAGGCAATATGCAGCCTAACGTCTATTTGAAAATAAACAAAGGTCTCCGATTGTAAGAAAGAGGCCTCTACGGTGATTGGTCGGGAGGCAGACTATATATTATAGGAATTGGAGGAATAAGGGTTTGAACGAGAAACTGATTGGCCTACACCAGAGACAGGAGCTTTCTTTATGGCCTTGTCTCCCTCTCTAATCCCAACAACAACGCCAGAACATGTTTGATTGCATGTTCACCACAAGTACGTGTGGTTAATGCGAATTTGATTTCTAGCAAAAGGTTTCTATTTAGGTGTTTGAACAATCTTTCCACCTGTTTTATTGCTATAAAATTGTTTATTTAGCTGATCTGTCCCCCACACGAGGATTCACGACAGAACGAGAGAGGGTACAGAGCTGACCGGCTACACATCCTATACTTGTATTTTGTTATTATGGGTTTGTCCCATTTTTTTACAGATTTTATAAATGCCGTTCCCTGGCATTCTCTTTAATAATCGGCACAGACGACGGAGACACATCAATGGGGAAATGGACTTTAAATTTACAAAGGGGATAAAAAATAACAAACTCGGTTAATGGTGAACAAAAAGGTTGATAAATAGTCAGTGTAATAACTAACACGGATATTCAGACGCGTGCCTCAGACACACGGCGAATCGAGGCGACTGCCCTGGGCCCCGCGATTTGGTGGTGGGGGGGGGGGGGCGCTTCGACGTCACGGTGCCAGACGTAATACTTGTTTTTTTAAGGCGTTGTATGATCCACAAAGTGAGATTTTCCCCAGGACCCACACCCCAACCCCTCCCCCCCGTATTGACTATGGATGGCCCTTCGTATATGGGCTTTTCTGTTCCATTTCACGTTTTAATAGAATCCTCAACAACAAAAGTGAACGTTGTGCAACAATTCACAACTGGTCAGCTTCAAACACCAGTCGGTTTTGAGAATTGTAAGTGATGTGGTTGCCAACAGAAAGAGTGCACACTCCCATCAGTGTGATGCACGTGTAAGGACAGTACGGGGCCTAGTGGCCATAATTAATAATTGAAGCAACGGAAACTGACAGGGTTACGTAAGGACAGTACGGGACCTAAGTGGTCCTAAATAATAATTGAGGAGACAGGGACAGACACAGGGTTGCGATTTGCGCACCAATTTCCGCAAACATGCTGTTTTCGACCGCATTTCGCGGTAGTTTCTGTGACCCTCTTCCGCACAAATTTCCGCAATTTGCGGTGATTCCTGGGAAGACTTCCGCAAATCGTGACTTCGATTCCCGCCTATACCGGTGCCGTACTCGCGCGGTTGGCGCACATATCTCGCGTCTACCCACTTGCCTCTGCCGTAGCTACTCTATACCTCCTGCAAATAAATACACTTTACTGCTAACGATAATAGCTCATAACATCACACACAGATTCAAAAATGAGCAGCACCCCCACCACCAAGAGCAAGCCTATCGTCCTCGAGCGCTGGTTCCTCGGCCGCCTGTGCTCTCATTGGTGGCTGGGCTGAGACCACCAACTCACTACTCTTGAGAACCCAGTTTCAGCACGGGCAGTTGCCAGGGTTTTTAATCCAGGATCTCAGCAGTGCCAGCTAAAAGCTCTGACCTGTGACCATATACAGTAATGCCCCAGTTTGCATCGGGGATGCGTTCCTGAAAGGTGCGACAACGAATATCAAAGAGACAGTCCCTCCAGAAAAACGCGGAGTTTTTTGGTGATTGTTGCGGGCAAAAATCGTTGATTATGCGGCACGTTTTCTTAAAAAATGCGATGGAATATGCGGGATATTTATGCAATTTTATGCGATTAAATTGCGGGAACTTGCAAAAACTGCGGTTTGATGAAAAAGAGAAAAAAAAGTGATTCCCCCAACACCCTATTCACTAGGCTACTACTTTAATGTAAAGAGTCATTTCTTATTACTTCCTATGATAAGCAAGCATACTACATCACAGAAAGTGCTGGGAATATTTAAGTTCTCATCTTGTTTTATTTCAGACCTTAACAAACAGATGGCTCAAACTTACAAAACATTGAGTCGAACAAGTTCTGTAGCTTTACAAAATGAATATGCTACAACTTCTGTAAAAATGAATAAATAAAATATTTAAAAATAAAATGTGTGCTTCCTGTTTTACAGAGGTAGCTATACAAAACAGACATCTTCTGTTAAAATAAGTGTTTTCAGTGCACAGTAACGTAAGCAATACAGTAACAGTACAGTCTTACAGTAATGTAAATTTACATACTACTAACAAAAAAGTGCAATCTTACAACTGTAAAGTTGCATAAACTCCTGAATAAAACTAACTACGTAGCCTCTAACACTTCATAACGTTCCCATGGCAACAGGGGAAATGGCTGCGCTTGTGTGAAGTAAACGCAACATTTTTCAACTTTCTGCTAAGATATATGTGACTTTTTGCAACGAAAATGCGGGGATTATGAAATCATGCAAGCCCGCATATTTTGCGCGCGGAAATCTGCAATTTATGCGGCAAAAGTGCGGCGTATTTGAAAAAACGCGCCCCCCCGCATAAATATGCGGACTTTGGCTGATTTTGCGTGGAATCTTGCTATCGCATAATCGCGTTTTTCTGGAGGGACTGAAGAGACGTCAATCAACGCAATTTATAGGGTAGGTGGTGGAGGCGAAGGCTGAGAGGCGACATAACGAGAAAGGATGGACGATGTTGTGTCAGCGACGTGTGGGGTTGAGGCGACGAAAATTGGTTGTGATGTTAATAAAGCGACGACTTATTTGAAAAACGACGTTAAAGGGGGTAACGTAAATCGGGGTATGACTGTACTTATTATTCAGTGTGCTGCATTATTGTGAGAAAATATCTTGTTTGAGATTGGATAGTACGTCCAGTTTTATGTCCTTTAATTCGGTCCATTAGAGATATTATTAGCCTGCTTTTCATCAGGCTAATAATAATACACAAAATCGAATAATTACTTGTTTAAACACCGACATGCCAATTACTGCAAGGAGACACAAACCATGTTGTTTTACATTGTATGTTACTGATTAGTGATTGCGCATTGCAAGGTGCTCAATTCTTACATTTTCATTATTGCATTGTATTGGGCCTGACATTGGGCCTTCACAAATCTACACTGACCAGTGTGGTGAAGTATGGTTAAAATAACCCTCATGACTGAAAGGCTTGAGGAGGCCTTCATCTAGAAGTGGATTCTACACAGTAAAGCATTTTTTTTATATATAATACAGGGTGCTTAAAAAAATGTTAACACTTCTGAGAATTTGCAACAACACCACAAGAAATGTGCCTCCGGGCTCTGGAGACCACCTGCAGAAGATTCCAGGTATGCGTTGATAATGATGGCGAACAAGGGGAGATTCTTAGACTTTTTGAAGCTATTAACATACATTTGTTTATTTTACCAATAAAAACCATAGTCCCATAAAAGTGTTACATAATTTTTGAAGCACCCTGTATATCGTTTTCACAACTGGCCGAGTGGGTAGTATGGAGTTGATATTGACAGATTGAACCCCATCTCATTTGTAATTCTGGGGGGCAGTATTCAAAGGATTCCTATCAGCTGTGACGTGGGTCGTTTCTCACAACTAAATCTTGCACACACTTTCTATACGGACCAAAACTCAGCAACTTTGATGCCGAAGACAACATGAAGCGCTGGAAGAATGCGAAGAAGAGAAAGTACATTTGCTCGTAATCACGCTCTGCCTTTGAATAAAGTACATTTGCTCGTAATTACGGCTCTGCATTTGAATAAAGTATGTGGTTCTTGTGCGGAAATGCGGAAATCATATATTCATTGCAATCAGTAGCTCAAAGCCCTGCGTGATGTTGGGCCTTGCATATATCCTTTCCAATAGAACGCATTAACGTGTTGTTAAAAGCGCGCGGTCACAGGAGTAGTCTTTCCACCGTTTGCGGTTGACATTAGCAGAAATGCGGGAAAAATTGAACCCTCCTTCCGCATTTTCCATGCCGAAATCGCAACCCTGGACAGACAGGGCCGAATGAGGTGAGAGAAAGTTCGGGAAAAGGGGCATGGCCGAGTTCGAGGGGGGGATAAAAGGCGGCACGGAGCAGGGCTCTGGGCTGCTGTGGGGATCGTCATCGATGTCGTCATCAGGAGTGGATCGTCCTCACCGTCTGGGAGCGGGTCGACTTTTTGTCTAGAAGACTAAAGTTGATCATATATATGTCGTCGCCGTAGCTGTTACTTCGTCGGCTCCTATGTAGTCAGCCAGCCGTGTAGGTGACACCGTGTACAGAAAGGTATCCACTGTACATAGTCAACTCGCGTCCGATCGAGTCGGGCGAACCGGAATAGACAATAAATATATACATACCTGGACAAGACTCTCTCTGAGTGCTACATTACACATGTGTATGTGTGATTTTTAGATTCATGTTCACGAAGTTTTAGTACAAGATTCACAGCAACATGTGAAGGTTGTGCAAGGATTCACAATTGGGCTGCTTCAGATAACATTTAGTTTCAGACGTGTAGGTGATGTGTGTTTGTGAATGTCGAACTTACAATCAATTCTACCGTGGTATCAGCAGCGGCCTAAGGACAGAGATTAAAATGCAACACGTTCACCAAAATACTGTGGCCTTAAGAGGAAAATATGAGGGTGTTTTAGGTGCGGGCCACTCTTCATAGCACATAGTGAAAATGTAATAGGTTTTCGTGACTGCAATGATTAATACTCTTTGTTTTTTCGGTAAAGTCGCGTAGGTAAAAAATTTAAATAAATTAAATCACGACGGAAGCTTGTGTTGCCTCCGAAACGTCGTGATTTTATTTATTTACGACGTTTCGGAGGCAACACAAGCCGGAAGCTTGTGTTGCCTCCGAAACGTCGTGATTTAATTTATTTTACCTATGTGACTTTACCGAAAAAAACAAAGAGCATGTAATAAGTCACCAAGACTAGGGGCGCCACGGTGACGAGATGTTAACGACCTCCCCAGGTATACAGGTCGTTGTGGTATATTTGGAGTTTGGATATCTTTCCCCGTGGTCCCGTGGATTTTTTCCGGGTCCTCTGGTTTTTTCCCCCCACATTTAGAATCAACATGCATTTACAGTATTTGGCTGCTATACATTTTCACGTGGCAAGCCACTTAATTGGGCTATTTGTGGCCAGGTCTCTTCTGACAGAGCTATATAGCTCCGTGGGCATTACCTGGTAAAAAAAATAACATAGTTTAGTAATTTACAGATGGTCAGCACTAGGCTATGCAACTGTTAACAGTACTGAAAGTGAGCGAAAGACGCTGGCTTGCAGTAACTTGCTTGTGCCACTGATTCAGCAGGAATCTTAGGGTTCAGCGTTTGGCAAGAGGCTCACAGAGCAAGACGGCGGTAGCTTTGGATTTTTAGCCGTTATTTACTGAGGTACAATGAGCCAGACTGAGAACTATTTCGGATAACTCGGCTTTAATGTTGAGAGGCTCACAGAGCTGGACTATGGCTTATGTAGAGTTCGTAGAGCTGGCTGGGGGAAGGAGAGTGCAGAGAGGCGAGTAGAGTGACACGAGAGGGGGGAATTTGAAACGAGTCACCTCTGACAGTAATGTTGAACACCAGCCACTTTTTATTTACGTTAATTCCACTTTCTAGGAGATATGTTTAAATGCCCAGGTAATTACTGGACTGTGACCACCTGTATTGACAACATGATTTTCATTGCAAGTCTCGTCGCACTTTTATTTTGCGATATATTTAAAGTGTAAACACTTGTTTTGAAATATTGTAGTGAATGTATCGGCCTCTGGCGGTTGCAGAGATCACGCGTACCCAACGCATACAAACTGCGTTAAGGCACGTCCACACCCGAACAACAATCAGTTGCGTGCAACTGAATTGCTCGTGTGTGCGAGCAGTTTGTGCAACCGGTTTTCCTCCCAGCAGGCAAGATTGACTCGTGCGATCTGCTCCAGCGATCTGCTCCAGCGATTTGAAACGCCGTATTTCATCAGGGCCCATATTTAACAAAATCGCCTTGCCTACAATATCCGGCAGTTCAACAGCATCGATGCAAGCAAGCTAACAAAGTTGAGAGTAGACAATACATCTTTATATATTCTTATTTCCATATAAAAAAAATATTTACACAACCCATTGGCCCCACGGCCTTCGCGGAGTGAATCATTCAGCAGCATTGATTGAGCAAACCGGATCAATGTTTAGTCACTCGTCAGCAGGCAGGCCTAATTGTGTAAATGCTGAATCTGCCAGATGTGGAAGGCAAGGTCCCTCAGAGACATGGGACCGAGTTAGATGCGACATCATATAACAAATATCTCGACTGTGGAAGATATAAATAAAATATACTGGAAGCAATATGCCTCCTTCAATGAATCCCAGCACCAGCAGTCTCAAGGATATACTGTACATCTCAACACTACAACCATTACTACCCACCACCACCAACCACCACCCACCCAACCACCACAACTCACCCAATCACCACAATTAATCACAACCCACGCCAGTGCACCAATGGTGAGGCCCAGCAAAAGATCTGCCAAACCATCACAGAGCAGCATGACCCCACACGTGATTTTATGGTGGTAAGGTCCCAGATAATTCCTATTATGTTAATATTATTATAAAGTCCTACAAGAGCCCCCGTATATGATGTTATGGCGGTAATGTCCCAGGCAAGTCCCAATACCACAATGTTATGGCGGTAAGATCAAAAGTCCGCTAAATGCAATGGTATGGTTGTAAGGTCCCAGCGAGGAGATCGGGCCTGAAAGAAGCAGCAGCCAGGCCCTGCAGAGTTCCCACCAAGGCCCGGATTCTCCCGGGGATGCAGGCATGGTGTGCAGCTCATGGCACGTATTTGTTGTACCCTCGAAGCAAGTCTTATTCTCCCCGGTTCAGTCATGGCATTCGCTCAAGAGGAGGGCAGAAAAAGACTGCAAGGACGTCCCTCAAGGCCAACATGGAGGAGTCCAAGATGGAGGAAGGGGACCCGCTTGCGAGGATCTCGGCACTTCGGAAACCCTACGACGGCGACGACACGAGGAAGGCAAAGGGTGAGTAGCGGAGGGCAGCGGCGTCGTCGCCGACTGAACCGGCGACCCAGGGCCACGCGCCCCGCTGGGAGCACGAAATGCGACTTACAGAGCTGGTCAATACTGGACCATCCGCCCCCGTCGGCCACCTTCGGACCCACAGATAAGGCACCGAGATTTGTTTATTCAGCAAATGCTTTAAAGCGTAACACAGTTAAATCATCAGATACACAAGAAAATGTATTCATTAAATTACCACATGTATAAATTTCGATTTAAAGCTTTCGTGACTGCAGGGATTCATATTCTTGGTTCTTTCGGTAAAGTCACGTAGAATGGAAATAATAAAATAATAAAGATAAAACATAAATATTTTTATTATGTTTTATAAAATATTTTTAATGTTTTATTTTTATTATTTCATTATTTCCATTCTACGTGACTTTACCGAAAGAACCAAGAAGATACCACATGTATGTCAATGTTATACTGAGTGGAGGACAGGCCACGTAAACACAGAGCCATGTGACCCCCCCTCCTCCAGCACGTCCAGGGCAATAATTCTGCTCTGCACGCCCTGAAGGCATCGAAGGAAGACGATCATTGTCAACAGCGAGAGACTGCCAAACAAGATTTGTTCGGGAGATTAATCTAATCGGGTGTATTTGAGACGACATAATACTGCAGTTATGCCCAATTAATGATTCAAAAACATAATTTTCCTACTTAAATGTCACGCCGACACGAATCTAATTCGTGACTACGCTTTAGACCACATATGTACTTGAAGTACAATCTGCGGCGAGGAATGCCCTCAGTACTGACCTGTGAATGCCTACTCTGTGCATTTCGTCCCATACTCTTTTTGTGCATTTACAAAAAAAACCCATACCAAAATATTTCAGAACAATTAAATGTATTATGGTCACAAAACACGCGCCAAATTGTGAAATGCACAATTACTTTCAATCCTTCAACATTAAGAGTCTTTAAAACCACCATAGATTTGCAGATTCATAACAACCATCCTACTAGAGCTAAACATGTCGAACATTAGTGGAATTGTAACCCTCTCAAAGCCGGTTGGACTAATTTGAAGAGAGGCTTTCCAGTAATAAAACAGATAAGCAGGGAATATATCCTTCATTTTAAAATTTTTGCCACGTAAGTATTTCTTCTATGATGGGCATTTTTCATTTAAACTGCAAACAATTTGTCAACAGTAAATTAACGCTCTACACATTTAAATGAAATGTAACAACAACTTAATAACATATTCTTGGTTCTTTCGGTAAAGTCACGTAAAAGGGAAATAATATTATTATTTCCCTTTTAATATTATTATATTATTATTATTTCCCTTTTACGTGACTTTAATATTATTATTTTACCGAAAGAACCAAGAATATGAATCCCTGCAGTCACGAAAGCTTTAAATCAAAACTTAATAACACTTCACACATCCAGATTGAAAACCCATTTCCGTGGAACTGCTTTTTTCGGTTTAAAAATTTTTGTCCTTCCCCCGCACCTCCGATTAGCGCGGTGGGCTACGTACGGTGTGAAAAAGGTTCAACATGCGCACGTACACATCCGCTACATTTTAATCGTAGCAGTCACTTACCATTCATTACGACCCTCTCCGTGTGTGGAAGGCTATGATGCCGAGGTGGAGGGACGGGGTTGGGTGGTCGTGGAAGGCTCACTGGGTTTTCTCTCTCGCTTCAATAAGCCATCGACCTTGCATTGGGTGTTTTTCGAACGTTGCATTTTAATCACCTGGCACCTGAGCTGCTTTACACGAGCAAAGATATCGCGGTCAACAATTTCTCCACCTTCAAACGTCCCCATCCAACTGCAGATCACATCAAAAGCCTTCCTAACATCCAAGAGCAGAACTCTGCGCTCCACATCTCCCACCTCTGCCGTCTCTTCCTTCTCCTCTTCCTGGGCCACTGGGTTGGCGTTTTGGTCGGTGCTCTTCTCGTCAGCATGATGCTGGCCGCCGTGATCATCGCCGCCCAGATGGAGCCACTCCTCCGCATCCTCCGGAGCAATTACCCCTTCCGCCCCATGATTCAAAACACCCGCCAAGCCGTCAGCCTCAAGGTGAGGGTAGGAAAGCCTGATGTCTTCTTTCATCATGTCCTCAGTCAAACGTTTTTTCCAGGCCTTGGCTAAGTATGAACATGGAAGTTCATTGCAGCCGTTGGCTGGATTGCCAACTGCACCTTTGATGTCAAACTCCTTAAAATTAGCCAACGTTCTCTCTGCTCGAGTGTCTCTTCCTTCTTGCCCTTCAATCGCTGGGCACGACTCTACGCATTTCCTTTTGCAATGTCTTTTAGTGGTCTCGGTGGTCGCTTGATCCACAGGCTGGAGTCGGCGGGCCGTGCTCCGCGGGAGAATAACAACCTTGACACGACCACAGTGACTGCTCGGAGGCTCCTCCACAAGACGGGCGGAAGTGTTGTCGAGGAGGAGCAACGCCCGGACGTCGTCACCGCTGCAGGCGCCGTTTGCTTGCTGGAACTTGACGACGGCCGGCACAAAATCTCGATGGAACCAGCGTTCAAAAGCTGCAGCTGCCAACCAAGCCGAGGCCGAGGCATAGTAGGTGACGGAAAGGGAATCCACGCATTCTCTCACGACTCGGGGCCGTTTTGATTTCCCCACCACAGCGACAGGGACGCGGTGGGAACCATCCGCGTTGGCGCAGAATAAAATGCTCAAGCGCCCCTTGGAAATATCCCTGCCGGGGAGTTGCGCTTCACGTGTGCCGGCCTGCGTTGCGGAAAGAAGCCCACGCTGACAGAAGCCGGTTCCGTCACCGTTCCACACCTGGAAGTCCGACAGGTTCTCCCCGGGGATGGTGTCCTTCAGACTCCTGCCGAACGGTCCCACCGACTCCACATGCGTGCCGAGGCTTTCACCGGATACCTTCATACGCTCCACGCCGTGGCGTCTTCTGAAGCGGTACAGCCATCCCGTGGACGCGCTGAAGTCTTCGATGTTGAAAATGCTCGCAAACCGCTTGGCGGCACCCTGGATGTCGAAGCTGCGGATCGGAAAACCCGCGGCACGCTGCTGTTTGTACCACTCAATGGTAGCCTCCTCAATGTCTCTGTACTTAATGGAATGGTCCATTCTGGTCCTCTTTACTGTTACCTCCTCCGATGTCTCGAGTTGAAATTTGAGCAGTTTATGCTTGGCGTATTTCACGTCGTAGACCGTGGATCTCCCGACGTTGTATTCGGCCACGATCGATGGCACGCTCACCCCTTCTTCGAGTTTCTTCAGAATTTCTAATTTGGTGGCCAAATTTATGGATGTTTTAGGAATTCCCCGGTGTGAGGAGCCACCGATTGCTTTCTTCTGTTCCTTGGGTTCGGGGAAAAAAGAGAGTTCTCGTTAATTTTTGTCCGGTATTCGTAAAACGAACGTTTAACAATGAGAGCGGGCAAGATTGCCATGAGCAGACCATGTGGTGGAGCTGATGTTTCGAAGGGCATGGGTTCATCGATGGCATCAGTCTACCACGTGGTCTGCTTGTGGTGGCCTCGGAGCCGTCTCGTTTATAGACACCGATTTTCAAAAAAAATAAATGTCAAAATATAAAAAAAAATTTGTATAAAAAAATACATATTTAAATATATACTATGGACTATAAGTAAACCACTTTAATATATACTTCTTCAACGGGAACATAGCAACGCCACACCAACTCTCTCCTGAAGGCCTTTCCTGACGAGCAGCAAATCTCGACGCTGGCATTGAGCTCCCGAACAAATTGCTGCCACACGCAGGGATAGAGTACACATTTCAGCACACAATTTATTCATGTACATAAACTAAGTCCGTGCAAGGTCACTTCCCGACGTGTCACTCAGCTGACCCATGCAACCACTGAATTCGTGTCCTTGGGCGTCCGCGTGTGGAATAACCGCGTCAGCGCCATCGCGTCCTTCCGCGCACAGAGTAATTGTGTGGTACCACGCGAATGGCGTTTTGGCTTCTCTTAGAATTTCCTTAGCAGATAATTTTTGTCCGAGAGCCATAGTGGTGAGATCTCATCTTCCTCGCCTGGTATGCAGGAGATCGGGGTTTCAATCCCGACCCTGACGCCTGCTGCTGTATATTTGGAGTTTGCGTGTCTCTCCCTGTGGTCGCGTTAATCTTTTGTTAGAGTCCTCCGATTTTTCCCATCCACATTTAGAAACATCCATTGAGATAACTTTTATTATTTTAGTGCTATAAATATCCAAACGATGGTGCCGCTTTGTTGAGCTATTATTTGTGGCCAGGTGGCTTCTCAAAAATAAGTTAACACCTCAGTAGGCTTTGCCTGGTAGGATGGGGATGGTTTATTTTTTATTATTTACCTTTCTTGCACTTTGCATTTCTATCACGTTTTGTACTGTTTGTTGTTGTCACGGTTCTTACCCACCCCTACTGGACATCTGAATTCAGAGCCTAATAGCTCATTGGATTTCTCCAGTATAAATACATATTCTGATTCTGCACCCCCAAATTCGGGATTTGGGTTAACTCCAAAGTAAATTAAATCGTGAATGATGTAAAGCGTGACATCCTTCCAAGGGCACGTGTTCAGAAATTAACACAGGTAACCGGAGAGAGACAGGCAAAACTTGGAAAATGTCATCGTAACTTTAAGTCCAAACAGAAACACTTGGAGATGAGACATTAGTCAGCAGCGAGCACTGCAATGTGGTTTCTCGCACAGATGCGGCTTCTCACCGGTGTGCATTTACAGAACTGATTTTCAAATCGGAACTTTGTCCGAGAGCCTCCTTCGCACGTTGCTTGCGCCCTTGCTTGGCACCTCACGGGTGTGCATTCGACAACACTTCTCCACAACGGGACGTCGCCAAAACCCTTCCCGCACACCGTACACACGTGTGGCCTCTGTACAGTGTCACGGGTAACGATATGAAAGCGCCTTCCCCATACTCCTTTTTTTACGAACGTGCGTTCCTCACGCCATTGGCGCGTGTCACCTTATGCACTCCCGACTGATCAAACGACGTGGGGTCTTGAAAAGCGCACCATCCGGTGCCTTCCGGCGTCTCCCCGCACGCCGTGCAGGCTGGTGGCGTCTGGCCGGTGAGCTCCGCTTCCTCCGCCGTCGCTTCGAGGCACCGGCCAAAGTGTTTCCGGCATTTTTCGCACGCGAGTCCCGTCCCCTTGGCTTGGCCTGCAATGCGGTTTTCGAAAAGGGGAAATGTAAAGACGCATATCAGCTGAGGAGAGCAATAAAAAAACCGACAAGAGGCGTTTTTTGGGACGACGCCGAGAATTCTCCTAAACGATGCCATCGCGGTAATTACACAACGGCGCATTCACAGCCCTCGTTAAATACAATTTCTACAAACCATTTTTGTCTCGTAAAGAAAAGCTTAACATTCTTACTGGGACAGTCACGCGAACAAGTGGTCCACGTATGTATGTACCTACAATATAAGTGTTTTGGGTTGCATCTTCCTTTAATAAGCGACTACGCCAACCTTTTTGTAGGTTGCTTATCACATCGATAAGAGCATTCCAGACCACAGGGGTGGCAGCAGACGAAGGAGTGACCGCCCACTGAGAGGAGGTGAACTCAAGGCTGGGAGAAGGCAAGGGATAACTGGAGTACGTGGTGGTGAGATTGAGGGGGGGGGGGTAGTGGAGTGAAATGACAAGGGAAGAGATAGGCAGGGGCTAAGTTTACGAAAGACTTTTAAACTGGTGAGATGGGTGATCTTCTAGTTGGCTCAGGATCGAGCAAGCGTACGCCTCTGAAGGTTGTGTATGATGCGCATCGTTATTACGTGTCAGCGCGCACGCTCGCAGCACGCTTCCCGAGCTTGTAAACGGAAGACGTTCAGAGGCCACAGCGAGGAGAGAGTGGCGGCCGTAGTCGGGGCGAGGTGGGATAGGGGCACAAGCAAGAGTCTCGCTAAAGACCCTCGAGGTCTCATCCAGATCTGCAAGAGCGCTGGCGGTCAGAGTGGAACAACGTCCATGCAGCGCTCGCACACCTCTCCGCATTCGCCCCCCCCCCACCCCCACCCCCACCCGCACTCTCTCCCTCTCTGACTTAGTTAACTGCCCTAACCCTGGTTTCTCTCCCACTTCAGTAACAATTTCCTTGCTGTGGTTGTCACACCTGATGATGATTGCTTGTGTTGCAATCGAAACGTCGTGATTTATTGATTTCAATTTTTTTCTTCTTTTCTTTTTTCTTTGTCACCCACGTGACTTTACCGAAAGAACCAAAGAGTATAACGCAGACGTCCAAAATAAACGCGTCAATCGAGACCGAAACATTGCGCCTCCTGGCTTAGACATTCCTCCTCCTTGAAGGCACTGCTGTAACCATCAACCGCAAGGGACCATCAACAACATCTCCTTCATGAATGGAAAGTTAAAGACAAGTCACAGTAGTGCGACTGTGACCGTGTAAACCAAACTACGGGCCGGGTAGTAAACCGCTAGAGTCTGTGCCCCATCAAAGGGGAAGTGGTAAAACTACACAAAACTCTCTCCCGAAACCCTCTCGTGGCGAGCAGACCTCGAAATTGGTATTTATCTCCTGACCATATTCAGAATCTTTATCCGATGAGCTCTGAAGCTCCTTCCACAGATGTCCAGTAGGGGTGGCTCAGAACGTTTCAACACAAAAACACGGAGTGTAAAGTATAGGAAAGGCAAGCAAATTGCACAAAAATACAAATCAACTAAACAATTTGTTTTCATCAGATAAAGCCCACTGAGCTATATTTGCTTCTTTTATTAGAAGCGACCTGATCGCAAATGATCGCCCAACGAAGCGGCCAATCATGTGGATGCTGAAGTGTCAGATGCCGGAGATGTTGCCCAAGTGGGTGTAAGTGGAGGGACAGGGTTGCTTCCCAAGTTGAGGGATGTGTGAGGAAAACCAGAGAATGAATGACAAAGGAAATCAAGAGCTCAAGAATTAATGACAAACTCCAAATTGTTGATACACTCTGCCAGAATGATAAGATAGACAAGAAACTAACGAGGTTTTTGTTTTTTTCATTATTTTCTGATGAGGACGATTTCAGCTTTGGCAATGCTCAGTGAGAGAATGTAAGAACTCAACAAAGATGAGGCCACGTCTCCAGGCAAGATAACGGGGGGGGGGGGGGGGGGGGGGTGGCCTCACCTTGACCAATCTCCTCCGATAAATCCTCCTTGATGGAGTTCTGGTCTGGAATGGTCAGGCATCCACGGGAGTGCATCGTCTCCTCTCGTCTCCCATTGGCTTCTTCAACTTTAACAATCTTCAAAGACGAATCTGTAATTTAGAAAATTTGCCACAGACATCGAGGAATGTGAGGTTTAATATAGAGCATAACCAGCCATCCAGTACATGTGTGATGTTGGACCAATGTGGTTGGAACCGTTGGCCCAACGTTGCATGTTTAATGGACAGTCACACAGGGCGGGCAAGGCTATTTATCCCAACATCAATGTGAACATTTTTTCCGTTTTGTTGATTTTAATCTTGAGATTTCCATCCTAAGAAATGTACAGCTGTGTACTGTAGCCACGGCCAGCAGATTTGAACTGCTAGGCTGCCTTGGATTGACGTAGCTTTTTTTAACTAAATAAAATTCAGCACGTCGCATATCCGAACGCCACATCCGTCCTGACCAATTAACTGACCATTCACACAGTGCTGTTTGTGCAAGATTGTGTAACTGTCAGATGCCTACAGATGTTCATACATCTCACCTTTACACAGACAGAAAAACATTTTTAAAATGGCAGAAAAAAAACGTGACATTCAACTTCGATTTTGTATTACGGATAATTCCATCCTCGATAATTCAATATTTAAATTTATTTCCATGCAACTAGCACCTTTTACAGCGTAGAAACAAAAAAGTGTGCCCTTAGTGTTGATAAGAGACGACTGAAAAAACCTCCTGTCCCCACCCACCACTACCTCCTGACTCCACTCACCACAACCTACAGAGGTTGACTTCGCTGCTGAGTTGCGGCAATAGAAGCAGATATCTGTGTATGTTGAACTTCTTTCACACGATATGTAGCCACGTGCTAAGCGGAGGTGCAGCAGGGGGGGGGGGGGGGGGAGTCCAACAAACTAAAGACAAGAGCAGTAATCAACCACGTGCAGCAGGCAGCAGCAGCAGAGCTTCAGTGCAGCACATGCAGCTACAACCTCACGAGTTACATGAACTTGGGAAGATAAAATATGGTGGTCGAAGTAAACGCTTGTGAGCAGATGAGTGGAGTTCACACGTTCAGTAGAGCCTCGTGCAAACACATCATGCAGGGGTGGAGAACGTCCGGCCCGCAGGCCGTACAAGGCCCGAAAAATCATTTAGTCTGGCCCTGCCAAGGCAACCACAGGCGGGACTCGAAATAAAATAAATCTAGGAGCAAACCTGGAAAAGCAGTTGCGAGTAGCAGCAACATCATCAATGCCATCTTCTTGGTTCTTTCGGTAAAGTCACGTAGAAGGGAAGTAATAAAATAATAAAAATAAAACATAATACAATAATTCTCACGACGTTTCGGCCACAACGCAAGCAGCCGTCCTCAGGTGAAGAACAGGTCTGTCGAGAAGACAGCGTCTGAATAAAATAGACTCTGTCTTTTCGACAGACCTGTTCTTCACCTGAGGACGGCTGCTTGCGTTGTGGCCGAAACGTCGTGAGAGTTATTTTATTATGTTTTATTTTTATTATTTTATTACTTCCCTTCTACGTGACTTTACCGAAAGAACCAAGAAGATGAATCCCTGCAGTCACGAAAGCTTTAAATCGAAATCATCAATACCAGCTAACATCACACACCTCGCCAAAGAGAAGCAGTTCCAGCCATCACATTAGGGGTGAGTCAATAAAATGTTTGACCAAATTTAACAGGCTAATTTTGAAGTTGATAATTTTGTATGGCCCGCGAATTATGTTATGAATATCCAAATGGCCCTTGGCAGAGAAAGGGTTCCCCACCCCTGTCATAGTGGAACATTCCTGGAGGATTACAGAACTCTTCAATAGTCTGACTCTACCGCTGAGGCACCGTCGAAACTTGTCCAGAGTTTGCTCGTTTTGAAACAATTCTTTACACAATGGGTTGTGTAAAGAATACAGGATGGGTACTTTTATTTTTTATTTTTTTGAGTATCTATTTTTATTAATATTCTTTATAACAGCGCTGATGATTATTTTGAATTATTGGAGGAGGGAGTCCCACGCTTCACTACCATTCTCCAACAGAACACTCGGGCAGAGTTCACTTGTGCTTTGTAAAGACTGCTCAACGCTGCCTGTTAAATGTTGCCGCACAATGATTCGTCAGGTGATATCATCAGAATTTAAGGTTTCACGTCATCTCACCAGCGTCATTATCCTCACGTTTCGCCGTCGATTCCCAACACATAGCAGGGCCCGGTACGTCTTCATTTTCCTGTTTGATGAGTGGCACTTCAACCTGTGACTCCATCTGAGGAACAACAAAAAATAGATGCGGAGACATTCAGCCATCTACACACAAATGTATACTTACGTGCATCCGTAGTAATAATAATTACCACTTGCGCCGCACGGTATTTGCTCAACTCTCTTGGAGAGAGAATTACTGAGAGGCGCAAGGAGAAATCGCAGACACGCGGGAAGCCAGCAGCCAGGCGGCGAGCCGGGGCCAGCATTCGTCCAAGCTCTACAGTCCTCTACATATTACGTGCTCTATGTATGGATATTGAACTTTTTTCGCACCGGAATGTAGCCAATTGTGCTCATCAGAGGTGCGGTGTTAGCGGCCACGCGCTGAGCTGGCGCTACGGACAGTTGCCCACGCTCTGCGGTCCCCAATATGTAAGAAAGTGAAATGTGTCAATTAATGAGTGTTTACATGCGGGAGGAATCCGCGGCGCTCAGAGAAAACCCACGCACGCAAGGGGGAAACTCTTTCCCATACAGATACTGCCTTACCCTGGCGAGCCATTACCCTGGCGAGCTAGGGTAATGTTACGTAACGAAACGGCATTTGCTTTTGAATGGCAGTAACTTGGGTCAAAGAACATTTGGACGTAGAATTCCGTTTCTGGGATATTTCATTAGATACACGACAACTATATTGCAAAGAGGAACTACTACGCAGCTCTGGTGGCTGCTTCATTGTGAAGACGGAGCCCCCCCAGGGTAATGGCTCCTCCTCGACGGCCACGGGCAGGGAGTTTTAGAGCGCTTGTGCGACCCACCAACCCTGGCTGCTGCCTCCACAGTGCTGGGTCACTTTCACAACTCTACGGTGGCGTCGTAAACGACATTATCAGCTCAGGGGGTGCGGAAATCGGTCAGGTTGGGGCCCCAATATTTGATTTGTCTCGCACGGTCGCACCCAGGCTATCTATATATACCACTGATCATCTTGCCTAAAGCAGCACAGCGTTACGCTCACACGGTCTCGAACATTTAATGCTGAAGGGGCCTCTTCATCGTCGCAAATATAGCAGCCACTACAGCTCCGTAGTAGTTCCTCTTTGCAGGAAAGTTGTCGCGAATATAATAAACATATCCCAGAAACTGAATTGTTTGTTCTTTTACTCAAGTTACTGCCATTCAAAAGCGAATGCCGTTTCGTTACGTAACATTGCGTTATCTTCACAGTTAAAAAAAACCTGTCCAACCCCCCAATACTAAAACTATTCAAAACATTTCTCGTGGTGATTGTCAGAGAAACGGGGGGGGGGCAACTCGTAGCTTTGGCCACCGTTGGGGGGCCAAGGCACTCCACACTCGTTGCGCTACGGGGCCGTCCATAAATGACGTCACGCGATTTTGGACGATTTTTGACTCCCCCCCACCCCATCATCACACGGCGTCACAAAAAGTCAGACCCCCCCCCTCAAATATGACGTCACAAAGCTCTGCCCCCCCCCCCAAATAAAACATGCTTCAAATCGCTTTAAACTATTGTCATTGTAGTGCACTCTGATGTTATAGGAGAAAACATTTATTAAAACGTATATTTAACCTATGAGATCTCTTTTACCAGTGGCAAAAGGGTAAAAACCTACTACTAAGTATATTTAATTAAGTAGAACGTGTTGTCTATATTTATTTAAAGTTGCGCATTTTGATGTGACGTCACATTTCTCACCCCCCCCCCCCCCTCGTCACACATCGTCACAAATGTCTGACCGCCGCCCCCCTAGGTGCGTGACGTCATTTATGGACGGCCCCTCCTGCCAATTCTGCAATAGCTTACACACAAAGACACAGATCCACCACACCACCCCGTAGAGTCTTCAACAGACTGCTGGGTCAAGTGCTGATCGCGAGCAGCAGCAACTCTGAAGGCCGGAACGGCACACGACGAGGTGGGTGGCCAACACCACGCCCGGCCGCCTTTGTCTCCCCAGCGGCGATGCTCACACACCGCACAGGGTACTCATTTGAGGCTGAGTCGACCTAGGGGAGGCCCCATGACCCGTTCAGACAAACGTCCCAATAGCACACAGACACACGCACACATCGGTGTACAACAACAACCGCCATTCAACACTAAGTGGCGGTGACGTCACCACGGCGCTTGTGCCAGGCTAGGTGCACCACGTGCACCTAGCCTGGCTGGCAGGTCATGGAACAGACCTAGCAGGTGCCATGGGTCGACTGAGATGACCGGTAGATGCACCACCTTTGCCCCCTACTGTGCCAGGCTAGGTGCAGGAGGAGGTCACGGGACAGACCCAGCAGGTGCCACGGGTCGACTGAGATGACCGGTCGATGCACCACGTGTGCCCCCTACTGTGCCAGGCTAGGTGCAGGAGGAGGTCACGGGACAGACCCAGCAGGTGCCACGGGTCGACTGAGATGACCGGTCGATGCACCACGTGTGCCCCCTACTGAACGCACCACACCGCACACACGTGTCAACGCAAACGTACACTGCACACGTCTAACACAACTTAAAAAACACACATTCCTTAACCACTGCTTCCGCGTCTAATGCTCCCTCAAACAAGCAAAAACCCTACAGTGACCAGCGTGGTGAAGTATGGTCATTTACCCCGTCAAATACGGAACTTTGGGCCAACGCTGCACGTTGACTGGGTGACCTTCCACGACCCACAGAGGCACGCAGATGCCCTCATCCAGCAGTAGAGGGACAACGCAACAAGGCCGTTCCATTACAAAGACCCCCCCCCCGTGTTATGTTAGAGCATGTATGGGGGGGGGGGCAGCACCACGCCCGACCGCCTTTGTCTCTCCACCCCCCCCCCCCCCCCAACACGGCACCTCCGATTAGCACGGTTGGCTAGGTACGGTGCGAAAGAAGTTCGCCATACATACTGCAACGCTGGGCTACTGTACTTACCGCTCATTTAAGGCTGAGTCGACCAGGGCGAGTCCCAGGACCGGTTCGGTGGAGTCGCCTCTTGTCTGTCGTGTCCTGCACGTCTTTGTCTCCCCGCAGCGACGGCTCCACTCCACGCACTCTTGACGAACTCCCTCTCCCCTCCCTCCTCCACCCACCAACCCCAGACCCCCTCTCCCCTCTCCTCTCTCCACCCACCAACCCCAGACCCCCTCTCCCCTCTCTCTCCACCCACCAACCCCAGACCCCCTCTCCCCTCTCCTCTCTCCACCCACCAACCCCAGACCCCCTCTCCCCTCTCTCCTCCACCCACCAACCCCAGACCCCCTCTTCCCTCTCTCCTCCACCCACCAACCCCAGACCCCCTCTCCCCTCTCTCTCCACCCACCAACCCCAGACCCCCTCTCCCCTCTCTCTCCTCCACCCACCAACCCCAGACCCCCTCTCTCCTCTCTCTCCTCCACCCACCAACCCCAGACCCCCTCTCTCCTCTCTCTCCTCCACCCACCAACCCCAGACCCCCTCTCTCCCCTCCCTCCTCCACCCACCAACCCCAGACCCCCTCTCCCCTCTCTCTCCTCCACCCACCAACCCCAGACCCCCCTCTCTTCTCTCTCTTTTTTTTACGATCAGTTGAAACAAGAAGATGCTCGGTGTAGTCGGCACTTTGTTTCGTTCATCATTTCGTAAATTTTTTTTTTTTACATTTTTAAACTTTGCTTTATGTAAACCCCCACCTCTCGCTCACTCTCTCGCTCTCTCTCTCGTTCTGCACGTAGCCATCTCTCCACCCACCAACCCCAGACACCTCTCTCTCCCCTCTCTCTCCACCCACCAACCCCAGACCTCTCTCCCCTCTCTCTCCACCCACCAACCCCAGACCTCTCTCTCTTCCCTCTCTCTCCACCCACCAACCTCCAACCCCCCTCTCTTCTCTCTCTCTCTCCACCCACCTTTCTCTTCGCCACTGCCCGTGAGGTTTGTGACGGAGATGCGGCACAAGACGCGCGCCCCGACACTGATCGCCGTCAATTTGGTCGGAACAAACAACTCTGGTGACCCCCCCACCACCCAGGTGTGAAAGTTAACCCAAAGCACCGCCCCCCCCCCCTAAGGTGTGAAAGTTAACCCAAGGCCCCCCCCGCCCCCCCTAAGGTGTGAAAGTTAACCCAAGCCCCCCCCCTGCCCCCCCTAAGGTGTGAAAGTTAACCCAAGGCCCCCCCCCCCCGCCCCCTCCCCAAAGTGTGAAAGTGATTAAACACCGGTTGTGTTCGCGGTCTTTGAGCTACGTTTGACTTCTTTCGCGGGCCGCGCTCACTCGCTGAAGATAATGCAGGGTGCTTGAAAACAATGTTGACACTTCAAACCGTGATGGTCGCAAGACTTGCAGAGAGACCCCAAGACTTGCAGAGAGACCCATATACTCACACAGAGACCCATATACTCACACAGAGACCCATAGACTCACACAGAGACCCATATACTCACACAGAGACCCATATACTCACACAGAGACCCATATACTCACACAGAGACCCATATACTCACACAGAGACCCATATACTCACACAGAGACCCATATACTCACACAGAGACCCATATACTCACACAGAGACCCATATACTCACACAGAGACCCATATACTCACACAGAGACCAACAGATTCGAATACTTACAGACCCGCATACTCACGGACCTGCATATGGAACCATAAGATTGAAATAAAGACACATAGACTTAGAGACCCGCAGACATGCAGAGAGACCCATATACTCACAGAGACCAACAGACTCCCATCGAGACTCACATATAGAACCATAGACTCAAAAAGAGACTCATTGACTCAGAGATCAACAGACATGCAGAGAGACCCATAGACTCACACAGATAACCTATCATATAGACCGATAGCCTCACATTTACCAGGTAAGGCCCACTGAGCTATGTAGCTCTTCATCAGAAGCAACTTGGCCACAAATGATAGCTCAACGAAGTGGCTTATCACGTGTAAATGTATCGCTGCTAAATACTCTAAACGCGTGATGTTGATTCTAAAATGTGGAGAGAAAAACCGGAGGACCCGAAGAAAAATCCACGCGACCACGGGGAGAGAGCGAGACGTGCATACTCGAAATATACATTCTAGATTTGAAGCTTTCGTGACTGCAATGATTCATACTCTTAGGTTTTTTTCGGTAAAGTCACGTAGGTAAAAATTAAAATTAAAAATTAATAATAAAATGATAGAAATAATAACAGAAATAAAATAATAAATCACGACGTTTCGGGCGCAACACAAGCGTCTGACATCAGGTGGGACAACCACAGCAAGAAACATGCTGAATATAAATATACAGCAGGACTTCAGGGCCGGGATCGAACCCACGGCCACCTATATACCAGGGGAGGTAGTTAAGATCTCGCCACCGTGGCACTATACGTTGTATAGTACTATACGCTGTATCGTGCCCGACATCAAATATCAATCATGCTTCCTGCACAACACTCAAGAGTATGGTTTTACCCCGTCGGTTTCACCAGGCCGAAACGTCCTTCACACAAATGCACGCACGTGCAGAAAATACGCGCAGAGGGCATCTTTTTTTTTATTCATGCAGCTTTATTGAGTATATTGTTCACAATTGCGTTTAAGGTTAATGATTTTCACAGGATGTATTCCAATTCTGCTGCCCACATTTAGACGACGCGTTCCAAGCAAACCAGATCCCACCGCAGATACTTTTGCTTTCTTGCAGAGAATACCGGCGAATTACACCACAGTCGCACACCTTTGCCAATCTCGTTCGTAAGCTTGTCATCACAGCTGCTAGACCGTACGAGTCTTTAGCCGTGCAAACAAAGTGAGCACTGATCCGCTTTACCTGTCTGCTGAATAAACCTTCAGAGCTGGAATTGGTGGAATTCATTTCAAACCGCAAGTTTAATTGAAGTTGGGTTCCTTTTGAGTGCAGCGCGTCCCTGTGATGAACCTGAGCCCATTGATGTTTAATTGATAAGCAGGTGAGCACTCAGTGGACCAGGAATGAGTCGTTTGCAAGATTGACCCCCGGGGGTCACCGAAATGACAAAAGGAAAACAAAGAACCGCACAGAAGGTGCTGCACTTGAGAACTCGTTTTTTTTTGTATGACAGGCGTGTGTGTGTGTGCGATCATAGGAATCTAGCGCAGGAACTCCGCCAAGCTGTCCCATTGCGCTGATGTTGTATAAACCACCACGAGTCATCTGAGCCACTGGCAAAAAAATCTGCTTGAGAAAAAGACTGTGCTTAGACATCGTTATGTCTATGTGGTACAGCGTGTTCTAGTCGTGCAAGGCAAGCATTTAATAGCTCATTTTAATATTTATTCATCATCGTAGCATGTTGGTACATGGCGCTTGTCTACAATAAGCCTCGTCCCGTGAAGTTGCAATCCACGCGATTGTCTTCACACTCATTGTAGTCCAGTAACATTTACGACTTTGATGATCTGTAAAAAATACAAAAAGCACGGTTAAAGATGCAACATCAATATAAAACCCTGCCACCAACCTATTCTGCAGCTTGCTACGGAGAGCAGAGTTGCCAGGTTGTGTTTTTTTTAATTCATGGAGGTGACCCTCATATCCAGGGCCGGAGTCAGGCACGTGGCTTTAGGGGCTGCATCCCCAGGGGCCTCCGTCAGCTGGAGGGCCTCCAGAGATGAAGTGAAAAGTTATTCCACTTGTGAATGCTGAATCTTATTTGTTGTTAGCCTTGTAAAAATACATTTAATTTTTCTTTAACTTTTGTTTTCCTTTTGAAAATATAACTGGGGGCCTCACAGTACCCTGGAGCCCAGGGGCCTACAACATCTTAATCCGGCCCTGCTCATATCCTTCAAGAGTTCTACTCACTCAGCAATTGAACCTTCTTCAACCGCAGATGACAAAACGTGCCCGTTTGCCAAGCGGTAATCCAAAGTTGCTCTTTGAGGAGCTACCCAAACGAACGGCTCTCTCCTGCGTACAGTCGCCGGTGACCGACCGGGCTGAGACCAGCAAACTCCACACCCGAGAACCTGCACGGGTCGTAGATGTATCAGCGGCCTGTAGCTCAGAGCTCTGACACGGCCGATTCGTAACCCTGTGTGGCTGACACCTGGACTACGCTGAAAGCCGACTCGGCTACGATCCAGGGTATCCGTCGCGCCTTGCGGCGCCGTCCACCGCCCCCACTTTGTAAGAGGCAGCCGCAACGAGGAGGAGGAGGTGGTGGGGGGGAAGAGTAGGTAGGGAGATCATGGAGCGTGCCGGCCCGATCGTCGCTGCAGCAAAGCGCCCGCCTCTCTCTGTCTGTCGGCGTCCGTCGTGAGACGAATGGCCGTCGAATCCCCTGAGAGGAGCTCGCGCCGCGGAAAGTCGCGATGGATTTTGGGGGCCTCGACTAAATGACGCTTGGAGGGCTGTGGCGGGGAGGTCGACGTGGTGGTCGCTACGACCCGGGGCCGGTTGAGCGTGTTAGCGAGTGAGAAGTCCGAGCGTGAGCGGTGGCGAGCCTCACCGGATGAGTGTCTTCCTCTCGGTTGTCTCCACCACCTTCTGCTCCTGGAAAGACGACTGCTGGTGTTGGTGTCCAGAGCTGCTCCAGCCGCTTGAAAACTCACTCACCATCGCCGAGATGCGACAGTCCTCGCCTTCCAGGAGTTTTCTGCGTGGCACGCACGCGCACACACGCACCGTGCAACAGAGCAGAGTTTAGCTCGGAAAGAGGATATTGGGCATGAACAATGATGATCGTGAGCTCACACACACAGGGTTGGGTGAAGCCTTACATGCACTTCTTAACATCGCTAAACATTTTAATTTTTACAAAACTCCCAATATTTTACCGACATCAAAACACATTCTTCAACAACACAAAGGAAAATATATTCTAGGTGACGTATTGGGCAATGTCTCTTCTAATGGCTCTTCTTCATCGGAAGAAATTAATTTACGTGCAGTGAATGAGGACCATTATATATTCCTTGCAAGGCAACAGTGTTATTGACGATTGTGATGCCTTGTTGTTGTTGATTGTGCTTGCGTGCCAATGCAGCAGGAGCACCACCACATAGTTTGGTACATTCTAAATGAACTCTTTCAGAGGGTGATGAGCGGGTGATTGTTTTGCCTTTCTTGTGCTCTGCACTGTTATCATGTATATGCACTGTTTGTTGTTGTATCGTTCTTACCCGCCACGACTGGATATGTGTGAAAAAGAGCAGCATAGCTCAGTGGATTCCTCCAGCGTAAATACATATTCTGTTTGTGATGTGAGAGAGCGCATGTAGTCTGTGCATTCATGCGTTGAGCCATTGTTGTTGATACTTACACCCACAATACATGCACGTGGATAACGATCGCTATTTTTTTATTCTTATATAATTGCATCGGGACCGGTTCGGATTTCACTCACCGCATATGAGTCACCACTGGGAATAACAACTCAGTTCGCCGATGTCATGATGTAGTGCGCGAACCACCGCACCACCACTCGTCCACACAATCACTTACCGGTAAGTGGCGATCTCAATGTCCAGAGCCATCTTGACATTAAGAAGGTCCTGATATTCTTGAAGGTGGATGGCCATCTTCTCCTTGGTGGACCTCAGCTCTTCCTTGAGAGTATCTAGTTGCAACTGAGAAGAGACGACAGATTAGCCATGTTCTTGGTTCTTTCGGTAAAGTCACGTAGAAGGGAAATAATAAAAATAAAACATAATAAAATAATTCTCACGACGTTTTGGCCACAACGCAACAGCATCTCCCCGACAGACCTGGTCTTCACCTGAGGACGGCTGCTTGCGTTGTGGCCGAAACGTCGTGAGAATTATTTTATTATGTTTTATTTGTATTATTTCCCTTCTACGTGACTTTACCGAAAGAACCAAGAAGATGAATCCATGCAGTCACGAAAGCTTTAAATCGAAAGATTAGCCATGGTTACCTGGGCCAATGAGGCAGCAAACAGGGCCTCATGTTCAACTGCAACCCTAACGACAGGGGGGGGGGGGGAGGGCTATCCACAGGCAGTAGCCCATTCATGTGTAGTGACTCACTTGGAGACATAAGTTCTTGGAGGCATATTCTTGGTTCTTTCGGTAAAGTCACGTATGTAGAAAATAAAATAAAATCACCTGATGATGGACGCTTGCGTTGCGCCCGAAACGTCGTGATTTACTTTATTTTATACCTACGTGACTTTACCAAAAGAACCAAAGAGTGCGGTTCTGGTATTGCCTGTCGGGTGATTCCAAAGCAACGAATCCCGTACAAACGTGCAGAATCATGCCGACGGTATCCCAACACCGAATGGAGCGACCGCTCTCGGTGCCGCGGGTATCGGAACGCCCCATCGAGCACCGAACGTTGGGCCAATGCGCGTCGGTGCCCAACGTTGGCTCGACGTCTTTAAATACAGCACGTGTGTGTGTGTGTGCGCTATGAAGAAGGGCAATTGTCAAAAACGTCACATGTCAGAAAAGTTTCCTTTTAATTTTTTTTTCGTGAAGCGCCGAAAGCTCACCTGGTACTGTTCCAGCTCGATGCGGTACTTCTCCTCCGTGTCCTTGATCTGGGCGAGCAAAGCCGAGTTCCTCAACTTGAGGTTCTCCAACTCCCTCTCAAGCGCTTGTATCTATAGGTGGGTGGTGGTGGTGGGGGGGGGGTCACAGCATCACACACAGGGGTTCATCGCAGCACGTGGGGGTCGAGGGGTCACTCTTTGTGTGTCGTCAGGGGCCACCAGTGGCCAGGGGGCCTTGCGATGAAGACCACGGCTGTACTGGACACACACGAGGCATACACACGATGTGACGTTCACGAAAAGGAGGCCTCTGATCGCGCGACTTATCACGTAGAAGGGAAATAATAAAAATAAAACATAATAAGCTGCCATCTGCCCGCGACTGCAGACAAGCCCTGAATTGAATGTGAAGCCAGACCCATCGGAGATGCATTCGCCTTGGAAGGACGTCTTTAAATACAGCACGTGTGTGTGTGTGTGCGCTATGAAGAAGGGCAATTGTCTAAAAACGTCACCTGTCAGAAACGTTTCCGTTTAATGTTTTATTTTCGTGTTATTGATCAGTGGGTTGAGCCTTGTTATTTTACTTGTGCTCGTTTCACACACGTGCCGCTCTTCGCCTTTCACGCGTCTCTCCTTCCCCCACGCGCAACGAGAATCTCAACGCGCGCACGCTGTGACCCCGCCGACGACGATCTCCGTCAACTCACGCTACACGTGGGAGGGGTGGGGGGGCGGTGGTGCACGAAGACCCCCTGAGATTCTCCGCCGTGACAAATGCTCGTCGACGCACAAAGACAAAGATTCCCCAGCATAGCCTTGACAGACTGTAGGGGCAAGTTCTGTTAGCGAGCACCTGTGAAGGGCCAGAATGGCACACCAGGGGGTGGGTGGCCAGCACCACGCCCGGCCGCCTTTGTCTCCCCAGTGGCGATGTTTTTACGGCACCGCACCAGGTACTCATTTGAGGCTGAGTCGACATAGGGGAGGCCCAGAACCGGTTCATATAATTGTCACTGGTGTCGGCCGTGAGCGGGAATCGAACCCGGGTCACCAGGTTCGTAGCGTAGCGCGCTAACTGCTACACCACCGCTCCCCACACACACACACACAGCTCCACACACACACACGCAGCTCCACACACGCACGTGCACGTACCAGGAGTTTTGAGTCGGAGAGCTCCTTCTTGAGGATGCAGAATTCCTCGACGTTGCGGCTGCTGTTTTGGCTGACGTCGGCAAACTTGTTCTTGTACCAGTCGTCCATCTCCTGTTACGGGACAGGGCACATCGAGGATGTGTGCGTCACACAGCTGCCAATGCCACGCAGACTAATGAACAACACTCCCTTGCGATAGAATGTTTTTGTTTGTTTGTTGAACACACGTTTCATAACTGGACCCTGCAACAGGAATGTGTAATTCTTACCACCAAGCTAGGAAGCGATCGTCACTCTCCATACACTGGAGGTGTATACAGAGTGCTGATATTGATCGCCTTGGATCCCGTTTGTGCGGTACCCTAGTGCAGTGATTTGCTCAATTGTGCTAATCGATTCCGTTGGCGCTCAACCACCACCACCACTGCCACCACCACCACACTGCTTCCCCCGCACCTCCGATTAGCACGGTTGGCTACGTACGATGCGAGAGGAGGTCGACATACATACACACACTGCGGGTCACGACGATATACTCACTCTTCCACTCACTCCGCTCACTCACTCACCCACTCACTCTCACACACACTCCATTCATCCACTCACTCACCCACTCACTCTCCCACACACTCTACTCACCCACCCACCAACTCACCCACTCCAATTTCCCACTCACTCACCCACTCACTCTCCCACCCATTCCACTCATCCACTCACCCACTCACTCACCCACTCACTCACCCACTCACTCTCCCACACACTCTACTCACCCACCCACCAACTCACCCACTCCAATTTCCCACTCACTCACCCACTCACTCTCCCACCCATTCCACTCATCCACTCACTCACCCACTCACTCTCCCACCCACTCTCCCACACACTCTACTCACCCACCCACCAACTCACCCACTCCAATTTCCCACTCACTCACCCACTCACTCTCCCACCCATTCCACTCATCCACTCACTCACCCACTCACTCTCCCACCCACTCTCCCACCCACTCTACTCACCCACCCACCAACTCACCCACTCTAATTTCCCACTCACTCTCCCACCCACTCTCCCACCCATTCCACTCATCCACTCACTCACCCACTCACTCTCCCACTCACTCTCCCACCCACTCTCCCACCCACTCTACTCACCCACCAACTCACCCACTCCAATTTCCCACTCATTCACCCACTCACCCACTCACTCTCCCACCCATTCCACTCATCCACTCACTCACCCACTCACTCTCTCACCCACTCCACTCACCCACTGACTCACCCACTCCACTCACCCCACTCACCGCACTGCGGGTCACCTCACTCCTCTGTCTGCTTCTTCCCTCGCACCGCTCCACTTTCAAATTCCAAACTCCCACAATCCCCCCCCCCCCCACCCCCGGCTCAACGATAATAAAGAACCCTTTGCTCAATTCAAGAAAGATTCACTCTCTACTCCCTTGTCTATTACAACTTTGATAGTGCTCTTTGCTGCTGGTCCGTTCGACGTTTTGTGCCTGTTCCTAAGAAATAGTGTAGTTTATTGTTGTTGCTACGTGCTGTACGTGATTAAAAAAAAACGACTAAACACAAATCAAATACCTTGAGATTCTTGGAGGCGATGTCCTCATAGTGTGCACGGATGTCCCGCAGGGCGTTGGTGAGGTCGGGCAGCCCGTACGAGAGCTCCACGGTGGCGGACACCACCTGGATCTGGGCCATGAGCTCCTCGATCTCCTGTTGGCAGGACGAGATGCACGCAGCAAGAGCACACAACAGCGGCGTTCGCACTTTCTCCAGCAGTGAAGCGATCCGGCAGCTGGGAGGCGGGTATTGGTTGGGTCACACAGTCGACGAGGTGCTTGAGAAACTCCACGTGCAGGGAGCAGGGTGGCGGATGTATGCAGCATGTGCGTTGAGCTTCTTTCGCGCCGTACGTAGCCAAGCGTGCGAATCGGAGGTGGCAGACTGGTGTCGCTCCCGGCGGAGTCAATTTAGAGGTTTAACGTGTCTCTTGATTGCAATGATTCATGTTTTGAGGACATTTTCTACGAGACGTAAAAAAGGCAATAACGTCAAGGGATGTGTTCGCTATGTCGTGAATCCTCTCCCTTGGCGATACGAGAGATGGAGGCGTCAGTGAGCACGACACAGACAGGCGCTGCGTCGCGACATCACGGTGGCCTTGGAGGGGCCGCCGTTGTCTCCACCTGGCAGAAGCCTTTGGGGCCTGGGGGCCTGTGATTAGTGCCTCCTTGAGAATTGATAATTGGTTTTTTACCCTTCTATCTGGCAACAAAACTGACACCTTTTTTACAAGGAGTCATGTTTGCATAGACCACAATACCTGCAGCCATAATGCAAACAAAAAACATAACTCTGATAATATATGCACTGTCCTTGAAGTTGATTGGTCCACACCCGATGACTCCTTGTAAAAAAGGTGTCAGTTTTGTTGCCAGATAGAAGGGTAAAAAAACAATTATCATATTTTTTACTGGCAAATGAGGATTCCAATGGTGTTAGTGCCTCCTTGTTGCTCAACTCCGACGTTCTGGGCATTTGGTGCGTGCGTCAGAATTCGCGTTAAAAAGCAAAACAAAATTTGCGTTAAAAAGCAAAAAAAATCCGTGTCGGCCGTTGCAGCCGGCGCTGACAGCACGCATCACGGGGCTCGAGATTCAGACATCTGTCGTAAAACGTGCCGAGGTGGAAACTGGCCGGTGAGACCTTTCCGGCACCCATTCATTGTGCGGATGCGAAGCCGCCACTGAGCAGCGAGCTTTACCTGATGCTGCACGCGTTTCAGGAACTCAAGTTCTCGCTCCAGCAGCTCGATCTGGGCCTCCAGGTCCTACTCTCTTTGAGGTGGCGGCGTCAACGTCCTAAGCACCACGTCGGGGATGACACACAGCGAAACTAAAACTTAACTTTTTCGATTTAAAGCTTTCGTGACTGCAGGGTTTCATCTTCTTGGTTCTTTCGGTAAAGTCACGTAGAAGGGAAATAATGAAATAATAAAAATAAAACATTATAAAATAATTCTCACGACGTTTCGGCCACAACGCAAGCAGCCGTCCTCAGGTGAAGAACAGGTCTGTCGGAAAGTCGGAAAGACAGCTGTCTTTCCGACAGACCTGTTCTTCACCTGAGGACGGCTGCTTGCGTTGTGGCCGAAACGTCGTGAGAATTATTTTATTATGTTTTATTTTTTTATTATTTCTCTTTTACGTGACTTTACCGAAAGAACCAAGAAGGTTAACTTTCTTCTTTTACTTCACCAGGCAAGGCCCCCACTGAGCGATGTAGCTCTTTTTCAGAGGCGACCTGTCCACGAATGGATAGCTCAACGAAGTGGCTTATCAAGTGGAAATTTACAGCAGTGGCCAAATATTCAAAACGCGTGATGTTGATTTCAAACGTGGAGGGGGAAAACCGGAGGATCCGGAGAAAAATTCGCGCGACCGCGGGGACAGAGATGTACAAACTCCAAATATACATTCATAATAAAGGTTTTTGGGTTAGATTATATAAGTATAAATGACTCGGTCACCCACCACCACCCAACACAGCCAATTAGTAAGGTTTGTCACGGAAACAAAACGTGCCAATTCGTTATTATTCAGCCCATTTACAATTTGATTACTGTGACGTTTCTCTTGCAATTATAGCCAGCATCATCGGGCGATTTGGCCATAATTGTCATTATTGGTCGGGATCGAACCTACAACCATCCTGTATACCAGGCGGGGTAGTTACATCTCTCCATCGCAGCACCCCCTCTGAAGAAAGAGCGGTGAGTCGGGCTTACCGGCCGGAAGGCATCCAACTCAGCCTCGGCGTCCTTCCTCTCCTGCAGAATGATGTCGTACTTGCTCATGATCACCGCCAACTCTGCGGCCAGGGAATCTTTCTCTGCCACGGCGGAGTCCTAGAGCGGATTAAAAATAAATCATAATCATCGTCGTCGTCGTCGTTCATCCATCTCAGGACAACTCTCAGTAACATCAGCCCTCTGTTAATGCTATCCCACTCATCAGCCCTATCTCACTCATCAGCCCTATTCCACTTGATTCACTTGTCGATTCGGTTAGATTCATTTAATCAGATAAGAGCTCACTGAGATGACCTCGACATTTAACTTTTCTAGTTTAAAACACATTCCTGCGGAGGGAGCTGGTAGGAACGTTGGGTTGCTCGGTCAATGGCCAGGGTCAACGGCGGCGTGGTGTATTCCGCAAATATGCCCGACTGTGAGGGCGGGCACAAGCCGGCGTGAGTAGGTTAAACGTTGAGTTTTGTAAGGGCACCACGGGGTGACCAGCCCCTCCCCACTCAACCCCACCCCTCCCAGCCCCCACCCTGCCCCACCCTCCCCACCCAGCCCCTCCCCACCCAGCCCCACCCTCCCCACCCAGCCCCTCCCCACCCTCCCCTCCCCATCCAGCCCCTCTCTCCCCTCCCCACCCAGCCCCTCCCTCCCCACCCAGCCCCTCCCTCCCCACCCAGCCCCTCCCTGCACGAGGGACACAATAATGATCTGTGGGCTGGTGTAATCAGGAGGTTCCTACCAGTACTAAATGTGTTTTATATTGTGCTATATTTTTCTAATTGCTGGATATTCGTGTACATTTTGTTTCATGTAAAGTGCTCCGAGTTGGCTTTTATTTATGTGAAGTGCGCTGTGTGGATTACAATTGTTTGACTGAATTCGATTTTGCCTAAATCCCAGCTCTGAGAATTTAAATGAGGCGACCAACTGCCAGTGAGTGAGTGAATCAGTGAGTGAGTGAATTAGTGAGTGAGTGAATCGGTGAGTGAGTGAATCAATGAGTAAGTGAATAAGTGAGTGAGTGAAGTCAGTGAGGTGAGTGGGTGAATTAGTGAGTGAGTGAGTGAGTGAATCAGTGAGTCAGTGAATTAGTAAGTGAGTGAATCGGTGAGTGAGTGAATCAGTGAGTGAATGAATCAGTGAGTGAGTGAATCAGTGAATCAATGAGTGAGTGAATCAGTGAGTGAAACAGTGAGTAAGTGAATCAGTGAATCAGTGAGTGAGTGAATCAATTAGTCAGTGAATCAGTGAGTGAATCAATGAGTGTGTAATCAGTGAATCAGTGAGCGCTGGATCATTAATCACCCTGGCTACCTGACGATTATTAAATCAGTAATTGACTAAGAAACCCATCAGAACAGAATCACAGTGCAGGCTGTAAAACCACGAGGTTGTCGTAAAAATCACTCAACATCTGTGCGCGGGCACAATGAGTTGTTTGAAAATGACACTTTATGACTGATTGGTTTGATTCAATGATTGTTGGTTAATTGATTGTGTGATTAATGTATTGATTGGTTGCTTAATCGATTGGTTGAGTGATTGTTCAATTGATGCCATGATTAATTGATTGCTTTCTTAGTTAATCGACTGATTGCTTGTTCAAATCATCGTTTTGAGTGGTTTATTGCTAAAGTAATTGCAGCTTGATCGATTAACTAACTGATTATACTGATTAATCAATTAATTTAACGTTCAGTTGATTCATTCATTGCTTGGTCAATCGCCTGGTGATTGTTTGAGTGAGTGAGCGACGCTTGCTTGGCTCATCAACTGACGTGGCGCTCCGATGGGGCCCCACGCGTGGCAGAGCAGCGGTCAGCGCGCAGCGCCACGAACCCGGCGACCCGAGTTCGACTCCCGCTCACTCCAACCAACACCGGTGACGATTATCTGAACCGGTACTGGGCCTCCAGATTACACTGGTCAACACACTTTTTCTGGCATAAGGAATTCCAACGGGTTTAATGTAATTTTGGGGTGCTCATTCCAAATCTGGCATCAGTTTTTGTCTATCACATCAGGTTTTTGAGATATCAAATATTGCATTTTCAATAAAAACTGCAGAAGAAAAATATTAAATTAATGTGGATATCTACATAAAATGATATAAACACACTCTCCTAAAAATACAGCACCATATTGTAACACTAAAGCAGTCACTGACTCGCAACAACTTGCAATCATAAATGACAGAGTTAATTTCGGGTAAAATCAATGAAAATGGGGTATGCCGATAGCATAGAAATGAGATGTGATAGAGCAAATCTGAGATCAGATTTGGAATCAGCACCCTGAAATTAGTCTAAAACAGCTGCAAAAGTCCAGGCCATAAAAAAAAAAAAAATGTTTTTTTTTGTTGACCAGTGTTATCTGAACCGGTACTGGGCCTCACCTAGGTCGACTCAGCCTCAACTGAGTACCCTGTGCCATGCGTAAACATCGCCACCGGGGGAGACAAAGACGGTCGGGCGTGGTGTTGCCCTCACCCCCCTCGTATTGCCTACTCGCTACAACAATAGCACTTGCCCCGACAGTCTGCCTGAGGCTATACGGGGGGCCTTTGCCTTTGTCCCCTCACCTGCTCGATGCGCACGCTCTCGGCGGCTCGGCGCAGCTCCTTGAGCTCAGCCTCGTAGAGCGCTCGCAGCCCCGTGGGCTTCGTGTCGCGACGCATCAGCGCCTCGATCTCCGCCTCTAGCATGCGGTTGTCTTGCTCCAGTGTGCGCACCTGGGGAGAGGCGGGGCAAAGACAAAGATCCCCCGTGTAGCCTTGACAGGATTTTGAGACAAGTTCTAGTCTATGGGAACCTCATTTGCAAGTAAAAATATGATAATTGGTTTTTTACCCTTCTATCTGGCACAAAACTGACACCTTTTTACAAGGAGTCATGTTTGCATAGACCGCAATACCTGCAGTCATAATACAAACAAAAGACATAACTCTGATAATGTATGCACTGTCCTTGAAGTTGATTGGGCCACACCCGAGACAGCTTTCCTTAGAGTCTAGTCTCATATGGGTTGGACCAGATGACGCCAAAAGGCGCACAACTCAAAGACAATGCACCATCAGAGTATGAGAGCTCGGGGCAAGCATCTACACTATGGGAACCTCATTTGCCAGTAAAAATATGATAATTGGTTTTTTACCCTTCTATCTGGCAGTTCTAGTGTGAGAGAGTAGCGAACTACGATGGAGACGAAGATCGTCCCGTGTCGCCGGAACAGACTGTTGAGAAAAAGTTCAACTTTTTGAGAGTTGCACCGACAAACGAGTCAAAGACAAAGATCCCCCGTGTAGCCTTAACAGACTGTTGGGAAAAGTTCTCCTGTTAGAGAGTAGCAGCACTTAAGAAAGAGACAATGGTCCCCGTGTAGCCTTAACAGACTATTGGGACAAGTTCTCCTGTTAGAGAATAGCAGTACTTAAGAAAGAGACAAAGATCCCCCGTGTAGCCTTAACAGACTATTGGGACAAGTTCTAGTGTTAGAGAGTAGCAGCACTTAAGAAAGAGACAAAGATCCCCCGTGTAGCCTCAACAGACTATTGGGACAAGTTCTCCTGTTAGAGAATAGCAGTACTTAAGAAAGAGACAAAGATCCCCCGTGTAGCCTTAACAGACTATTGGGACAAGTTCTCCTGTTAGAGAGTAGCAGCACTTAAGAAAGAGACAAAGATCCCCCGTGCAGCCTTAACAAAATATGTGGACAAGTTCTGTTAGAGAATAGCAGCACTTAAGAAAGAGACAAAGGTCCCCCGTGTAGCCTTAACAGACTATTGGGACAAGTTCTCCTGTTAGAGAATAGCAGCACTTAAGAAAGAGACAAAGGTCCCCCGTGTAGCCTTAACAGACTGTTGGGACAAGTGCTGCAGTCCAGCAGCAGCACCTACGAAGGAGGCAGAGATCCCGGTGGGGGTTTGGGGTGGGTGGGGGTTTGGTGGGGGGGTTTGGGGTGGGTGGGGGTTTGGTGGGGGGGGTTTGGGGTGGGTGGGGGTTTGGTGGGGGGGGGGGTTTGGGGTGGGTGGGGGTTTGGTGGGGGGGGTTTGGGGTGGGTGGGGGTTTGGTGGGGGGTTTGGGGTGGGTGGGGGGCAGCTCGTACGAGTTCGATGTAGACGGCGAGCCTATCGTTGAGTCCCACCAACTCCTGCCTCTCGCTGCATCTCGCGGCGCGGTACTCGGCATTCTGAGCGCTGGCCGCGACCAGATCGGGACCCGGACCCCCGGATCCTGCGCCGAATCTGGCGCACGCAGAGACACCCCGACACCACCCCGACACACACACCACCACCACGGCAAGCATCAAGATCGAGTCCTCGCGTCACCGGCACCGTCGAAGAGGGGGGTGGGTGGTGGTGGTGGGGTGGTGGTGGTGGTGGGGTGGTGGTGGTCTAGTGGTGGTGGGGTGGTGGTGGTGGAGTGGTGGTGGTGTGGTGGTGGTGGTGGGGAAGTGGTGGTGGGGTGGTGGTGGTGGGGTGGTGGGGTGGTGGTGGTGAGGTGGCGGTAGTGGTTGGGTGGTAGTGATGGGGTGGGGTTGTGGTGTGGTGGTGGTGGTGTGGTGGTGGTGGTGGGGTGGTGGTGGTGGTGGGGTGGTGGCTGTGGTGAGGTGGTGGGGTGGGGTTGTGGTGTGGTGGTGGTGGTGGGGTGGTGGGACCGCGTGCCATCTCATCGGCAGGGAGTTGCGGACGCACGCGCTCACTCGTTCGTTGGCGCATTTTGGAACGCGCACATACAACAGGGTACAGGGAGAAGGCATCAACGAGAGGGAGAGAGGTCTTTAGAGGATTGTGGTAATTAAAAATAAAAGTCGACACGGACGCCGATCGATGTGTGGCGCGCTGAGAGAGAGAGCGCGGAGAGAGTGAATTCCCGACGACCAAAGCCACGGCGGCAGAGAAGCGACGTTTCGCAACCACCCCCTCCCCCGTGTCTAGTTCCAGAGACGACTCGGGGCTCGACGAGGAGGAGGAAGAAGGGGGAAACAAAGAGGAGGAGGAGGCCCCTTGAGGCCGATCGGTGGTTGTCAGATTGCAACGGACGGTTAATCTGATTCCGACTGAATGTGAAACCGAGCATGGTTATCAACGGAGGCTCTCGTTCCACGGCTGGGTGATTAACGCCGGTGACTTTAACCAGGCCGGCGTGCGCGCGCATTCAAAGCATGACCGGCCGGCCTTGGTACACCCCAAATCGCTTGTGGATCAACTGGATTCTCTGTTGCAGCGAAGAAATGGACCACTGCCCGACATGCCGCCTCTTGTCGACGGTGTTTTATTCTCCCAAGGACGCGCAGTGTTTGTTGACGGATTTGGTGGGCGAGATTTTTGTTTGTTAATTTTGTTTGTGCCAACAGCAGTAGCAGCAACATCAGGGTCACCAAATAATTCATTAATTTAATTCGGAAAGTTTACATTATTTACCTCGGGGAAGCATCAGTGAGCTGCCCAGAAATGATAGCTCAATGGAGCGGCTTATAGTGTGGAAATGTACAGCGGCCAAATACTCTGATCGCGTTGTGATGTTAAGTCTCAATGTGGAGGGCAAAAACCGGAGGCCCCGGAAAAAAAATCCACGCGACAGAAAGAGACAGAGAGACACACAGAGAGACAGAAATATACAAGAGGCGTCAGGGTCGCGATCAAATCGACGACCTCTTGTATACCGGGCGCGGTTGTTAACATCTCGCCACCGTATTTAAAAAAATATGTTAAAATAAATATATATATCTTTTTTGTAAAAAAAAAATCATGATAGAATATAGTATTGTATGACATACGTATACCAAGTTTGCAGTCGATACCACACTGGTAAGTGGCTTAAAATTGAGTTACAAGATTTGAGGATACGACTACAACAACAGACAGCGGGTGAATTATACTAATAGGGCTTTTCCCCTTTTTTCTGGCAACAAAACTGACACCTTTTGCAAGGAATCATGTTTACATTAACCACAATACTTGCAGTCAAATGCAAACAAAAAACAATACTCTGGTAATTTATGCATTGTCTTTAAAACTGATTGGTCCACACCAGAGACAGCTTTCTTTGGAGCCTCGTCTCATATGAAGGAGACAGCGGGTGAGTTAAATAAAAAGGCGACAGCACCACACTTCGCGCTTGACCGCAGAATCAAAACCAAGAGCGCACCTGGAGGCTCGAGCCCCGTGCAGCCCGTACGACGCCGAGTAGCCGCTGCGTCGGGAGCCGATCGCGATGCTGGCGGAGCGGCGCTGCGTAGAGGAGGCGAATCCGCGGCCGGGCGAAGCGCTCCCGGCACGGGCAGCACTTGAGCCCCGGAGCAGAGCGCTCCGCACGGGCGATGGACTGGAGGCGCGCATGTGCAGGGATTCTCCCTCGAAGTAGCGGCGATACGACGAGACTCTCTCGACGCTCATGGTGGCTGCGGTGCGGGGGACTTGTCGACGAGGTTACGAGATGATGAGGATGATGGATGGAGGCTTGACGATGGGCGAGCGAGGACGGAGGAGGACGAGGGCGAGTGTGGGTGCTTGTCTGTGGGATGACGGTGGAGTTGTCCCCGGCTTCGGTCGCGTTTATAAAGGCGGCGTGGTTCTTCATTAACACGCGGCCCGGGTTTCGGGAGGACTCTGTGAAATGTGGAGCCCGCGTGCGCGTTCATTGCCATGTAATTTACATCGCCCTGTTTTTTGTAACGCGTCCTGCCCTCGGCCCTGACGGTGGCTATTATTACTCTTTAGGCTTTTTTCGGTGAAGTCACGTACGTTAAAAGAAAACTACTAAATTAAATCACGACGTTTCGGAGGCAACACAAGCTTCCGTCTTCAGGTGGAACCGTCACAGCACAATTACTGTATTAATTTTGCTGTTGCCTCCGAAACGTCGTGATTTAATTTATTTGCTTTTTTTTAACCTACGTGACTTTACTGAAAAAAATAAAGAGAATGCATCCTTGCACTCACGAAAACTTCAAATCTAGAATGATGGCAAAATTACTCACCACGTCTCCCTCTCAATATTATTAATCACCAACTAATCCAGGATGTGCTTTCCTGCCGCCAAGCTTGCCTCGAGTTCTATGACCCTGCCATCAACTAACCCCGATATGTGAGCTTAAGAACAGCCCTATTTTCTTTTTGATTCCAGTTTGACCGTCGTGTTTTGCGGTTACTATAAAACTCACACACGAAGAAATATTGGGAACATTTAAAATAAAGAGATTTGTCCTTACAGTGATTTTATTGATGGGATAAGTAACATTTAAGGCATGAAAGTAAATACATGATCTTAGATCGCGTTTATGGCATGGGGTTCATCTTTGCACCCCCGATTAGCACGGTTGACTACATACGGTGCGAAAGAAGTTCAACATACATACAGAAATGCAAAATGTACCTGCCTGCATTAAATGCATTTCGTTTGATAATTGGTTTTTTACCCTTCTATCTGGCAACAAAACTGACACCTTTTTACAAGGAGTCATGTTTGCATAGACCGCAATACCTGCAGTCATAAATACAAACAAAAAACATAACTCTGATAATGTGCACTGTCCTTGAAGTTGATTGGTCCACACCCGAGACAGCTTTCCTTAGAGCCTAGTCTCACATGGGTTGGACCAGATGACGCCAAAACTTCAAGGACAGTGCACATTATCAGAGTTATGTCTTTTGTTTGTATTTATGACTGCAGGTATTGCGGTCTATGCAAACATGACTCCTTGTAAAAATGTGTCAGTTTTGTTGCCAGATAGAAGGGTAAAAAAACAATTATCATATTTTTACTGGCAAATGAGGTTCCCATAGTGCATTTCGTTTGTTGAAAATAAATTTGATTCCGCCTAAATATACGAATGCTTAATGATTATTATTCCGCTTGTTCACCCAGGAAAGCCTCACCGAATCTCACGACTCTCCTTCTCACTCAGGAGGGTCCTGCCAAGTGTTTGCAGTCGGGGTGGGAGAGGGTAGCGGTGATTGCTGCTGCAGCTCCTCACTATTAAAATTCCTTCCCTTAATTACTACTAACCCTACATAATGCACGGGCATAATACGACTTTGAGACCCCCCCCCCCCCACCTCCTACGCATGCCACAAGTAGTGACTAATCCCATATCTGCATTTTCAATAAATATGCTAAATTCATCTGTTGATATGCAAATTCCTTTGTCAAGGCGCCCTTCCTCCCCTAACTCAGCTTAAATATACGCTGCCAAGCTTGGTGGTGTTCATTCAGATGCTGTCTTTTCGACAGACCTGTTCTTCACCTGAGGACGGCTGCTTGCATTGTGGCCGAAACGTCGTGAGAATTGTATTTTATTATGCTTTATTTTTATTATTTTATTATTTCCCTTCTACGTGACTTTACAGAAAGAACCAAGAAGATGTATATCCCAGTTGAATAATTTGCAAATTTGGACCATGATGCCGGCCACACAATGCCCCTCCCCCCCACCACCACGTGTTGAGATTCACGCGGCGAGATCTTTAACGTCCACTCTGAAGCGGGCGGCGCGTGGCTTCGTCTTCACTTGACGGCGAATACCCACCGGCGCTTATTTTATTCCTCCACGGAATTATCCCTCCCGCAATCTCCGCGATGCCGCGGAGAAGTTTGGTGCGTTTCCCGGAAGGCCCCGAGAATCCGCGCGTTTCCCTGGTTGGTTTTAGCTCGATGTCGTCAATTAACGTGCCGTTTCCAGCCGGCAGCAGCGGCAGCAGCATTTGTCACTGCAGCGCCAACATGGCAAATATTTAATAACCATTTCAACTTGCTACGCCCCGCCACCCGCATCCTCCGTCGGGGGCGCGAGAAACCACAGACAAGCGGGAAGGCAGCGCCAGCATTCGTCCAAGCTCTGCGATCCTCTACATATTAATACACCTTGTCAACCCACACGGTTGAACCCCGTATTCTTGTATAGGGAAATCGAGTTTTCAGGTCGATACGGTGTACAGCCGTTTCAACACGGGCAAAAAAAATGTTTATTTGTTTGTGTTTCTCTCTGGCGATGGGACTTGTAGGATGAACGTTGAGATGTATAATTGGCACTGGGTGACCAATGAGGTCTGAATTGGTCTGTAATAAGGTAGGGGGCACTGATGAGAGATTGACAAGTACTGATTAAGTACGTATGTTGAACTTCTTTCGCACCGGTACGCAGCCAACTGCGCTTTAATCGGAGGTGCGGTTTTATCGGCCAGTTAAATGTCTACAAGTTGTAGGAAACCAGAGAACACGTTCTATGGGTCCCGTGTTCTCTCCAAGTCTGGCTCCCCTCCTTAAAGCCTGAAATCCCAAGTGATGCAATGGGCTGTTGCTGATTTTGTTGTTGTTAAAAGGGAGCTGTTCCACGCATGGAACTTCAACCGCAGTACAACAGGTGGAATCCACATTTGCTGCACCACATTCTCCTGGCAAGTCTCCGATTTTCACGGTTGGCTACGTACGGTGCGAAAGAAGTTCAACACACACGCGAGCCAGGGTATATGGCATCTCCTCGACGCTCACGGGAAGAGAGTTTTGTAGCATTTGTGTTATCCACCAACCCTCGTTGCCTCTACAAGCGCTGGATTACAGACTGCCACGTGCATCGCCACCACCACCACCACCCAGCTACAGACTGCCACGTGCATAGCCACCACCACCACCCAGCTACAGATTGCTACGTGCACAGCCACCACCACCGCCGCCGCCACAGCCGCCCGGCTTGCACCATACAGCCCAAGCGTAATGTTTTGTTTTGCTGCGCTGAGAAATCTTCTCATCATCTCTCTGCTCAATGCTCGCGCATTGTAATATTCACAATCCACCGAGTGGCAACTTTTTGTCATTCTGAGTGGAAAAGTACGACCATTGAAGCTGAAAGCGTTGCGGGGCAGTGCACACTACGGCCACTAAACCAGTTTTCTCCGGTCCCTCCGGGTTTGCCCTCTAAATTTAGAAACGTGCGTATCGAGTATTTGGCTGCTATAAATTTCCACGCGATAAGCCACTACGTTGAGCTATCCTTTGTGGCCCGGTCGGTTCTGAAAAAAAAAATCTATATAACTCAGTGGGGCCTTACCTGGTAAAATAAAAAAAAAGTTTCCATGAGACCTCAATTTAATTCCTGCACAGAACTTCCATATATTCGAGGAACTGTGAAAATGGTAACTCCAAAGTAGCCGTGTGCAGTGGCACACGCTTGTGATGCAGCGTTTGGAGGGAAGGGTTGGTGGACGACCCAGATGATTAAACTGGTAGGAGCCTCCTGGTTACACCAGCCCACATGGGATTATTGTGTCCGTCCGGCCGTCGTGGATCCAAAAATGGGAGGGGTGGAGCTGGGTGAAGAGGGGAGGGGCTGGGTGGGGAGGGTGGGGAGGGTGGGGCTGGGTGGGGAGGGGTTGGGTGGAGAGGGGCTGGGTGGGGAGGGGCTGGGTGGGGAGGGGTGGGGCTGGGTGGGGGGTGGGAGGGGTGGGAGGGGTGGGGCTGGGTGGGGGGTGGGAGGGGTGGAGCTGGGTGGGGAGGGGCTGGTCACCCCGTGGTGCCCTTATAAAACTCAACGTTTAACCTACTCACGCCGGCTTGTGCCCGCCCTCACAGTCGGCCATATTTGCGAAATACACCACGCCGCCGTTGACCCTGACCATTGACCGAGCAACCCAACGTTCCTACCAGCTCCCTCCGCAGGAATGTGTTTTTCGCAGTAGGGGGTGATGTTGCTTCGTGTAATCCCAATAAGGTAAACTGCAGGTAATTATGATAAACCATATAAAAACATTGTCTCGCAGAAGACGTGTTTTTTAACCTGGTTGTTCAGAATCGCCCAGAGGAGAGAGGATCACAGGAGACATCTCTGCCCAATGTAAAGCAGAGCGTCATCATCGTCGTCGTCTGGAAGGTGAATATTCACGCTACCATATTCTCACAAATTAGAAAACACGACCCCCCCCCCCCCCACACGGCACGTAAACTATACCGAGCACGCGGAAGGTAACGCCATAAACCTGCGTCTTTTAGAGCCTGAATATAATTAATTTATATTTGTTATCGTAAACGCCTGCAAATAAATTAATAAATGTCACCACTTTGGGGGGGAGGAGGTATGCCCCCCACGTGCCTCCCCCCCCCGCAAACTCCACCCATGCATGGAACAGCTTTTTTGAAATCAGCAACAGTCTCTGTGCACCACTTGGGTTTACAGGCTTCAAGGAGGGGAGTCAGTCTTTAAAAGAACCCGAGACCCATTCCTGAACAACTCATGTATAGCCCCCCCTCACGTCACCGAGACTGATGGGCCCAGTGTCATCACCAGGACGTGCAAACACGTGGCGCGGCAGCTCCTAGGCCTACCACGTGTTTAGGGGCCGTCCATAAATGGCGTCACGCACCTGGAGGGGGTCAGACATTTGTGACGATGTGTGACGAGGGGGGGGGGGGGTTGAGAAATGTGACGTCACATCAAAATGCGCAACTTTAAATAAATATAGACAACACGTTCTACTTAATTAAATATACTTTTTATTAAATGTTTTCTCCTACAACATCAGAGCGCAGCGCCACATTAAATAGGCACTACAATGACAATAGTTTAAAGCGAGTTGAAGCATGTTTTATTTGGGGGGGGGGGGGGGCATAGCTTTGTGACGTCATACTTGAGGGGGGGTCTGACTTTTTGTGACGCCGTGTGACGAAGGGAGGGGGGGGGTCAAAAATCGTCCAAAATCGCGTGACGTCATTTATGGACGGCCCTTAGCCACTACCCCCTCCACCCATTCTCTTGAACAGCCCCTTCCCGGCATGTTGTTCATCTCATCCAGTCCAATAACATGTCAACGATGAGCTCTGTCAATGAGAAGGCGCACCACGATCCACCACCCGTAACGCCGGACCGTCTGTTTGTTGCAGGAATGGACCGTACGTCGAAAATGTGATTAAGGAAACATGTAAATAAATACTCGCACTTTTTGCAAAATAACCCCACACTTTTGGGTGCGTTTCACTTTCTCGAGTGATTTATAAGCCGGACAATACGGTTACACATCTCGAAACGGGCTCTGGTTGCAGGTATTGGTAAATGTGTTGCGTTTAGCACGTCAGCTTGCGCTCATTACACACTAAGTGCTTGCCACAAATGAACCACGATACCTTGCTGATCCCACTAACGAGCATAAACCATCGTCACGTAAACTCCTGGTCATCCTCGCAGCAGCACCGGCTTTTGGCTGGCCATCGAACAAAGACGGTCACCGCATCGCGCGTTCAGACGCGCTTCTGCAGCCGTCTGGAACGCTCTTCCGAAAGTCACTGGAGCTATGCACTTTCAAATCTAGATTGAAAACTCATTTCTTTAACACTGCTTAAAGTGTCCAATTTGTTGTGCTTACCCCGCACCTCCGATTAGCATGGTTGACTACGTACGGTGTGAATGAAGTTTAATATGCATGCATGCATGGTGATGGTTCTGCTTCACCGTCACGACCGTGCTCCTGTAACGGTCCTCCATAACGCTCCCAACGACATCAGCTGACGTCAATCCCTGCACCGACTTCACCGGGAGTAGCCCCGAGGCTGGAGATGAGGACACATCGTCCTGGGTGTGACAATGTGATTGGCGGTTGGGAACGAGGCAACAGGGAATGAGAGGGGAGGTAACAGTGAGAGGGGACTGCGGGGATAAAAGGGCACAGCGGAGAAGGGATGAGAGGAGGAGAGAGCCGTGGGTGAACGAGAAAGCTGTGGATGTAGAAGCTGCTCGTGTTAAGGTAGAGAGCCATAGGTGAAGGAGAGAGCTGTGGATGAAGGGGGGAGCTGTGTGTATGTTACGGAGAGAGCCGTGGGTGAAGGAGATAGCTGTGGATGGAGGGAGCTGTGTGTATGTTACGGAGAGAGCCGTGGGTGAATGATAGAGCTGTGGATGAAGAAGCTGTGTGTGTTACGGAGAGAGCCGTGGGTGAAGGAGAGAGCTGTGGATGAAGGAGGGAGCTGCGTATGTTAATGCAGAGAGCCATGGGTGAAGGAGAGAGCTGTGGATGAATAAGGGAGCTGTGGATGAATTAGAGAGCTGTGAATGTGTTGCAGAGGTGGAGTAAATGAACTGGAACCGTAGCCTGTCTCAGCGTGTTGGTGGGGAGAGTGTCCACTCCACTCCGATGCTCGCAGATTTCCAGGTTAACACGACTTCAACAAGAATTGAACCATCCACCCCGGTGTTCAGTGATAAAATAGTTCAAAATATTAACAGACGTATCAGGTGATTCACGAGGATGTTAGTGTTTTTTTAATGACCGGTTTTGGGACCAGGAGGCATCTGACTCTGTACAGCGATGACGGTCATTGAATTAAAAACAGGAAATACACTTTTGGGATTATGGGTAGTTATTTTGGAAAGCGGTGAAAAAACAATTAATCTTTCCCATCTCAAACATGACCAGACAGATGAGTTTTCTATTATCCCTCATACATCAGGGATAATATTAAAGCGTCATTGCTGTACTTAATTTAGTTTTCCTTTATCATCTGGGTGACCCAGGTCAGTCCAGCAAATGTGTCGAGTTCTCGCCTGGCAAAAACATTGTTCCAACGAAACGTGAATAACACGATTGGATGGGACCAACGATCCGACAATTATTTTTGAAGATCAGCAACAAATTAAGAAGTCGAGGAAGGTGCAGGAGACACACGCACTTAAGAGTTATTTGGCTGCCATAGAATTTCCACATGATGATAAGCCACTTCATTGAGCTATCATTTGTGATGGGCCGATCGCTTCTATAAAAGAGCTATACCGAACAGCTCAGCGGTGGGCCTTACCCGGTAGAATAAAAAAATTGTTTTAAATAGTTTTATAGCTAACGTGGCAACGTTGTACAAAAACAAAACGGGGCGTTATTTCTTCTCAACGCCGAACACTATCGTGAAGGCTTCCCCGCAGCCGTGTCCCTCCAGGAAGCGGCGCAGCTGTCCCAGGTCCATGTGCGTGCCGTGCACGTCGAACGCCTCCTCTCGGAACGGCGGCTCGAAGCGAGGGAGCGGCGGCGACTCTCCCGTGCCCTCGGCGGCAATCGGGGGGAAGTCCTCGCGGTGCCGTATGCCGATCTTCTGCCACTGCAGGCGACGGACCCTGCCGCAGAAAGGAAACGCGCCGACGCGTCAGAGCCGATATAGTGCAAGCTTCCTCTCGCCCGAGTTGAAACCAAATTTTCAACCGCCGCTTTAGTGGTCTCGGGTCACCAATGAATGCACAGAAGCAAAACAGGATCGAGAGAACAAGCACCACTTTGTGGATTTTATAGATTCACTCGACCCCGGCGTAGGAACGTGGAATTTCCATCACTGGTTCTAGATTTGAAGCTTTCGTGACTGCAAGGATTCATACTCTTAGGTTTTTTCGGTAAAGTCACTTGATACAGCAATCGTGCTGTGACGGTTCCACCTGAAGACGGAAGCTTGTGTTGCCTCCGAAACGTCGTGATTTTTATTTTACTTTTGTTAATTTTAATTTTATTTTTTACCTACGTGACTTTCCATCACTGGCTCGGGGATTTAAGCAGGCGGCTCCACAAGCCGTGGTCGTGTTAAACCAGGAATCTACGCGTGGGAGCTTTCCGTAACTTTCCCCGCGCATCTCCCATGCGGGAAACGCCGCCGCTTCGCTGGCCCCGGTGACCCCAAGCCGCTGGCGTGGGGCAGAGGTCGCAACCGGGTACCCGATACCCGTACCCTACCCAATACCCGGCTACTCGTACCCGGCCGGGTACGGGTACCTGTTTGCGACCCTGGTGCGGCCGGGTACGGGTATGGGTAGGCCGTGAGTCACTGGTGAGTAACCGTTTGTCACTCATTTCGGGTAGGGTATGGGTACGGGTAGGGAACGGATACCCGTACTTGGCCGGGTATGGGTACGGGTACCCATTTGCGACCCTGGTGCGGCCGGGTACGGGTAAGGAATCAAAACCCGTTTGCGACCTCTGGCGTGGGGGTCGCGTTACCGAGCCCAGTACTCGTCGCAGGCCGTCGCTGGGCCCTCCGCGCACACGAGCCCCGGCTTTCCCGGCATGAGGAAACCCGTGAGGTCCAGGTCCCGCGCCCAGGACACCAGGTCCCGTCGCTTGTCCTTGTTGTAGATGTGGTGGCTGTAGATCCACAGGCGTGAGAAGGCAGCCCGGGGCCGGGGACTCTGTCCGCCTGTTGGGAGACGGGCAAGCGCTCTGTCAGCGTCAACCGATGGTTGCCAATGAGGGCGAAGGCACGGGGGGCAGCTGCAACGCTGCTCTAAGTGCTGTGAAATTGAAAGCCGCAGTAAAAAAAAAAATGCTTGAATGTTTAGGTTTTTAACACCGATCGTATTCCCCCATTTGCTAAGCGTTTAGCGAGGAGGAAAATACCATGAGGGAATTAAACATCCCGCGGCAGAGTCCCGTGCCTTTGTTGGGGAACAGCTGCAGAGGCGGTCACCGCATCTCGGCAGCCTCGGATACCGTAACCAAAAGTGTGAACTCCACGTGCTGCGGACAGTTGCTCGCGACGAGTCAAACGACCCGAACGTTCAACCTTCCTGGCCGAGAACGACAAAAACGCATTCGGTCACTGGCGACTCGGCCGAAATGCTAACCCGAGTCTTTTTTGGGTTAGATCGCGTAAATATATAAATGTGTCGTTAAACCCCGTCACCCCACACATTTTGCAAGAGCATCTATGCCTCTATATAAGGAACGAAACAGTAAGACTTCTCCACAAATCTGGCTGTCCCCCGATGAAGCTAGTTGAAATTACTGGCGAAACGTCGTACTCGGTTTGTAAATGTTGTGGCTTGGCTCGGTTAGTGCTGTACTAGTAACGAATCGGCACGTTCTGTTTACGTGACAACCCTTACCAGTTGGCTGTGTCGGGCGGTGGCAGGTTTAAACGACACATTTATATATTTACGCGATCTAACCCAAAAAAACCTATCAAAGGCTTCCTACCTACAGGGCACTGAAGCTGGTGCTGAGTGTGTGGGCCTGGCACGGACGGGGGGGGGGGGGCGGAGGGTGCACTGCCGTGCCTCAATCCAAAAGGCTCCTACCCGGCACCGGAGCTAGCGCTGAGTGTGTGGGCCTGGCACGGATGGGTGGGGGGAGGGCGGGGGCAGAGGGGGGCTGCCGTGCCTCAATCTAAAAGGCTTCGTACCCGGCACCGGAGCTGGCGCTGCGGGGGCGGCGTGGAGCGGGGGGGCGTTATCGGCGAGCCAGTCCAGCGCCGCCAGCACGCGCAGCGAGCCCGCGGCGTGCTCCCGCAGGAACGCCTGCAGCTCGCCGTTGAGCCTCCCCTGCTCGGCGCGTCCCATCGAGGAGTCGGCTCTGGAGAATGAAAAAGAGGGGACGCCGGCATTTTCCCTGGAGCGTCATTCAGGGGCCGAAGCCAAGCCCCCTAATTCTTAGTTGTTGACGACTGTAGCTACTTTCTAGTCTTTCGCGCTGACGTTCGCACCCCCCCTTACACCACTTGAGGTCGAGCATGTGGTCGAAGTAGGGCGCAATGTTCCGAGTGGAGGTCACATCGGGGTCGCAGTGTGGTTGGTCAGGATGTGGGTAACACCCATGTCCTCTTAGGTACAAGGGAGAAATGTTTCGTGACCGAACTTTAAATCCCCTCTTGCCATAGTGCGTGGCACAAACTACAATGGTACTGGCCATGACATATATATATATAAACAGGCACTCCCCGCCTTTATGACATCACAATGCGTTCCTGGCAAATCCGTCGTAAATCGGATCATCGTAAATGGGACCCCATTTTCCCACGGACAGTCCAAACCGTAGAAACATCGCTTGTATTTTTTTCCCTTTTTGTTTGCCAAATTTAACAGGGTTGAAGAGGTAAAACAAATCCACAAAAGCACTCGAGATTGACAAAAGCTCCACACCGAGTCACATCGGAAACCAGACTGCTCGGGGTCACGTCGGTTTCTGCGTCGCCGATCGTTCCACGGCGGTGGCATTATATAAATGTCGTAAAATGTGGACCGTCATAAATCAGATGCCACCTGTAAATGTACGCAGCCAACCGATTACCACGTATGGTGCAAAAGAAGTTCAGCATGCACACACTACATGCAACATGGCTGTTAGTGAGCGCCTAGTAAGGCCAGGGGGATGTGCGTGTGAGGGAGCGCCTTTGTCTCGTCCGTACTGGTGATGTTGGCATGCACCTCGGGAAAATCCACGCTGAGATCAGAAATGGAATCGCGCTGGTAGAGCTGCATGCACGGCCAGAGATGCATCAACGATTCCCAGGATTACTGTGTAGTACGTTGACTCAACACCACCTCCACCACCACCACCACACAAAGAGAAAGATCCCCTGTTTCGCCTGACCAAACTGTAAATGCTGTTAGGGAGCACCTATGAATGCCGGGATGGAACATGAGGGATGGGTGGCTAATACCATGCCTGGCCGCTTTTGTCTCCCCAGTGGCGATAGTTATGCATCACACAATGTAATCATTTGAGGCTGAGTCTACCTAGGAGAGGCCCAGGACCGGTAAAAAAAAAATCGTCACTGATGTTGGCCTTGAGCGAGAATCGAAATCGGGTCGCAGCACAGGACGCTTGCCAATACACTACCGCTCCCCAAAGACAAAGACCCCCGTATAGCCTTAACAGACTGCTGGGGCAAGTGCTGTTAGCAAACACCCGTGAAGGCCGGCAAGCTACACGAGGAGGTGGGTGGCCAACACCACACCCAGCCGTCTTTGTCTCCCCAGTGGCGATGTTTTACACAGCGCACCGGGTACTCATGTAAAGCTGTGTCGACCTAGAGGAGGCCCAGCACCAGCTCAGATAATCGTGACTGGTGTTGCCCCCTGAGCGGGGAATCGAACTTGGGTCGCTGGGTTCATAGCGCAGCGTAGCGCTAACCGTTGCATTACCGCTCCCCACACATTTCTACAAAAGTCACACACCCCGCTAATAACGCCTACTTCCATATTCATCATATCTTACGCAACAGAACACAGCCCACAATTTAATGCTGAACTGTGGTGACGTTCCTATGGCACCTGCGCCGAGCATGATGCAAATACTATACCCGGTACGACCGTACGCACACATGCATTGGCACACACGCACACCACACACGCTCGCACGCATCATCGCTCACCTGACGTATATCTCGGGGGGTTGAGTGGGGTAATGATGAGGGAAATGGCACACAGCGTCCAGGCCTGCCTGTCACAACGCACGTGCAGCACACGGAGACGGTCAGGCAGGGGCTCGTTAGCCGTCGGCGCAATTGCGGAACCAAAAGCGGCAAAAAGTTGACACGGTGGCGACGATGTTGAACGTGACGACGACGATGACGACGACGACTCAGGCCAGGATTTGAACACGGTTGGTCGAGAATCTTTTCAACCGCATGCCGTACATCCTGCGACTCGGAGTTTATAACCGAAAGGGGTGGGTTAGTGCAGGGGGGTAAGGGCAAAACATTTTCTGGATATGTTCCCCGTTATGGTGGATTGAGCTGTTGCTTTGGAGACCGGGAGATCGTGGATCGATGTCCGGGTGGCCGGGTTGCTGTTGGCGTGAGTCGTGATCGCTCGCTTGACGGAGCGGCCCACCGTGAAGGCTGTTGCCATTTTCCACTCCTGGGGTCCCCAGTGGGTCAGCACCGCCACTGTTGGATTGACCAACCCAGCCTTTGCTGATGTACCAATAATATCGCCACTACTACAGTATTTAGTCATTTGTGAGGGATACATTACGGAGATGCTCGTGAACAGCAACTTATATTGGCTCTCCGTTAAAAAACAAGATCGCCCGCTAAAACTTATTTTTCATGTATAACCTTAAATAAACACATAAATAAGCTATTAAATACATGAAACCTATCACTCTTTATTTTACCTCTCATCACTTCATCTCATCACTTTCCCGCATCGAATTCTCTCTCATCACCGTATCCCATCACTTTCTCTCTCTCTCGCTCTCTCTACTCGACATAGCCGTGTAGAGAGTCCCAGATGCGATTCGCCGAGGGCCAACATCACGGGGAGCAAGCTCGTGAAGAACGAGCGCACGTCCGTAACGTCAGGCCGGAGCCTGACGACGGCGTTGAGCCTCACGATGGTCGGGTGTCGCACGGAGAAGCCGACGTATCCCCGCGGGGGCGGCTCGTCGCGATGCTGGACCCAGCGCGCCAGCTCGGCCGGAGGCCCCGGGTCGAGGATCGTCATCTCGCCGGCGTGCGGGAACATGCTCGCCAGCATCTCCAGCTCGGACAGCTGCAGCTCGGCCTCCTCCAGCGTCGACATCGGCAAAGGCACTAAGGGCGCGAGGGAAAACGTCGGTCGGGGTTGTAAAGCGTCTCGATGTGCAACAGAGTATTATTACGTCGGGCGCATTTGACGAACATTATGAATTTCGATTTAAAGCTTTCGTGACTGCAGGGATTCATCTTCTTGGTTCTTTCGGTAAAGTCACGTAGGATGGAAATAATAAAATAATAAAAATAAAACATAATAAAATAATTCTCACGACGTTTCGGCCACAACGCAAGCAGCCGTCCTCAGGTGAAGAACAGGTCTGTCGAGAAGACACCTGAGGACGGCTGCTTGCGTTGTGGCCGAAGCGTCGTGACAATTATTTAATTATGTTTTCTTTTTATTATTTCCATTCTACGTGACTTTATCGAAAGAACCAAGAAGATGAACATTATGAAATCGTGTATCCGAGCCAACGGACGTGTGCTTCAGGATACACTAACCCTCTGAACCCTCCGTCCTACAGCAGCCTCTGTTGGAAGCCACCTTGGCCCTTTGGACCCGTTTTTGAACCTCGAGTCTCGGGTCTCCGTTGAATCTCCATCGCGCCCTTTCAGATGCGCTTCTGCGGCCGTCTGGAACGCTCTCCCCCTTCCGATAGTAGGAAGCCACTGGAGCTATACACTGTTATATCATCCCGATTTAAAACTAATGTTTTTTTAGAACTGCTTGTTGTGTTTAGTTTGTTGTCCTTCCCCCCGCACCTCCGCTTAGCACGGTTGGCTACGTACGGTGCGAAGGAAGTTCAGCACACATGCATATTCAGGAATGAAATTGGTATGGATGACAAGAATTTCCGTGAGAAGTGAAATTATCTGTTGAACTAATTCTCCGTAAATAGTTTGACACATAGGCTTTCGCGACCAATATCATCCATAATACGGGTTTTTTTGGGTTAGATCTCGTAAATATAAATGTGTCGTTAAACCCGCCACCACCTGACACAGCCAACTAGTAAGGTTTGTCACGCAAACAGAACGTGGCCAATTCGTCACTAGTACAGCACACCGGTGTGTTGGAGAGCAAATTCACAACATTGTAAATGACAAACCTTACTAATTGCCATACTCTTAGGTTTTTTTCGGTAAAGTCATGTAGGTAAAAATAAATAAAAATGAAAATAGAAATAAAGTTATTTTATTTTATTTCTATTATTTTATTTCTATTATAATTTTTATCATTTTTATCATTTATTTTTATTTTTACCTACGTGACTTTACCAAAAAAACCTAAGAGTATGAATCCTTGCAGTCACGAAAGCTTCAAATCTAGAACTTACTAATTGCCTATGTCGGGTAGTGGCGGGTTTAACGACACATTTATATTTACGCGATCTAACCCCAAAAAAACCTCTATTATATCTCTGTAAATAATTATACAGGAGCGTCATCATACAGACACGGCTCACGTTCGCAAACCGCTGTGGCACTAGCCTTTGTACATCACAACAAATTTGATTTATAATGTGGGCATCTGAAAATCCAGCTCCCAAATTCAGCCCGAAGATAGCTGTTGCATGTCCTTCACTGATGATGTGTGGTGTGTCACTGCGTCACATCGTGTGCCAGTGATGCTGTCACTACGGTACCGTAGTGTCAGAGTCAGTGTCAAATGTGTCGCTCTGTGTACAACTGCCGTCGTCACAATATCGCTCTGTACGGCAGCGACAACGCATCTGTGGTTGTCACTGCATGCCAAGGGGTCACCATGTAGCTCTCACCGTCACCGTGTAACTGCATTGCAGAGACGCGCTGCGTTACTACACGAGACTGTATCTGTCACGGTGTGGGTTGCTGTCAATCTGTGTCGAGATTGAAGACTCGTCTCTTCAGACCGGCTTTTCGTGTCGGAGTTTGTAGACTTTCCTCTCCACCTCCGATCAGCATGGTTGGCTACGTACGGTGCGGAAGAAGTTCAACATACAACCACATACATCTGTCAGTGTCCACTGTGCCACTATATGGCAGTGTCTATATGACTCTGTCTCTCACTGTACCACTATATGGCAGTGTCTATATGACTCTGTCTCTCACTGTGTCACTGTATGGCAGTGTCTATATGACTCTCTCACCATAAATGACGTCACGCGATTTTGGACGATTTTGGACCCCCCCCCCCCGTCACAAAAAGTCAGACCCCCACCTCAAATATGACGTCACAAAGCTCTGCCCCCCCCCCCCCCCCCCAAAAAAAAAACGTGCTTCAAATCGCTTTAAACTATTGTCATTGTAGTGCGTATTTAATGTGCCGCTGCACTCTGATGTTGTAGGAGAAAACATTTATTAAAAGTCTATTTAATTAAGTAGAACGTGTTGTCTAGATTTATTTAAAGTTGCGCATTTTGATGTGACGTCACATTTCTCAACCCCCCCCCCCCTAAGTGCGTGACGTCATTTATGGACGGCCCCTAATACCCAAGTTCGATTCCCGATCAAATGTTTGATCTCGCTCCTGGCTGCGTATTCCTCATCCACGAGGTCGACTCAGACTTGGGGTGTTGGTGCGTTTAAAGCATCAGCACCGAGAGAGACAAAGGCGGTCGGGTGTGGTGCTGGCCTTAATCTGCGCTAATTGCGAACCACACTCGCCCCAGCAGCCTGTTAACATCCATACGGGGAGCACGTGTGTGTGTGTTGGTACCGTGTGCTCTGGCTTAGGAGACGCGCCCTCAAACGCGTTCCTGCTTTGTCCAATCAAGTTCCTACAGATGTCTGAACGTGCCGGATTGCAGGCGGGCAGGGCAATCTCCACCTCTTTGCAAATCTGCCCCTCCGCGAGATATACTGCGTGATTATCCGCTGCGACCCAACGTGATCGTGTCGTGTAAACCGGATTTCTAAGTATTCTTTGGGTCTTACGGTAGGTAAAGTCACGTAGATAGGTAAGAAAAAATAGAGTAAACAAAAAAACTACGACGTTTCGATCGCAAACACAAGCGACCGTTATTAGGTGGATAAAAAGAAAGAGGGGGGAAGCCACTCAAGGCAAGCTGTTCTTAAGCTATCGAAAGACCCAATGAATATGAATTATTGCAGTCACGAAAGCTTTAAGTCAAGATTTAGAGTCGGGTTCTTGTAGTCTGGAGAATACGGTAACGGAGTGAGCACGTGGCGTCCACTGCTTGCAAGGCGGAACTCGCGCTGATTGGCTAACGCCGCTGCGTTAGCTCCCTTACAAACATGGCGAAAGTGAAAAAATGATATGACGTCATCGTACATAGACAAATACAACGCCTATACCCCTTACAAAGATGGCTGAAGAGGAAAATTATATGACGTCATCGCACATAGACAAATACAACGCCTATACCCCTTACAAAGATGGCTGAAGAGGAAAATTATATGACGTCATCGCACATAGACAAATACAACGCCTATACCCCTTACAAAGATGGCTGAAGAGAAAAGTATATGACGTCATCGTACATTAGCAACTACAACGCCAACACCCCTTACAAAGATGGCTGAAGAGAACATTTATGACGTCATCGTACATAGACAACAACGCTCATACCCCTCACAAATATGGCTGAAGGGAGAACAAAAAGTCTATGGCCTGGTCGTAGATAGACATCTACAACGCCTATAACCCTTTCGAAGATCGCCGAAGATAGAAAAAAAGTTATGACGTAATTATACATAGACAACACCTTATACCCCCTTACAAAGATGGCTGAAAGAACACCGGTGTTGTGACGTCACCGTATATTGACACCATTCACGCCCCTCTTTAAAGCGTTGGTTTGCACGACCGATATCCATAATATAGAGGCTGGTTGTTTGTGGTTAGATCGCGTAAATATGTTTCGTTAACCCACCACCACCAATTAGCAAGATTTATCACATAAACAAAACGTACGAATTAGTTACTACTTCAGCACACCGTTGTGTTGGAGACATTAACTCTCCGACTACAACGTTTCTCTGGTGCTTTGGGGCCGTCCTTTAATGACGTCACGCGATTTTGGACGATTTTTGACCCCCCCCCCCTCGTCACACGGCGTCACAAAAAGTCAGACCCCCCCCCTCAAATATGACGTCACAAAGCTCTGCCCCCCCCAAATAAAACATGCTTCAAATCGCTTTAAACTATTGTCATTGTAGTGTGTATTTAATGTAGCGCTGCACTCTGATGTTGTAGGAGAAAACATTTACTAAAAAGTCTATTTAATTAAGTGGAACGTGTTGTCAATATTTATTTAAAGTTGCGCATTTTGATGTGACGTCACATTTCCCACCCCCCCCCCTCTCGTCACACATCGTCACAAATGTCTGCCCCCCCCCCCCTAGGTGTGTGACGTCATTTATGGACGACCTCTTTACAACAACCAGCTGCATCAGGCGATTTCCCAGAATTGTGACTAAGACTTCCCGACTCCGTTCAGAGTTTTCCTTGTTTCGACCACACACGGATGCAATTGTGCACTTCCCCGAAGGCCTTGTGATTTCATGGGAAGTGTAAACAAGTATAACCCGTAAAAACAAAGTTTTTCACTATAAATCCTTTATATGCGTGGCGGCTAGAGTCCTCTCGTCCTCTGGCTTGAGATGGCTGCCACATATGGGTCAGATGATTGTCTGCCACCATTAAGCAATTGGTAATTAAATATTTAATTAGTTTTCCCTAAACAGTGTAAAATTTTGGAAAAAAATTTTCACGAACATTAATTGTCACGCACAACGAGTCTGTGTGCAAAATGTCAGCTCGATTGGATCACGGGAAGTGGGTTAAAAAACGACCGAAAGATTTGCACGATCGTAAGCAAGCAAGCAAGCACACAAGCAAGCAAGCGAACTTAATATAAAGGATTTTTAAAAAGTCCACTTAAAATGGAAATAATAAAATAATATAAATATAAAACAATAAAAATTATCACGACGTTTCGACTGCAACACAAGCAATCATCATCAGGTGATCATCACCTGATGATGATTGCTGATGATGATTGCTTGTGTTGCAGTCGAAACGTCGTGAGAATTTGTATTGTTTTATATTCATACTAGCTGTACTACCCGGCTTCGCCCGGGACTTGTATCCACCACGGCCGGCCGCCTTTGTCTCCCCAGTGGCGATGTTAATACGCCACACCAGTTACTCGTTTGAGGCTGAGTCGACCTATGGGAGGTTCAAATAATCTTGACCGGTGGTGGCCATGAGCGGGAATCGAACTCGGTTCGCCGGGTTGGTAGCGCAGCGTAGCGTTAACCACTACACCCACCGCTCCTCACACACACAGACGCACAGACACACACACAGACACACACGCAGACACACACAGACAGACACACAGACACACAGACAGCACGCTAACCACTACACTACCGCTCCCCACACACCACACACGCACACACACAGACACACACACACAGACACACAGACAGACACACACACACAGACACACAGACAGCACGCTAACCACTACACTACCGCTCCCCACACACCACACACGCACACACACAGACACACACACAGACAGACACACACAGACACACACACACAGGCAGCACGCTAAGCACTACACTACCGTTCCCCCTACACACCACACACGCACACACACAGACACGCACACAGACACACACACACAGACACACAGACACAGGCAGCACGCTAAGCACTACACTACCGTTCCCCCTACACAACACACGCGCGCACGTCCATAGGTACACATACACGCGCTTGCTGCAGACACACACATACACACACATACATACACGCACATACACACAAACACATACACACACATACACACACATGCATACACACAGACATACACATACATACAAACACACACATACATACACACATACACAATACACACACACATACATACAGACACACACATACATACACACAAACACATACAGACACATACATACACACATACATACAGACACACAGACATACACATAAACACATACACACATAGTCATGACCCGGCTTTGCCCGGGACTTGTATCCACCACGCCCGGCCGCCTTTGTCTCCCCAGTGGCGATGTTAATACGCCACACCAGTTACTCGTTTTGAGGCTGAGTCCCTCCCTCGCCACTCTCCCTCCCTCGCCACTCTGCCTCCCTCGCCACTCTGTAGAGGACGTGAAATTTGTATGAATTTACCTCAGAGTGGCGTGTTGGGTGTCGAGGCCTAGCACCGTGCAGAGCCTCACGCCTTGCCTGATTTTCCCACCCGGCGAACGCTGGGTACGGGTGCCGGTCCCCCCCCCCCCCCCCCGCGCTATTAAAAATGGCGTCCACCCCGCGGAGAAAAGTTGCTACTCGTTGCCAGGGGCAACCGCCGTCCAATGAAAGCGGCGAAGGCGTCGTTAGCTGTTGCCAGGGGCAACCGCCGTCCAATGAAAGTGCGTATGGTCCGAAATCCACACACACATACACAGACAGACAGACATGCACGATTTTATATACATAGATTATTTTATTATTTCCTTTCTACGTGACTTTACCGAAATAACCAAGAATATGAATCCCTGCAGTCACGAAAGCTTTAAATAAAATTTTTAAAAGTCCACTTAATTTAGTTTCAATACGCAGAGATAGATCGACAGATACGTGACGTCATTGTCTCTTTGTTTACCAACATGACCGACGCAGTCGCGGTATGACGTCATTGTCTCTTTGTTTACCAACATGACCGACGCAGTCGCAATATGACGTCACGTCTCTGATCAAACCGCACAAAGATGGGCGGGGCGAGGCGGGGTGCTCGTCGTCGCCCCCAACCAATGAGCGCCGCGCTTCGTGCCCTACCCCCCCCACTCCTGCGAACGTTTGATTGGCTCGCACGCCCTCGCGTGGTCACGCGGGCGGGCCAATGAGGGGACGGCGGCGCTGCACGAGGTGGCGGACACAGAAGCCGCGGCTGTTGCTAACCACCATCACCACCACCACAGCTACAGCCGCCGTCTCGTCTCTCTCTCTCATCCCCCACCCCTCACCTCGGCTGCTGGCCTCGGCTCATGTCTCGTCGCGCTCGCTCGCCACTCGCACCCACGCCCTCCGCTCCAGCCACCGCGACACCATGTCCGGTAACTTCTGGCAGAGCTCTCACTTGTAAGTCGTTACCACCCCCCCCCCCCCCCTGGGCTGGATTCGCGCCGCGCTAAGCGCGCCCTTTCGGGCGGCCGACTCAGGCTGCAGTGCGCGACTAGGCCGCGTTCCCCGCTAAGCCCGGGTCCGTCTCGGTGCACGCCCAACCTCCCGGGGACGTCCAGGCTGGGCAAGCCGCTTACTTAAGCACCGCATCCCCATAAAAGCACCACGCAGCAGCAATCCGTGAGGGCTTTAGAGGGTAGAAAAGTCGAGGTGACCGCCACGCTTGTGGGCTTACTCATCAGGCCCTTTCACCAACCCCCCGCGCGCCCTTCGCATGTTTTAAACAGTCTCGGTGTCACTTGGACAGCTTCGCCTTTTGACCGGCATAACTCTTCATTCCTCGTGCTGTCGTGCGGCTTTGTGAGGGTGGTGGGGAGAGCCGATTTTGTCGGGGGCCTCGCTGTGTTTGTGGCCGCTAATCGCTGCAGCTTCTCTCTCTCTCTCTCCAGGCCGTGGTTTGACAATAGATGCCCTCCACACGCCTTTCGCCATCGGCACAAATCGCCCTCGATTTCGTGTTGTGATCACGACTGGACGTCTGTGTGTGTGTGGGGGGAGAGAGCTTTGTAGCTAATCGGATTCCTCCGGGAGACGTCAATGTTCTGATGACTAAGCGAGGCCCTGTTATACAGCCCTGCATTGTATAGTGCCCAAACATGATTAGTGTGTTTCTTTATATTGGTTTCACACGTAGGCTTTCGCGACCAAATTCATAATACGAGTTTTTTTTGGGTTAGATCGCGTAAATAGATACGTGTCATTAAACCCGCCAACACCCGACACAGCCAATTAGTATGGTAAATGTTGTGGATTGGCTCTCCAACACACCGGTGTTGCTGTACTAGTAACGAATTGGCACGTTCTGTTTACGTGACAAACCTTACAAGTTGGCTGTGTCGGGTGGTGGCGGGTTTAACGACACATTTATATATTTATAAGCGATCTAACCCAAAAAAACCTGTATTATGGATATCTTTATATTGTCTGTTGCATTGTCAATAGTGGATGTAAATGTACAACGGCTGGGTTATAGCATGCTGCCCCTGCAAGTACAAGCCCCATGATTCGATTCCTGCTGCAATGTTGCCCTGCGTTCCATGCATTATTAATGCTTGTTTAATTATGAATGGAACGCGATTTTAAAGATTTGCATGACGTTATCGCACATCTCAATATCGGTCAATATATTCACGAATTGACCTTTGTGTTAAAGGTTTGGTTTGGATAAAACTGAACGCGAATTTTTCAGTGGTAATGGGCAGTGGGGTGTGAAACAGCTTGACCCCACGTTAAGTGGAGGTTGTTGCAATAAATACTGTGGAGTCCATTATCTTGTTGCTGGAGCTGACTGTGCTGGGTAAAAGGTGACTAAAGAATGCGTGATCAGATAAAGAAATCGATGAGCACTTCGTATGTTGAATTTCTTTCGCACCGTACGTAGCCAACCGTGCTAATCGGAGGTGTGTTTGTGTGCATGCATCGTCTTCAGCCATCAATGGATACTGGACAAACAGGACATCATGAAGGAGCGACAGAAAGACTTGAAGAACCTCACTGAAGAAGAATACTGGAAGATACATATCTTCTTTGCGAATGGTAGCCAATGGCACCACATTGTGGGGGACATATTTAGGGATACGCGCATAAAAATGGGAAATATATTTAGTGTAGCCCTAACATTTGATGCTCACACCACTGGATGTGGCTCTACAGGATATTTGGCCGACTGTTTTACTCTGCCTTATTGGTTCTTTCGGTAAAGTCACGTAGAAGGGAAATAATAAAATAATAAAAATGACACAATTAAATAATTCTCACGACGTTTCGGCCACAACGCAAGCAGCCGTCCTCAGGTGAAGAGGACGGCTGCTTGCGTTGTGGCCGAAACGTCGTGATAATTATTTTAATGTTTCATTTTTATTATTTTATTATTTCCCTTCTATGCGACTTTACCTAAAGAACCAAGAAGATGAATCCCTGCAGTCACGAAAGCTTTAAATCGAAATGTTTTACTCCTGGTTTAGCATTTTGGAAGATGTGGGACTTAAAAGACAGAGATCCACCATACAGCCTTGAACATACCATTACCGAAGACCTGTGAAGGCTGGCACATGGCAGGGGGTAGCCAGCACCCTGCCCAGATGCATGTCTCCCCCGTGCTGATGTGTACACACTGCACCAGATACTAATTTAAGGCTGAGTCGACCTGGTAGAGGACCAGGAGCAGCTCACTGCGTTTGTGGCGCGTGCATAACCACTACATTACCGCTTAATGGGAGTACAAAGACGCATATCCCCCATATAGCCTTAGCATACTGTTGGGGCAAGTGCTGTTAGCGAGCACCTATTAAGACTGGTACATGCAACGGCACAGACACAAAACTGCATATTTTTTGACAATGGAAACTGGTTCTATACCAGTGGAACCTTTTTGTATTGATTGTGTACCTATATTTTGCCAAGCAGAACCACTACCTCAAGAAATGAATGATGTGGCAGAAATGGGTTACGTCAACAATGCAGCCTATGTAGTTTTGGTTTATTTTGTTGGTATTGAGTGGCATTTGTTTATATTCAGACACCCTGCAGTTCCTGGCCACGCACAAAGCTAGTGGTGAATGGTATCTAAAACTGACCTGTGCTTACCCCCAGTGTTGGGTCAACATAAATAAGTTTCGCGATACGTTGTGGTCAGGACTGGTCAATAACATTGTACCACTCGAGCAGTGCATTCCGTCCACTTTCCCATGTCCGGTTTCCCACTTAACAGCACGTTGCCCAATATTCTACCATGCTAAATGTCCCATAGTTCTCAAAACGCACAGATTTGAAAGATTTTTTTAAATAGACGCATATGCCGGATTGTATAAGACAGGCCCGCGATGATGCATTGAAACTACTCGTTTGTTTTCTTGTCTGCAGTTATCCAAGCGTTGGGTGAGCAACTAAAACTCAGGCAACAGGTCATAGCGACGGCCACTGTTTACTTCAAGCGATTCTACGCGAGGTATGCTGTTCTTGCAACCAGTCGAGGCACACATTACTGAAAGAAAGTATTTGTTTACTGTTCTTGAATAGGCAACTGTGTGGTCAATTTAACAACCTTTGTACAACCAGTGAAAATCTTTAGTCATGTTTTGTACAAAATAACAATGGTGCCCAGCCACACGGGCCTCAAATGCTAGACCAATAAATTGGCTTATCACGTGGCAATGTATAGCAGCCAAATACTCTATAAACACATAGTTCTGAATGTGGAGGGAAAAACCGGAGGACCCGGAGAAAAATCCGCTCATCCATGGGGAGAACATGCAAACTCCAAATATTCATGCGTCATGGTCAGGATCGAATGCACGACCTCCTGTATACCAGGCGAGGTAGTTAACATCTCACCACCACGGTACCCCACTTCTGCATCCTAGAATACCTTAGCCATGAAGAGATTAGTCTTGAGAATTTCCATAGAGTTATATAAATCTCGTACACTTTTGCTGCAGGCAGTTTATTACGCAGCAAGGGAAACACTTCCCAAGCCACACAATACGTGGGGCAACATTTAACATGTCATAGTTGTGCATTCCAAGACAAAGAAAATTGTGTAATGCCATCACAATCTGACTAATGATAGATTTTAAATATTTGTGTGTTGCACCGTTATGCTACATTCCAGGTGACCTGCGTTTAATCCTTGCTGGAGTTTAGCCGACGAACACTACCACACCACCTCATCATGTGTCTTGCTTCCTCGAACTGGTGCTCACTAATAGCCATCAGTCTTACAAATCTGATGGGGGGAATCTGTGTCTTTGTACAGGTATTCCCTACAATGTATAGATCCTGTGCTGATGGCTCCTACATGCGTGTTTCTGGCCTCAAAAGTGGAGGTGAGTACATTTTGCAATATTGCCATTAATTTTGTCCAAATAAGCTGACAGTGTAATTAATAAAAACATGTTTTATTCTCATATTTTTTATTTCTTTGTAAATAATTTTCAGATGCCGGACATGGCCACCCATTTAACAAACAGAAAACAAAAAGAGAGAATTTTTTAAAAGAAATATAACAATGTAAATGGCTTCCAGTTTCCCATAAGATTCAGTTTGAAAAGCTATTGCTAACCTATAAAGCTTTGAACTCCCTGTCCGCAGCCTACATCATTAGACATTTGGCTACACCCATAGGTCCCTTCAAGGCTTTAAGATCTGGGCATGCAGACCTTCTCTGGGTGACCGAGCTTTTTTCCCGTGTCGTGCCCAGACCGTGGAACTCTCTCCCACGAGATATCCAGGATCTCCAAGTCTGTGGACAATATTAACACTCGTCTTTAATCTTGTCTATACACTTCCGTTTATTCAATGATTAACTAATTCAGCGAATGGCTTTCAGTATTTATTTTATGATAGTTTTCCATTTCTTTGTTTTTTCATGAGGTATTGTCAAACTAAAGTGTCTGCTGTCTTGTACAGCGCTTTGAGATCTTCCGTGAAAATGGTTTGTAAATAAAATATTTAAACCAAAAACCATGAGTTGCACAGATTGAGCAGCAGTAACAGCTTTATGCACCACGTGCAAAGCTGTCACAACCACTGCAACTCGCAGAGCCGATCATTGAAACGTTATGCAAGAAAAAGCATTTCATTACATAAATATGGTATTAAATAAATAGCCTTCACTTATCCTACAGTTTTTATCGATTTCACGTTCAGTTTTGCTGGCTCCCTTACATTGAAGTTTCCCACTTGCAATACAATAACTCTTTCAGTAGCCTTCTTAAACTTGTCATAATTTTAGCGCTTACTCAATGGTAAAATATATGTTTTTACACAGTTGAACCCCTCTTAACGACCACCCCTGTGAACGACTAATCGCTTAACGACGGGCCTCCATAGAGCCCAATGTGTGGTGTATGGTAGTGTAGTGAATAGTAGTGTAGTGTATAGTAGCGTAGAGTATAGTGTAGTGTATAGTAGCGTAGAGTATAGTGTAGTGTATAGTAGCGTAGAGTATAGTGTAGTGTATAGTAGCGTAGAGTATAGTGTAGTGTAGAGTATAGTAGTGTATAGTAATGTAGAGTGTAGTGTAGAGTATAGTAGTGTATAGTAATGTAGAGTATAGTGTAGTGTATAGTCGTGTAGTGCCTCCATAGAGCCCAATGTGTGGTGTATAGTAGTGTAGAGTATAGTGTATGGTAATGTGGTATATAGTAGTGTAGTGTATAGTGTAGTCTAGTGCTACCATAGAGCGCATTGTGTTTGCTTACTGACCATTCCCCTGTTAATGATGGGATGTTGTAGGTACAGTAATTATTAATTAATTGATTAACCATGTTTTATTATATGTTTATAATGTTAGTATTTTTATGTATTAACATCCATTGTTTAAGTATTATAAAGTACGTTTTTTGGGTGAAAATTTGTAACTTTCGATGCTGTCAGAACGAATTAAGCCTTTAACATACATTTCCTATTCTCGCTTGACCAAATCACTTAACGACTGGTTTCGTGGAACCAATTACATTTGCTAAGAGGAGGGGTTCTACTGTAATTTTTTCCTTTCCATAAACAGTTTAAACATAATTTAAACGTAAAAAGTTTCACAGTATTCTTGGTTCTTTCGGTAAAGTCACGTAGAAGGGAAACAATAAAATAATAAAAATATAAAACAATAAAATTATCACAACGTTTTGACTGCAACACAAGCAATCATCATCAGGTGTGAACACCACAGCAAGAAAATTTGAAAAAAATCTAAATTTTCACAGTGTTTGGTTTTTGTGTAACGAATGTGTTTTTGCGTGTCTTCACAGGAATTTGGTGTTATATCAAATAGTCGCCTCATTACAGCCGCCTCGACCGTGTGTAAGTCTTGAGCTGTGTGCGGTGACCTCTGACTGAACTATTCGAAAATAGACAATGACCTCTCAGGGGACCTTCAGACAATTGGCTGATGGGCAACTCCCATGAGTTTTGGATGTACATTACGGACACGTTTAATCCCTTGAGTCGTCGCTGGGTTTGCTCATGAAGTGAGTTTGCACTTCGTGTGTTACTGTAATAGATGTCGTTCTCCATGCAGCTGAAACGCTCAAAATACAAGTGTCGGATGTACTCTGATGAATTGAGTTATTCATCCACGCTGGGATGGCGGTGGTGCATTCAGATTTGTGAATATGTCAAACCATTGACTTATTCCTTAAATAAGCAAAGCTATAGATAATTGGAAATTTGACCCTCATGTATAATTATAACACTGGCCTTCATAGGAAATATATATAAAATTGGCAACGTTTTGGACAGTTACCCATCACATATATATAGAGGCCAGTGAGAGAGCAAACGTGAGTTGGAGACTTTACGTAGCCAACTGATTAACACGCTTGGCTACGTAATGGTGCGAAAGAAGTTCAACGTACATATATACATACGACGATAACAATCTTGCTACTTCTTCTTGGTTCTTTCGGTAAAGTCACGTAGAAGGGAAGTAATAAAATAATAAAAATAAAACATAATAAAATTATTCTCACGACGTTTCGGCCACAACGCAAGCAGCCGTCCTCAGGTGAAAACCAGGTCCGTCGAGGCGACAGAGTCTGAATCCCAGTCTGAATCCCATTCAGACTCTGTCGCCTCGACGGACCTGGTTTTCACCTGAGGACGGCTGCTTGCGTTGTGGCCGAAACGTCGTGAGAATAATTTTATTATGTTTTATTATTTTATTACTTCCCTTCTACGTGACTTTACCGAAAGAACCAAGAAGATGAATCCCTGCAGTCACGAAAGCTTTAAATCGAAATCTTGCTACTATTACGACTTAATCTCAATATCCGAGTTCTCACTACCCAACGAAGCTCGAAGCAGCTTGGCGCAGAAACGACGTGGGGTGTGTTGATGTGGAATTCGGTCGTGAAAAGTCTCGATCACACTGGTGAGGAGCAGCTTTATTGGTTTATAATTTGATCAGTAAACGTGTTGCAGTCTTGTTGATTGTGCATTGGTGCTCACGCCTGCCTCGAAGATATTAGTCGTTATAAAACGAACGGCGTGAATACGAGGTTAATAAGTAATATTTAAAAATACATTTTTAAAAACACGGTTTAATGAAATGTACCCTACTCGTAATGGCAGAACTCCACGACTCCAGGAAGTGGCCCTGAGGTTTGCCATAACGTGAGGGCCCGTGGTGATTTACAGCCAACGTCAGTTGAGCGTGGACAATTAGACCCAAGCCAAAACATAAAATATATTTTTTATAGAATATAGTATTGTCATCAGTATGACATACATATACCAAGTTTGCAGTCGATACCACATTGGGAAGTGGGTTAAAATTGAGTTACAAGATTTGAGGATACGACAACAACAACAGACAGTGAGTTAAATAAAAGCGTGGTAAAACAATCGTATTTTGGTGTTGGCATTGTACTAGTACTGTGATCGCCTTTTCTGCAGCCTTTGGCCTTACACTGGTGAGACAGCCATAAAAGAGGGTGTTTTTGGTGTAGGCCAATCCGTTTCAAGCACAGTGATTACATTATGAAAGTATATTTGCATTTCTTTTACCACAAGTATGTGTGATTAATGTAGGCTCTATGCCTTTGTTAAAGGTGTCTATTTGGTGTTTGAACATCTAAACACCTGTATTTATGCCAGAAAGGATCAAGCCTTTTTTTATCATTTAACAAGGGAAATTCTATTTCGCAGTGCCACTTGACTTGAGCATGCCCTTTGCTCATTGATGTTCATCAAGCCTCTAGCATTGTTTGCAGCGTGTGTGTATATATATGGGGAACGGTGGTGTAGTGGTTTGCGCGCTGCTCTTCGAACCCGGTGACCCCAGTTCGATTTTTGCTCACGGACAACACCGGTGACGATTATCTGAACCGGTCCTGGGCCTGCCCTAGGTAGACTCAGCCTCAAATGAGTACTTGGTGCGGTGTGCAAATATCGCCCCTGGGGAGACAGGCGGGCGGGCGTGGTGGTGGCCACACACCGCCTAGTGTGCCGTTCCAGCTTTCAAAGCTGCCCGCTAACAGCACTTGCCTTAAACAGCCTGTCAAGGCTATATGGGGGATCTTTGTCTCTGTATATATACCTGATTCTGTTTTTCTTTTTTTCCCCAACACCCAGTCAAAAACAAGTTCTCTTACGCGTTTTCAAAAGACTTCCCTTTCCGAGTCAATCACGTAAGTATTTATTTGTGGAGGTGTTTTTGTTGTTTTCGCCTGTATTGGAGCAGATTACTTAAAAACACGTGCGAGGGTTTATATTTATTTGGACTCTAGGCCTTAGTAGAGATTCATGTTCCCAGTAGGAATTTATTAAGCAAGGCTGCGTTGTACCGATGTATCAGTTCACTGAGTTCTTACCTCTTTCTTACCCCCCTCCCACTTGCACAAACGAGCCACACCCAGGGCCATGCCCTGGTGCCCTCCGTGTCCATTGCAATCCTTCCTCTGGATTTCATCGCATATATTTCGAAATTTCATAGCCATCGACTTTATTTCAACTTGTCTGAGAAGGCGTGGGGGGGTGGGAACATCTCTCGCCTTCTGTTGTCCGCCTCTTAATTTTGCCCCCTCGCACGCGTTGGGTTTTTTTCCAAGCGCTCCGGCTTCCTCCTACACGTGTCAATACTGTGGTAGTCCCGCGGTTAACAGTGACATTGGTTCACGTTTTCGCCTCCCGTGGTTTCGACTCGCATTAAAATTAAGATTCACTGTATTTGTTTACGTTATGCACGGGGGTGCCAATTTCGGCCAATCCGACTGAGCCATGCCCTGAGCCAATCAGCGACGCCCATCTATGAGCGTTAAGACCTCCACTGGCTTTGTTTACATTACGTTTTCTATTTTGTCAGTGGAAACGGCTCTCTTGCAGACTCATACAATTCCTACATTCGATTAACATTTATTTCGGTGAACAGTGGTTTTCGTGGATCGGATTAAAAGCGTTAACCGAGGGACTACTGCGGTTAACTTGGCTAAAAACATCTTTATATATGGAGGACCGCAGAGCTTGAGCAATTGGTGGGTAGTGGTGGCTCACCACCTGGCTACTGCCTCCCGACTTGTCTCTCATTCCTCGTCGTGCCTGTGAGCCGTTCTCTCTTTCTCGGAGAGTGAGCGAACACTGTCTGCGTTGCAAGTTGAAATTATGATTACGTGCAAGTTTAATTAGGGAGCACATGTTAAGGTCGACCACGTGGACACACAGGGTAGTGTTTGTGTCACTGCCACTCTTAGCTCCTAGTAATTGTTGACCGACTACACCTATTCTCTGAGCAGTTCTCTCTCTTTGATGGTGGGCGAATACTACGCAGGGTGTGTGACGAATTGAAATTATTGTTGTCCATTGTGATCCTTGGTGATCCATCTCGCCATCCTTCATCCGCTACTTTCTGGTTTTTATACTCTGCCAGTGTTCAGACCCGTGTGTCATTGCTGGTCTTTCAGGACCCGTCGAGTTACCGAGTTCCGGGCAGCGACTCGCCTTATAAATGTGCTGCACTCAGAACAGAGCGGGAAGTGTGACCATCTTCTTGGTTCTTTCGGTAAAGTCACGTAGAAGGGAAGTAATAAAATAATAAAAATAAAACATAATAAAACAATTCTCACGACGTTTCGGCCACAACGCAAGCAGCCGTCCTCAGGTGAAAACCAGGTCCGTCGAGGCGACAGAGTCTGAATGAAACAGCACACGAGCTTGGAGCATATATATAAGCTGGGCGCATTGACAAAGGAATTTGCATATCAAAAGGGATTTAGCATATTTATGGGAAATGCAGGAATGTGATTAGTACTGCATATGCATGTGCATTATGCAGGATTAACAGCATCAAAGGGAGCTGCAGTTACTGCTGCTGCTGCAGTTACTGCTGCTGCTGCAGTTTCTGCTGCTGCTGCAGTTGCTGCTGCTGCACTTGCTGCTGCTGCCCTTGCTGCTGCACTTGCTGCTGCTGCTGCACTTGCTGCTGCTGCTGCACTTGCTGCTGCTGCAGTTGCTGCCTTATCCATTTTAATATAACACTATGTATTATTCTACCCACCCTAATGTGTATCACACTGCTATATGTTTACTATACAATTACGACACCATACATTACTCTGCACACTGCACCATGCCAGTGAGTGGAACGCGGTCTGAAAGTCACCGTAAACGTGAACACAATCAGTTAAGATCCGAAATGGTTTATTACGTCCAGTTAATAAAACGCACAGCAACGCGACATGAGAATAGTCCATACTTACCCTGGGAAGCCACACTGATTCCAAGGATTCCTTTGTCAGGAGGGTCCTGCTACATTGGGTATTTAATATTGTTTCAGCCAAGTAATGATGATTGTTGATACATGCGAGAGGAAAACCGGAGCGCCCGGAGTAAACTCACCTGTGCGATGAGCGGCAACGCTCTATCCCTATACAGATAGAAATGAATGGGATATTATTCCACTTTGCTCGACTGCCAGGGCACGGCACTTTGACACCCACGGGAAGCGGGGTTTCGCACATGTTTGTGTGATTCGCCGACCCTCACTGCCTCCACAGCACTGGCTTTACAGACTGCCGCGTGCAGCGTATACCACCGCCGGCTGGCTATACCGCACAGCCCAAGCTTGTCCCGTTTTTTTTGCGTTGGGCTGCCTCTCAAGATTTCCACCGCCTGGTCAACATGATTAACTCGCGTAGCCGTGACGTGGAGGCCTCGCGACTGCGCGGGCGGTATTTTCCATTGCGTGTTTTCTCTTAAAGCGGTCACTTGGCTTTGGTGAGGGCATTCGAGTGCGTGGCAAGTCCTTCATTTTAATTTCATAAAGGCGTGCCAAGTTAGCGTCATGTAGAATGTTTGACTTGGTTATGACTGCCCGTCGCATCTCTTTTGCAAAACTTATTCACCTGCTAATTTGGGCATATATCTCCCATTGTAAGCGTTTTAGTCGAATGACAGCGTACGTGCGACATTCATGCGTGGCGGATGAGTGGCGCAGTGGTTTCCACACTGCACTGTGGAACCAACCAACCTGAGCGTGTATTCCCAACTGCACCTATTGTCAGTGGCGAGGGATATTTGAACCGGTCCTGGGTTCTCTGTCGCCCACCCACGCTGACCAGCGGTGGCGAAGTATGGTCAAATACCCCCCCATGACTGACGGTGTGGGGGAGAACGTCATCGAGCAGTGGGTGACAACAAGTACACATGTACGGCCATTTTGTCAATCCACTGCTGGATGAAGACATCACCCAGACAGACCGTGTGCTTTGCGGGGGTTATTTGACCATTCTACTCCACGCTGATCAGTGCGGGTTGGTGAAGGCTGGGAGCATATATATGCGGAAGCATGGAAGGACAGTACAACAGTGGAATTTGCTGCGCTGCCCTCTTGATTCCTACAACATAGCCCTGCAGCCCCATGGCAACCTGTGCGTGTATGGTGGCCACCCATCCAAGCACCGTCGAGATTCGTGCTACTCCGCTAGGCCTCTGGGGTCTCATGATTTGATTATAGGCTGTGGCTGTATAATTATGCATCCACAATCCTAGTATGTCATTCAGTTGTTCTTTAATCATAACCACGTGGTCGGCTATTGAGACGTATTGTTTATCAATTATCGTGAGGATTTGTATGTGTTGGTAGATGCGTAGAGGAGTTGTATTTTAAATATTTCTTGTTTATCCCGGACTCAGCCTCAGCACCCTTTCAGGAGAGTCCTGCCGAGTTTTTGCATTAGTTGGGTGACGAATGCTAAAAGTTTCCAAATTGAGTAACTTTAACAAGTAATTTTTTCAAATTTTCCAAATTTGTAACTGCGAGTCACATTGGCTCTGTAACTTTTTCTCATTTGCATCATCCCATCATTGAAGTCGCTCGATCTTTTAGGGTCCTCAAACTACTTCGGATCCAAAGTGAATCGGAAAGAGAACGGCTCGCAAGCAAACATTTGCGAGTGCGTACGCCCGGTGGGGGGGGGGGGTTAATGAATTGCGTGTTGCTGCAAACTTGTCACGACATTCCTGGCCACCGCGCTGAAACGCGGTCGGGCGATGGCATGCCCGGGGATTTAATTATCGCCGGTGCGCGAAGGAATCGCCGAGCTAAAATTAACAAACCGCGCATGGCGCCGGCGATGTCGCACCGCGGAGGGAGCGCGCGTTGGCGAGTGTGCGCTGATGGTGGCGGCAACTCTGGGCGGTTATCGCCCCCTCGAGCATTCCACCGACGGCGTCGTTTTGTTGCAAGTTTGTTGCGGCCGTTTTGCAATCCCCTGCGCCGTCAGCCGTGGCGCGTGGCGCTGACGATGCGGCGTCTCTGATTAGCACGGTTGGCTACGTACGGTGCGAAAGAAGTTCATACATATACCGTTATACATGGCGGTTGTTTGACTGTGCTACACTATGCTGGTAAGGAGATATCACCCAGAACTGGCTTCGGTTTGAGATGCCATTTGCCATTTAATGATAGCCATGGCCGGGAATCAATCTCATGTTGCTAGGTTTATAGCGCGGTGTGCTAACCATAGCCTCTTGTGTCTGAAACCCTTTAACATGTGTGTGACTTGGAGCTCAAACTACAGTAACGGTACAAATTTACCAGCATGCAAAGAGACTGCTCATGTAGGTGTTATTTACAATTCGCCGCGAATTAATTTTTCAGATTATAAAAGAGAACTCTCCTGGAAATAAAAAGTTGGGGGTGCATCTAATAATTGAGTAGGTGTTGATGTACGTGAGCAGGTTTGTAAAACTTAATTGACACCGGGTACAAGTTTTGGGCCCATGTTATTCTTGGGAGCAGCCTCTTATAATCCGGAGAATACGCCGACGGGTGATCCCTGCACTCAGTGCCGAGTGTGTGATTGTACACTGTGAGACCCGTGGTGCACAGTGATGGTTCTTGCCACGTGCAATCATGAAGGGTGGATACACTGTCGAAGAGAGAGAACGACTCAACGACTGAGGCGCCAGGAGGAGGAAACAAAGGCAGGCAGAATAGGCAGCAGTCACGCGGTCAGCCGTGCTCCGAATCCCAATCCCCCAAGCTCTGTGATCCTCTCTATATTAAGTTGTTTTTGGGCAATTAATGTTTCCATGAGCAGGAAATCACTTGACTGTGAGTGCGGATGTTCCAGCTGTGGGTCAACTATGTACACTGTGAGACCTGTGGTGCACAATGATGGTCCTTACCTACTGCAATCTTGAAGGGTGGATACATTAAACGTAAATAAGTCCTGTATGTATCATTTACAATTTCCTCTGCAAAGAGAACCAACCAATACAACATCGATAAACACCACAAAAAATATTCAAACGATGCTGCCGCATTTTGAGACATCAAAAACAATGATAAAAATATCAGATGACTAGCTCACTGCGACTATAACCTGCACAACCAGCAGATGAAAAGCATATGCGGTTAGACCGTTGCAGGTCGTTTTAACATATTTTACCAGGGGCCTTTGATGGCTTCATTCAGAGCCGGCTGCCCTGACTGATGGAGCAGAGTTCAGCGAGTCGTGAGGAGTTCTATGAGCAGCAGGAGAAGGCGGAGAAAGCAGCCGTCGCAGCTGTGGCCATGCCTTATACGTAATTGAAATGATCAGTCTGCTTTGAGTGCCTATTTATATTCCCTTGTTTGAGCACACTTTTAGATACCGGGCCTGAGGGCCCGAAGAGATCGTCTGTTTTTGCTAATGTGGAATTATCGTGGCCGTTGCGAAATGGTCATGTCAATTCCGTTTTATTCGCTGAGATGCATTGTGTTAAGGATTCATCTGGTGACGTACTTGATCCGTAAATTGCTTCCCATTGTGGATTGTAATAGAGGTCATAGAAGCTTGCCCGTGAAATTAACTATTGTTATTGAGCTGCCCACAGTACAATGTTGGATCCAGCAGTTTTGGAAGAAGCGTTATGAGTTAATTGTATTTTGTAAGTGTTTTCATTTCACTTATAATTACCTTTTACTCCTAATATTCTTGGGAAATGTATTAAGGTTTGATTGGAAAGGCATTCTATAATTCATATGGAATGCCCTTGCCACAATAAACACTTGTCATTCAATAGCATATTTTTTGCCAAGCCTGACTGCTGACGAGACCCAAACGGTCAAAACCAGTCCAAAGAGTTCGATTCAACAACAATTGCTAGCTTAATAATATTGGCCTGCAAAGCCAAGAAGGTTGATGGACTAAACGCCATTTTTTATATTTACATATTCAGAGACAGAACGGAGTTCGGCTGCCTATTCGTCATTCACGTGTGACAGCAGAGGGCGCCCCGTTTCCACGTTGCGTGGAATGGGGACCCCCAACATTTTAACATTACGGGGCTTTAGGCCCAATATACTCTACTATCTATAGATGTGTGCTTCTACCATCAATCGCTTCGGAAATTTCAACAGCTGGCCGACTAGCACATCTACACGAATATGAACATTAAAGACAAGCCACAGTAGTAGTAGTTGTGCAATTGTGGCCATGCAATACAAACACTGGACCATGGAGTAAACCACTGTAGTCTGCGCTGCTTCAATGTTGGAGGAATTGTAAAACTACACAAACTCTGCCCTGCTCAAGGTCTCATCGTGGCTATCGGACCTCGTCATTGGAATCGGACTCCTGAACCACATTGCCATACGCAAGAATAGAATAGCTGTGCGGTTGAGTGACTGAGTCATTTCATGCGTGAGTGATAAATAAATATTCAGAGCCACCAAGATAAACTTAAAAAATAGTAATATAAGGTTGTAATATTTTACCTATGAATGTGTTCAATATATTGTTATGCACTGAAAATTGTCGCCGTGCTAAATGTGGTCATTCTTTTTGTCCTCGCAGGTGTTAGAATGTGAATTTTACCTACTTGAGCTAATGGTACGTACACACACACACGATTGTTAGCTGAGCATATATTGCCTGTGGTGTATGTGTGTGTGCGTGTGTGATGGGGAGCGGTAGTGTAGCGGTTAGCACGCTGTGCCTACAAACCTGGTTCCCGGGTTCAATTCCCGCTCACGGCCAACACCAGTGACGATTATCTGAACTGGTCCTGGGCCTCCCCTAGGTCGACTCAGCCTTAAATGTGATGTGTAAACATCACCACGAGGAAAAGAAAGGCGGCTAGATCTTGGTGTTGGCCACCCACCCCCTCGTGTGCTGCGCTGGTCTTTGTGGGTCCTCTCTAACAGCACTTGCCCCAACAGTTGGTTACAGGCGATAACAGGGGGGGGGATCTTTGTTTTTCGTGGTGGTGAGTGGTGGCATACCCCAGTAACAATGGATATCACTTAAATGGACATTCGCATGTGAATCTGGCCTTGACTGCCAGTCGGTGGTAATCTGCCCAAATGAATTTGCCGTTGCATTATTGATACGGCTGACAACAATGGGAAGACAAAGGTGTCTGGGCATGAAATTCCCACCATCTGCTTGTCACAATGAACATCACTGGCCACAGCACGGGAGGGGTGGTTTCATCGGGTGGTGTTCAATACAAAGGCTTTGTCGACCAATACGATTAATAATACATGTTTTGAGTTTGATCGCGTAAATAAAAGATGTGACACGCACACCCTTCTCGACCCGACACGGCCAATTAATAAAGTTGTCGTGAACAAACGTGTGCCGTAAGTTTATCGCTGCCACAGCACCGCCCAGTGTGTTGTGTTGGAGAGCAATCCACTGCATGAAACAGTTGGGTGTGGACGTGTCGCTGGTAGTTACAACCAGCATCATCAGGTGATTGCCAGAGATGTGAACATTGTATTTAGTGTGCGGCCTTAAATAGGTGGTGTAGCATCATCGGTGTGCACCCACAAGAGAGTAAGAAGTGGCAGGAAGTGGTGATACATAGTTGAATGTATGTTAATGTGTGTGATGTGTTTGCCTTTGTGTCTTGTGTCCAGGATTGCTGCTTGATTGTGTATCATCCTTACCGGGCGCTTACACAGTATGTGCACGACATGGGGCCTGACGAACAGCTGCTGCAGATTGCCTGGTGAGACACTCCCGACGTTTTTGTTCATCACTGTATAGTACTTGTCACCGATTACATCCCCCAACTGCGATGTTGGGGTGTTGGTGTCTTGATACGTGGAAATATCCTCGCAGGGTCCTCCCGCCCCAAAATGTTCCTTTTGAACTGTGTCCAGCCGATTACTCGCAACAAACATCTCATTTGAATAGTAAATGACATTCAGAGACCCTTACCCCGACACGTCACCTTTTATATATTTTTACTTTCAAGGCCGCGGCGTTATTGACGAAAGTCAGCTTTTTTTGTCACTTGTGCACCACTTCCAACGCTAAATAATTTGTTGGATTTGAATCGGAAGTTGATTTGTGGCTCAGGTGGCGGCATCGTGTCCTGGGCCTTCCTCCACCTAACCCGGCCAAACAAATTAAAAGTGTCGCGTGGTGTGCAAGTGTTTTAACGCGCCAATTATTATTTCAGCTCGCTGGAAAGTTGAAGGGCAGTTCTCGCAACCAAATTGAGCAAAATCGGTACAACGTTCAATTTGTAAATACGCCGAACATCATCGGCGGGGAAAAGATCCAGGGCCTCAAAATGAGAAACCAAGAAGTCAGAGTAACCAGGTGACCTGAGCAGAGACTTCCTTCATCGTAAGGGACAACCAATCAGATCCAACGGTGCCGTGATTGGAAATGTCATCTCTTGACATGACGCTGATAGCGCAGTTGTAACACATTCCTGCGGAGGGAGCTGGTAAGAACGTTGGGTTGTTCGGTCAATGGCCAGGGTCAACGGCGGCGTGGTGTATTCCGCAAATATGCCCGACTGTGAGGGCGGGCACAAGCCGGCGTGAGTTGGTTAAACGTTGAGTTTTATAAGGGCACCACGGGGTAACCAGCCCCTCCCCACCCAGCCCCACCCCCCACCCAGCCCCACCCCCCCCCACCCAGCCCCTCCCCACCCTCCCCACCCAGCCCCTCCTCACACTCCCCACCCAGCCCCATCCTCACCATCCCCTCCCCTACCAAGCTCCACCCTGCAACTGCATAACTGCATGTTGTTCATCTACTGGTTGCGCAGATGATATTATCAGTGAGCTAGTCACCTGATAGATATATATGTATCATTGTTTTGGATGTCTGAAAACGCAGCAGCATTGTTTAAATAATGATTGTGGTGATTGTCATTGTCGTATTGGTTTTCTCTTTGCAGGAAAATTGTAAATGATACATACAGGACTGATTTATGTTTAATGTATCCACCCTTCATGATTGCACTAGGTAAGAACCATCACTGTGCACCATGATGAGTCTGAGATTGTACATAGTTGACCCACAGCTGGAACATCCGCACTCACAGTCAAGCAATTTCCTGCTCATGTAAACATTAATTGGCCTAAAACAACTTAATATAGAGAGGACCACAGAGCTTGGCGGGGGGGTTGGGATTCGGAGCCGGCTGACCACGTAGTTGCTGCCTATCCTGCATTTCTTTGTTTCCTCCATGCGTCTCCGAGTCGTTCTCTCTCTTCGACAGTGAGCTGATACTGTGTGCGGCAGCGTGTTACAATTCGATGTTAAATTAAATGATAATTCGGAATCATTTATGCTGGAGGAATCCGATGAACTGTAAAAAGATGTCCAGTAGCGGCGGGTCAGAAAGTTACAAGCAAACAATACAAAGACACGACGGGAGTGCAAAGTTTAGGAAAGGTTAGCAAATAACTAACAACATTGAAATAAAAATAAGCGTTTTATTTTACCAGTTAAAGCTCACCGAGCTCTATTAGCTTCTTGTTCAGAGGCAACCTGGTCACAAATGATGGCTCAACGAAGTGGCTTATGTGAAAATGCATAGCAGCCAAATCTAAATAATGTGTGTGGTGCCATGTGACCACATTAATATAGCGGGGATAAGTTTATTCATTGCATAACCGCCGTTGACTTTTTCACAAAGTCGTACCTATTGTATCCACCCCAGAGAGATGATGGGCTTTGCAGCAGATAGTGTGCTGCGCTTACTCACCCAGCAACCAGAGTTCGATTCCCGCTCTCGGCCAAGACCAGTGACGATTATCGGAACCGGTCCTGGGCCTCCCCTAGGTCGACTCGTCCTTAAATGAGGATGATTTAGTGCGGTGTGTTAACTTCGCCACTGCGGAGACAAAGGCGGCCGTAAGTGGTGCTGGCCACCCACCCCCTCGTGTGCCGTGCCGGCCTTCATAGGTGCTCGCTGTACAGCACTTGCCCCAACAGTCTGTTAAGGCTATACGGGGTGGGGGGGGGGATCTTTGTCTTTTGTGTGTAATATAATATACTGGTGCGTGCGTGTCCGTGCGCTTGCCCAGCGAGCCTCCACATGGCATGCGCCATCCAGCAGAAGGAGCCTCCCAAGGAGCACCAGAAGGAGGTTCTGCGCGATGGCCGGCACTGGTTTGCGGAACTCTCCGTCGACATGGACAAGGTGGCTCGCTCTTCCCTCCACCGCCGCGCTCTCGTGCAGAGCGCGGCACCCCTCTCCCCGAGTTATTTCGGCGATAGATATCGTTTTGTTTGATATGACATCGTTCTTCTTCGTATGGCAGTCGATGTTGTTGATGTGGGAGTAGGGGTGGGGAACCTTTTTTCTGCCAAGGGCCATTTGGATATTTATAACATCATTCGCGGGCTATGCAAAATTATCAACTTAAAAATTAGCCTGTTTATATTTGGTCAAACATTTAATTAACTCACCCCTAATGCGATGGCTGGAACTGCTTCTCTTTGGTGAGGCGTGTGGTGTTAGCTGGTATTGATGATGTTGCTACTCGCAACTGCTTTTCCAGGTTTGCTCCGAGATTTAGTGAATTTCGAGTCCCGCCTGCGGTTGCCTTGGCAGGGCCAGATGAAATGATTTAGCGGTTCTTGTACGGCCCACGGGCCGGATGTTCCCCACCCCTGATGTAGAGCATTGGTTTTTAACCTTTACTGTAGCCTTGCACCCCTTTGGTTCTCAATCGTTAAAAACATAACATTTATAAAGTAATGTTAATAGATACATAGATTTGATGAAACAAAGTAGTTGTACATACATGCCCGTGCCAAATTTGTGTTTCGATGATTTACCTTCTTACAAAAATCTGGCAAACCACGCACCCACAGGGAGTGCGTGCACTCCAGGTTAAGAATTGCAGATGATTGCGTCAGGAGTCGCGGAGTGGATCGCCGTGGTGATGCCTCCTTCGTATTTGTGAATTGGGCATTGAGACGTTATACATTCCTTGGTATGTATGTGTGTATGTTGAACTTCTTTTGTACGGTACCTAGCCAACCGTGCTAATCGGAGGTGCAGGGGAAGGACAACAAACAAAACAGATTAAACACTTATAAATAAATGAGTTGTCAATCGAGATTTAAATGTGCGTAGCCCCAGTGGGTTCCTATTATCAGAAGGGAGAGCATTCCAGGACGGCCGCGGAAGCGCACCTGATAGGTACGCGGTGACCGAACGCTCATCGTTTGAACGACAAAGCGCGGTTTGCTGTACCTCACCCAGTGACCGTTTCATTTCTAACAGATCCTGGAAATAACCCGAGCCATCCTCAAGCTGTACGAGGTGTGGCAGAGCTACGACGAGAAGAAGGAGATTGCGTCGATCCTCAGCAAAATGCCCAAACCGAAACCTCCCCCCAACGGGTGAGTGAGAAACGATCTCGCGTTGGTACAGTCCCGGGATGTTGATCACGAATCCCCTCTGTGACAAGGCGCGCTGACAATGCACATTCTCCGATTGCCTGGAAACCCCCCCCCCGCTGAAAACGGCAGCATTTGTTTTAACAAGCCTGGCTCTTGCCGATGAGACCCGGACGATTAAAAGCTGTTGCAGAGGTCGCTTGCTTCAACAAATGCTGATTGATGTCGTATTCGTCGGGAAAAACCGCTAGGCTGATGGACTCAAAAAATATATTTTTTATCTGTATGTGCACTCACAGAAACGTAAATTTACTTGTATACGCTTTTCCCCATAATGCTCCCATGGCAACACTTGATCGGATTGTGTACCCTCGGGGAGCCAAGCTTGTTAGCATGCGTTTTGATTCCTTAAGATGGCCTTTTTGGCGTTGTAATCTGCAAGTAGATTCCTCAGGCTCACTCTGTGGTTTAATTGCGTTGTCGTACACGTGACGAAAATAATCAAATGTGTTTTCCTCGGACAAGACAACTGTGGTTGACACAAAGTTAAAGAAACATAATCAAGTGCACTGCCTGCTCTAAGGGTGGAAATTAGCCTGTGGTGTCATCTCCAAAGCGTAGCTCCTTATTTGCCAGCAGTGTACATGACAAGTTTTAAAACTTTTTCCGCGATTGTAAAATAAAAACTGACCAATGTTTTTTTTCCATTAAAAGAAAAGGTTTGATTTTTTTTTTATTGCCGAGAGGTCATTCTTCCACGTGATCATTTTCCAGTCGCATTCGTTTGTTCAACGAGGTCAAACGTGGCCCAATTGATGTCGCACAGTCTCATCAGCAAGGTGTGGCCTATGTAGGCCCACGGACACAGCTGAGCTCATTTCATGAAGGGCGGTAGTCCGATATTTCATTCCGCACTCGCCTACTTGCTGTTCACAGCGACTCGTTGTGCGTAATGCAAGACGCAGCCCCACATTGCCTTTTCAAAAGAGATTTTTGAATTGGAAACCCCGTTTGTGCGAATAAAGGAATATTTAAAATGAATTTGTGTGTTTTGTTTGTTTCAAGAGATGAAGCCGGAGTGAATACAGGTCACTTGATGTGAAGCAAGCACATGCCCTGTGAATCTCTACCGGTAAGGAGTCTTTGGTTCGCGTCCTAACAGCTGCCCAAGATTAACCATCACCTCTCTTCAGTGTGATGTATCGGGGTCCTTTCGCTCCTCGGGACTACACGGGGATGAGCGTTGGTCTGCCGTTGGGTGCGGTGAAGGGGGTCACCCTATTGAAGTGACTTCCAAGAGCGGATGTGTGGTGTGTGGCTCCCCCTGGCTTTTAGAATCAGAATTTGTATTCATACTGGAGGAACCCGATGAGCTATGAAGCTCTTTTTCACATGTCCAGTAAGGAAAGGTAAAAAATTACTTAAAACAATCTATCAAACTAAACTACGTTTTATCTTGCTGAAGCCAACTAAGCAAAATTTTGATTTAAAGCTTTCGTGACTGCTGGGATTCATCTTCTTGGTTCTTTCGGTAAAGTCACGTAGAAGGGAAATAATAAAATAAAACATAAAATACATATGTATTTTATTATGTTTTATTTTTATTATTATAAAACATAATAAAATAAAATTGTATTTTATTGTTTTATTTTTATTATTTCATTATTTCCCTTCTACGTGACTTTACCGAAAGAACCAAGAAGACCAACTAAGCTAGTGGCTTATTTTTCAGATGCGACCTGGCCACAAACGATAGCTCAACGAAAGTGACTTATTGTGTGGAAATTTATAGCAGCCAAATACTCTAAATGCACGTTTCTAAATTGTGGAGGGAAAAACCGGAGGACCCGGAGAAGAAAATTCTACGCGACCACGGGGATAGAGACATGCAAACTCCAAATATACAGCAGGCGTCAGGGTCGGCATGGAACCCCTGACCTGCATACCAAGTGAGGATAAATGAAGGATAGAAGTTAAAATTGCTTTAGTACATGAATTTCCAAGCTTGGAAAAGTCGGTAAAATAACAGCACCGTGGGCGTGTGTGGCTTCGCTGCTGCCGCAAGATATCTCGCAGGACATCTCTCGCTCGTCACTCCCCAACAATACAGCTGGGATTTATTTTTGTAAACTAAAAAAATTCTTCTCAACGCTACCTAACAAAACGTCACCTCTCTGCTTGCAACTGTACACGTTACCCTGCAGCCAGATACTTTTTTTATATTCGGTGAACTGTCAGTTTTATTTTTGATCAAAATAGTTATCAGAAATATTGGGGTATTAATGACCCCTTGGGTCCCTTGCGTGCAAACATTCTTTCCCAGATGCCACTAGATGGCAGCAAATATCCTGTGTGCGTGTGTGTGTGGCCTGCAAACAAATCATTCAGTCTGGCGAATGTGTCGGGACCTACCAGACTGGAAAGAAACATCTCCAGGTGCTGACAAAGATCTGGTTTAGATACAATTTGCCTCCGATTTTGTTCATGGCTGGAAATCGAACTCGGGTTGTCAAGTTTGATTGGTAGCACAGTGGAGACAATTGGCTGGCAAGACCAAGACACCCCCCCCTTATAGCCTTGCCAGACTCTTTGGAGGTGCTGAGATCAGATGGGAACTAGCTGTTGAAAGCGTTAATGGAAATGCTTGGAATGAAATGTAACTGTGAGTTTACATGTCTACTTTACATAATCGATCAAACATCTGCTTGCTTTACCTGCCTCCTTGCAGGCAACGAACGCCTTCTTGCCTTGCCGGGTGTGTGCGGGGGGAGTGGTAGTGCAGCGGCTAGCGCGCTGTGTGCACTACGAACCCGTCCACCCGAGTTCGATTCCTGTTAAGGCTCTACGTGGAAGGGTCTTTTGTCTCGCACAGCGGTGCCATCGCCGCGTGATCCACCAACGCTGCCTCAAAGCCGGTGGCTTCCGAGCTTGAATCGTCGATGCTTTTGCTTTGTCTTGTTTCAGATTCCCTGCAGCAGGAGGAAGTGGCTTTCATCGTTCACTGCGTGTTTTTGTGCTCTCCGTGAGAATTAAAAAAAGTGCCTTTTAAATTGCGAGACATCGGATCGGGACAGGAGCCAGTTAGTCCGTCTGGGATCGGACGAACCGTCGAGATGATCGCGCGGGGGAACTTGACCATCCCCAAAACATGCGACTCCACGTTTACCGAATAATGGCGCGTGTTCGAAAAACGAAATTGTACATTTCCAATGAAATATTCGTGGCATTTCAAGGTTATTTCTTTTTTCCCATCTACAGTATTTACATTTTCGAGAGTGGATCATCCTTTCGAGTAATTGAGCAGTTCCAATTAAGATGACTTTTTGAGGGAGACGGGGGTGAGGGCAAACCAAAAGAACAGGGCCAAACTCGCGTGTGTGTACATATGAAGATAATCCAACTCGGCCAGACAGGTAGTCTTGTTGGAAACGAGTTGTTACCGCCTTCTGCACTCACAACCTTGTTGATCTGCAGCAGCTGCCCGATGCACATCACTGGTGTCACGCCTCCAGCCAGAGCTGATTAGGCAACCTGTGCGATCCTTCAATTGGAAATCCCCCCCCCCCCCCCCATCGACACTCTCTCTCTCCGGGTTGAAGGCAGACATCATGACCGCACCAAATCAGTTGCCAAGATGTCCCCAAATAAGCATGTTTTGTTTTCTCTTAACATTTTTAAGGACAACAAATGTGCAAAACTATGGCCAGTCCAAAGCTTAATGGTGGTGTCATGACCACTGTTACAGTGTATGACAGACAAGCCAGCATACTTTCCAGTTGACAGGAATGTATTTCAGCAGAAGATTTTCTGTCACGGCCTCGAGGCAACTGCCCCGCACTGATTTGTTGAAACTGAGCAACGCGGACGATCGGAATCCGGCTTTCGAGCCAATGAGGTTTGACAGCTCGGTCACGAATGACGACTATAAAAAACACACCCATGTCCAAATCGTTTTTTTCCCTCTCCACCTCACACAGTGTCTTTAGATGGTATAAATAGATGCCCGAATGAGTATTGTTGCTGCTTTGCAGTACTGTGACAGGTGGTGACGTCTTGGAGTGTGGTGGGAGAAGGAGGGGGGGAGACCTTCATCCAGCAGTGGATCGGTCATGCCTGATGACACCACATTCATTGTGAGAGATGGCGAAGGCTTTTGGGAAGACGTCATGCTGCAGTAAATGTGTTGGTGCTTGATGATACTAAATGCATACCATGTATGTTGAACTTTTTTCACGCCATATGTAGCCAACCGTGCTAATCAGCGGGGCTGGGGGAAAGGACATCAGGCTAAACACAAAAAAAAAATGCTGAAGAAATTAGTTAAGTCAATGTAGACGATTTAAAAGTGTTTAGCTCCAATGGCTTCCTAATATCTGCATGAAGAATCGTTCCAGACGGCCGCAGAAGCGCATTACCCCTTACCCAGTACGAAGAGCGCGGTCTCGTTTCGGACAAGAGGCATGTTTTTTTTAAAGGTATTTTTTTTAGCAGTAGCTTTGTGATATCGCCCAAGCCTGATGCGACCACGATAGTTCGACTTTGTGCCTGAGCGCAAACGCCGTCTGCGACGTCTGCCGCCGCCCAAGTGACGCAAAGCGGCTCCGCCACCGATCCAGCTGGCGCGTCGTGCGTTTACCGCGGGGATTGTTCTGTTGCTGCCGTTGTCAACGTCAGTTTCAGTTTGTACTCTCTGGTTCTTTCGGTAAAGTCACGAAGGTAGAAAAATAAAATCAAAAGAATATTTTTTATTCTTTCGGTAAAGTCACGTAGGTAGAAAAATGAAATAAATATATTAAATAAATATTCTTTCGGTAAAGTCATGTCGGTAGAAAAATGAAATAAAAATATTTTTTATTCGGTAAAGTCACGTACGTAGAAATTTTTAATTATTTCGGTAAATTCACGTAGGTAGAAAAATAAAATAAAAATAATTTCAATTTGTTTTCTTTCGGTAGAAAAATAAAATGATTTCGGTTAAGTCACGTAGGTAGAAAAATTAAATAAGTAATATATTACTTTACCGAAATAATTTTATTTTTCTACCTACGTCACTTTACCGAAAGAACCAAAAAGAGTATGGATTCCTGCAGTCACGAAAGCTTCAAATCAAGATTACGTTTCAATTGCGCGGCTTCTTTTCGCCTTTGTGTTCTCACAAAAGCGCCTCTTGCGTTTGCGCGAGGCGGGCGATGGATGAGGCCCCCAAACTCCGCCCTCACCTGCGGAGCGCGCAGTGGACACGTGGAGAGAGACGCGTGGAGAGAGACGCGCACGCAACTCGCGTGCGTGGCCCCTCCTGGCGACCTCGTCGGCCGATGCCGATTCGTCAACTCGCAGCTGAACGCCGTCAAAACGGGCAGCAGAACGCACGGCGTGTCAACTTATAATTTGCTGATGGGGGTGTGAGTTTTTTTCTATTTAAAAAAAAATCCGATGGCTTGTTTCTGCAACGCGCCGTGCAAACCGGAAGTGAGCGGAGCGTTCTTCGTTTCACGCTGTGTCCGCGGTGGGAGCTGTTTGAGAGGACATGCTCTCCCCCATGTGTGTGTGTGTGAGTGTGTTGGAACTATGGAGGGGGCTCGTGAAGGACGCTTGTGGGACGTTGGAGGCAGTCGCCTTCCAGCAACAACGAAAGGCAGAGGAGCGACCGATCACGACAACGAGCGGAGCGCCGGGCGGATAAAATGCAGTCAAGTGGCACAGTAGGGGGGCACAGGTGGTATATCAGCCAGTCATCTCCGTCAGCCATGGCACCTGCTGGGTCTGTCCAGAAACCTGCACCTAGCCTGGCACAGTAGGGGGTCACAGCTGGTGTTGCATCTACTGGTCATCTCAGCCATGGCACCTGCTGGGTCTGTCCCGAAACCTGCACCTAGCCTGGCACAGTAGGGGGTAACAGCTGGTGGTGCATCTACTGGTCACCTCAGTCACCCATGGCACCTGCTGGGTCTGTCCCGAAACCTGCACCTAGCCTGGCACAGTAGGGGGTACAGCTGGTGGTGCATCTACCGGTCATCTCGGTCAGCCATGACACCTGCTGGGTCTGTCCCGAGACCACCTACCAGCAGCGAGCCTTCGACACTTCACGTGTCCTCGGTGCACCTAGCCTGGCACAGGCGCCGTGGTGACGCCACCGTCACTTTGTGGCGAATGGCGGCTGTATTGGTGTTGAACTTCTTTCGCACCCTACGTAACCAACCGCGCTAATCGGCGGCGGGGGGGGGGGGGTAAGGACAACGAACTTGCGGCATAGTCACGAAGCGCATCGCCAACACGGCGGTACGACTCCGTGCTGTTCGAAAAGAGTTGCGGCAGGAGTACGACAGCCACAGGTTTTAGAACACGTGGAGCGACTTTTCGTAGCCGGCTTGCTAGGATGAATACGGGGTGTTTGATGAAGGAGTAAGCAATCTCTCTCGCTGGTGAGGTAGGAGGATACCTGAACTTTAATAAACTACAGTACTGTTCGTATGCTTGCACCGCGGTCATGTTTATTATGTTATATTTTTAGAGTACCCTTTGTTAAAGGCGCTTAACAGAGTTTAAGCAAACAAAAGACACGGTGCAAAGAAGAACGCTTCAGGTGGCCAGGGGCGTTCAATGTATGAGGAATGCGTGACCACGATCGAGGGTGAGCAGTGGAGGTTAGGAAAGGGGAGGGGAAAATGGGAAATGTTGAAGAGATAAAATAAAATTATCCATAATCGAGGGTTTGGGTTAGATCGTGTAAAAATGTGTCGTAAAACCCGCCACCACCCGACGCAACCAATTAGTAAGGTTTGTCACGTGAACCCACGACATTTACCATTCGAGTCGCGTGACGTTTCGCCGGTAATTACAGCGAGCATAAAATGGAGGAGCTGACTGTGATGTCATCACTTGTGAGCCAATCAGGTGCGAGACCAGGGGGAGGGGCTTAACGGAATCATTTAAATTGTCACGTGTTTGCGTGATAAACCTTGCTAATCGGCTGTGTCGGGTGGTGGCGGGTTTAACGACACATTCATATTTACGCGATCTAACCCAAACAAACCTCTTATGGATCTTCTTGTTTCTTTCGGTAAAGTCACGTAGAAGGGAAGTAATAAAATAATAAAAATAAAACATAATAAAACAATTCTCACGACGTTTCGGCCACAACGCAAGCAGCCGTCTTCAGGTGAAGAATGAGACACTACCAAACTAGGAGCTTATATATAAGCTGCATTGGGGGTTGAAGAGCGCCTTAACAAAAAGAATGTGCATGTGAAGAGGGATTTAGCATATTCATGGAAAATGCGTAGGCGTTGGGCGGGGGGGTGTCAAAGTCATATTATGCCCATGCATTATGCAGGATCAGCAGCAACCAAGGGGGGTGCAGGGATTAGCAGTAACAAAGGAAAGGAATGTTAATGATATGTAGCTGCAGTTACTCAACAACACGTAGAAAACTAAAGTATAAACTACATAAAAAACTAAAGTATAAACTGCATCGCACCATCAGTATACTTACTATACTCTATAATAAGCTGAGTTACTAACAGCAAGTAATACATTACAATTTTACCTCGTAAAAATTCTATAATATGCTTCCATCTAAACCTTATTCTCTTACATCACACGAGCATATACCGTACTATATACTGCCATAGATAAACCCAACATTAAATTATATACTGTATTGCTGTAAACCAACCTATATCTTATACATTTAATATCACACTATGTATTATTCTACACACCCTAATGTGTATCGAAATGGTTTATTACGTCCTTCCAATGATTGCTGAGCCAGAATCCATCTTCTCGGTTAAAGTTGTCTCTGTGTTTGTATATGTGGATCGCCTCATGAACGAATCTCTCATGATAGCCAGATGGCTTGCAGAGAACCTCTGTCTTGGAGAAGTCAATATCATGTGAGCCCACTGAGTTGTAACAGTGATCTGCCACGGCTGAGGTGTTAGTCCTACCGTGTTTCAGGTCAGCTTTATGTTCACGGATGCGGTCCGAGACATGTCGTTTGGTTTCCCCAATGTAACTGCTACCACAGAGGCAACTTAGTTTGTAGACGCCAGGGTACTGTTATGCGTTGAACTGAGGTAAGGGGCCGTCCATAAATGACATCACCCACCTAGGGAGGGGGGGGGGTGAGAAAAGTGACGTCACATCAAAATGAACAACTTTAAATAAATATAGACAACACGTTCTACTTAATTAAATAGATTTTTTAATAAATGCTTTCTCCTACAACATCAGAGTGCAGCGCCACATTAAATACGCACTACAATGACAATAGTTTAAAGCGATTTGAAGCATGTTTTATTTTTTGGGGGGGGCAGAGCTTTGTGACGTCATATTTAAGGGGGGGGGTCTGACATTTTGTGACGCCGTGTGACGAAGGGGGGGGGGGTCAAAAATCGTCCAAAATCGCGTGACGTCATTTATGGACAGCCCCTATGGTGAGCTCCTCTGCAGTGCACGACTACTGCAAGGAGGCCAAGCGATCTACAGACGGTTCCATGTGGCCTGTCCGTGTATCACCACAGTCGCTGGTGCCCGTGTCCGTACAGGAGTCGTTACCACTCGCGATTGTTTTGACCCCTTGGGGCTGCCCACTGGCGTCTAAATGATCTCTAAAACAAAGCCGCATTGACCGGTCGTCCCGCGTCCTGGCGACGTCATCGAGGAATTCGGCAACGTGGACGTGCCTTTGTGACGTCGTTGCTGACGTCACGTTTCCGGTCGACGGTTTCGTAAAGCGGGTTCTGTTGCCGCGAAGAAGCGTTTGCTGGGTGCAGCAAAGCGACTGGAAAGTGCGCTTCTGGCTTTCCACGCCCGGTGGTGCATGGTGGAGGATGCCAGGAGTTTTGACGGAAGGCGAAAACAAAAAAATCGATCAGGAGGTTTGGAATTAAACGTGGAAAGATAACACTGGACGAGAGTCCAAAACGAAAAACCACCTCGTGCCTAAGAGTCGTAGTCATCGGAAGCAAGCAACCATTGTCCACTGCTGGATGAATGCCTCACCGTGCCGTCACCATTTCCCCCGGTCTCGTGGTGTTACAATCTCACCCGTGCGCATCTCGCTCTTGAGCATGCGCTGTACTTGTGCGCCGCGGTCAGTCTGACCCCCAGGGGTCGGCAACCTGCGTCTACGGAGCCACATGCGACCCTTCGGCTTCCTCGCGGCCCTTTGGCTGCGCCCCAAGCGTATCTATCACGCGCAAAAAAACCCCCATGACAATCGTGGATGGGTAGACGCACGCTTGTTGGAGCCGGGCTCTGATGGTTATTGGTGTCCCCCCGCCTGAGCGAGTACGTCTATTGCTGTAACCTTCTGAGCGTGCGCCTCCGCGTTTTGAAACGTTGCTCTCCAACATTGGCGGTGTTCGTGTTGCGTGTGCCTCCCCCAACTCCCCCCCCCCCCTCCTTCATCACTGCCGGTTCATTCAACGAGGCCCCCCCCGCGTGAACTCCGCGAAGTCTCAATGTCATGGATAGACTCCTATTGCGACATCGGGACTCTGTGAAACAATGCCAGTGCAGTAGATGTTAAGCGTAGCGATGGCTATGAAGCAGCAACGTGCTATATATGAACAGCGGGCCAGATGTGGCCTCGGCTTGTGTTACTGGTGAAAAGCTCGACCAAGGCGTGCAGCTGTGATGTGGCTCGCAGTGCATTGTGGGTATTTCCCCATCATGCACTGCAGGTTGAAGTGTGTTTGATCACCGACGGACTCCCAAATGTCTTAAATAAAATGACATGATGAATGTGAGCAATCTTAAACAAGATAATGTTTTGTTGTTAATAGACTAAGAAGGTCAACAGGTTTTAGAGATGGGATGGTAAAAGTGTTGTTTTACTCGGCTTGGCATCTAGTTTCGAACGGTTGCTCCTAACACCAATGCACCACATTTTACCACGTGGTTTGTACAATCGGCTCTTACAGAATCGTTTCACCATTATAAGGTGTGAATTGGCAATTGGTCCATGGGCCCACCCAAAATATTGTACCTGTTGGTATCGCCTCAGATGGCAACCCATCTCGATAGAGAAGATGGGGCCAACCCAACTTGGTTCAGGAGTTGGGCCAACCCTCCGCACATCCCATGCATGGTGGCACCAGCGCACCCAGTACTTACATAGACTACGCTACTACACAGTACTTATTTTAGGCTGAGCTTAACTGAACCAGAGAGGAGTCCCATGCGAAGTAGAAATGCCGAACGACACTTTCCTGGTCACGAATCGAACGACGTCACGCTAAAAATGCCTGGCAACTTTTGACATTCGTAGTTTTTTTTGGGGGGTGGGGGGCATTACGTTCACCTAAACGAGGCCCGCACACACGAGTGTGTCAAGCACTGACGCCACAAAGCCAAGGTTTCCGACGCGTTCTCAAGCCTATTCGGCAAGACCACATTTAGCCCAACGTCTCAGGCCGGTGTTCCCAA